GGAGCCCTTTGTGGGGCGCAGCCTCCTCCCAGGCCGATCATTCCCGGCCTGTGAGGGCGTCCTGGCTTCCTGGCCGGCGGGCAGCCGCGTGGGCCGGAGGCCCGTGGACCGTGGGGGGCGTCCCGGCTTCCTGCAGGGCCAGCGCTGCAGGGCCCGTCTCCGCGACTCCGTCCCCTCCTCTGCCGGTCGGCCTGGCTCCCTCACGCTGACTCGGGGCCGGTGACCTCACACCAGACAGAGCGAAGACGCAGGAGGGGACGGTCCCCGGAAGACGGGTGGAGGCCGGGGCCGTGGCTGGAACTAGAGGAGGCAGAGGGCCTTCCAGAGCCTCGGGAGGGAAGGAGGGAGGGAGCGGCCAGCTGTGCCTCCATTTCCGCCTCCATTTCCCACTCGAGTTTCTATCAGCTGCACCTGGTGCTGCGGGGCCAGACCCGTGGAGGTGTCCTGGCCCCGGGCTCCTGGGGCAGCCCCGACGGAGCCACCACGGCCGCGCGGGCCGGCAAACCAGGGAGGCCTCCCTGGAGGAGGCGAGTGGCAGTCATTCTCTAAAGTTTTTAAAAAGTTGTCACCTGAGGACATTTCCCATTGACCTTTGTTTTATTTTAACTAGTTAATTATTATTATTATTTTTAACACTGTCTAGGCCTCTGTAACGGCTTGTCTCAGGGAGGAGAGCCCCGGGATAGGTTAGACTTCGTTGCTATAGCAAGCTCAAACTTATTTTGTTCTTGAAAATCTATTTCCGTTGGTTTCAGAGAGGAAGGGAGAGAGAGAGAAACGTCCATGATGAGAGAATCATTGATTGATCGGCTGCTTCCTGCACGCTCCCTACTGGGGATGGAGCCCGCAACCTGGGCCTGTGCCCTTGACCGGGAATTGAACCCGGGACCCTTCCATCTGCAGGCCAACGCTCTGTCCACTGAGCCACACCAGCCAGGGCCCCATGGATCTTGAGAGAGACGTTCATGTGAGAGACACGGTCACTGGCTGCCTCCTGCACACGCCCCGCCCAGGACGGAGGGAGCTCAGGGCACGGCGGCGTCTGGTTGCCCCAGCCCGCTCACCCTGTGGGTCAGAGGGCAGCGGGTCGGAGGGCAGCGGGTCGGAGGGCAGCGGGTCGGAGGGCAGTGGGTCGGAAGGCCTGAAAGGTCCTGGGTTCGATTCCTGGTCAGGGCACAGGCCCGGGTGGCGGGCTCCATCCCCAGTGGGGGGCGTGCAGGAGGCAGCTGGTCCACGATTCTCTCTCCTCATGGATGTTTCTCTCTCCCCTCCTCTCCTTTCCTCTCTGAAATCCAAATAAAAAGGAAGATAATATTAAAGTAAAACGTGCGAGTCCAGAGACTGCTTCCCCTCGGCCGCCGCCTGCTTCCCGTGCCCGTCACGCCCGCCCCCGCGGCTCCCCTCGGGCCTGGACTCCCCCCAGTGGGGTCATCGCACCTACAGCCCCCCTTCTGCCCTGGGACCGGGGTCACCCCGCCCCCAAACGGATATCCCACACCCGGGAGAGGCTTCCCTCCCTGGCCAGCCCTGGGCACCCAGGCCTGGCCCCGCCCCTCCTGGCTGCAAGGCTGGTCTCGGGGTGCGTGCCACCCCATCACCAGACAGGGACCGGAGACGCCCCCCGGCCCCCACATTCCAGCCGGGGCCCAGCTGCTCGGGGCCTCCCCGGGCCCGGCCTCCGGTGGAACCTGGCCAGGCCTGTGGGAGGTGGGGCGCTCCGAGCTGGTTCGCGGGCTGGGGTGGGGGTGGGGGGAGGGGGGGGCGGCCCCCGCCGGAGGGGCTGCGGTGGGCGGCCATGTTCCGCCCGCAGAAACCTTGTCCTGGTCACATGTGGTGGGGACGCCCCCCGGTGCTGCCCTGGGATTCCTGGGGCGACCCCAGACATTCCTGGGAGGCTGTTCCCGGGCCTGCGCGGGGGGCGGGGCGGCAGGCATTTCCGGCCGCTGCACAGCTGTGGACGCGGCCAGATGTCGGTGCAGGGAGGTCTGCGGGGCCTGGGCGCCCCCCCGCCCCCGGGGTCCCCGCGGGAGGCGGGGGAGGGGCGGCTGAGGGCCTGGCCGGAGCTGCCAGACGGGGGGTGGGGGAGTGTGGGGGGGGAGATGTCAGATCCCTGGGGGGTCGGGGGAGTGGGCCCCCGTGTTTGTCCTCTTGTCCGGCTGCTTTCGCTCCGGGGGGGACCTCAGCTGCGGGCTGCGGCCTCTCCTCCTGGGGTGGTTCCCTGCCACCCAGGCAGAGAGGACGGCCCCCAGCCCCCGGCCGCCGGTCAGCCTCCGAAGCCCCGCGCCCGGCGCCCCGGCTCCCCGCCCGGGCAGGCTGAGCGGTTTGCCAGGTCGCACAGCCCTGCCCAGTGCCGCCCGCGGCCCCGTCCCCGCAGAGACCGCCGAGGGGGCCGGGCCGGGCCGGGGAGGAAGCCGGGCGGGGGGCGGCTCAGGCTCGGCCTCTCCTGCTCCCCTCTCGCTCGGCGGGGAGACGTGGAGGAGGACGTGATTGGAGCCGATCCCCGTGGGGGAGCAGGTCCCTGCCGGCCGCCGTCCATCCGCGGACACACATGCACCGGTCACACGCAGGCCACGGGCCGGCTCCCGGCTCCGGCTCCCGGCGGCCACTGCCCCTCCCGCCCGGGGCCTCGGCTGCGGTTTTCTTTGATCTCGGGCACGTGGGTCCCCCTCTGAGCCTGGTTCCCCGATCTGTAGGGGGGACATCGGAGCCCCCCCAAACCCTCCCGTGCGGGCCTATGGCTGAGGAGCCTGGTGCGGGGGGAGGCAGAATCGGGGGCGGTCATGCCAGGGGCAGAGGCTGCAGTGATGTGCCACAGTTTAGGGGTCACTGGGGCCCGCAGGAGCCGGGAGAGGGCCAGGGCCCTGCTCACACCCTGACTTTGGGGTCCCGGCCTCCAGGACGGGGAGAATCAGTCTCCCAGACCCCCGTTCATGCATGTGCACGGGGGCGGCCCGAGGAACCGGTGCACCTACTGTGCGCCGGGCGCTGGGCCTCGTGGGGGAGCCCGCGGTCCATCAAACCGGACATGGTCAAGCGCTGGCCACAGGCCCCCTCGTCCGTGGTCTCCGGCCTGGGCAGGGCTGGCTGCGGGTGGGTGCAGGAGACGTGACCCCGTGGGGCCGTGGCCTCCTGCTGCTGGGCACCCTCCTCGCCCCCCAGTGGGTGCCCCAGGAGCATGCCTGTTCCCGGTCCCTCCAGCAGGAGGCGCAAGAGAGCCGCGCAGGCCTGGCTCCTGGGAAGCAGGGAGCTAACTGGCCAGGCCAGGGTCATGTGACCAATTCTGGAGCCCAGGGAGGAAAGATGGTTGGGGTGAGAGGGGGGTGCAGTCAGGGCCCCTGGGGTGGGGGCAGTCTCCATCTTCCCTCCCAGTGTCCGCCCACATGGACCTCCCGGGAGTGGGTCACTCCCTGAGGTCAGTGGGGTGTGCGGGGACAACCCTGCAGGAAGCTGGGGTGTGGCCTGCCCAGCTGGTCACGTGACAAGCCCAGCCCTCCACTGACTGGTGTGGCTCAGTGGATAGAGCGTCGGCCTGTGGACTGAAGGGTCCCGGGTTCGATTCCGGTCAAGGGCATGGACCTTGGTTGCGGGCACATCCCCAGTGGGGGGTGTGCAGGAGGCAACTGGTCGATGTTTCTCATCGATGTTTCTAGCTCTCCATCCCTCCCCCTTCCTCTCTGTAAAAATCAATAAAACATATTTAAAAAGAAAAGAATGCATTTAATTGAGGGAAGGAAACACCTGTGGTGAGGTAGGGTCATGCACCAGCTGCCTCCTGCACGCCCCCCACGGGGCACAGAGCCCCCAACCCAGGGCTGTGCCCTGACCGGGAATCGAACCCTGACCTCCCGGTTCCTAGGTCGGCGCTCAGCCCCTGAGCCACGCCGGCCGGCTCCCTCGCTCCCTCGCTGCGTCTGCCCTTGGCTCTGGGTCTGGGTTTCCGTCTGTGGAGCAGCAGGTGTTTCTCCAGGTTCTCTCTCCGTCTCTCCCCGGAGCCTGGGCCCAGGTGGCTCTCCGTGTCCTCGTGTCCCTGTGTGGCCGTGTGTCCCCGTGTCTCCGTGTCCCCGCGTGGCCGTGTGTCCCCGTGCCTCTCGTGTCCCCGCGTGGCCGTGTGTCCCCGTGCCTCTCCGTGTCCCCGTGTGGCCGTGTGTCCCCATGTGGCCGTGTGTCCCCGTGTCTCCGTGTCCCCGCGTGGCCGTGTGTCCCCGTGCCTCTCCGTGTCCCCGTGTGGCCGTGTGTCCCCGTGTCCTCCAGCTGGGCCTGGGCAGCCTCCGGTGTCCTGCTCCCACGTCAGAGCGTCACCTGGCAGAGGTCACCGGGCGGCCAGCAGCCGGCCTTGCCCGGGGCACGCTGACCTGGCCTGCCCGGGCGGACAGCGTCCACCCGCCCCTCGGGCCTCGGGCCAGCTCCCTTCCCACGGGCTGCCCGCGGCGCGTCCGGAGATCGGGGCGGGACCAGAACCCGGGCGCTCGGCTGGACGGGGGCCGGGGGCTTGGGGGCCGTCGGAGGCGGTGGGAGCAGCGCCCACAGAGGTGGGGTTCCCTGGGATAAGGTTGGGGGCCGGGGGCTTGGGGGCCGTCGGAGGCGGTGGGGCAGTGCCCATGTGGTGGGTCTTGTGTCTGCCCGATGGGGGCCTTGGTGGTGCTGAGGCCCCCACTCCTGGCGTGTCTGTGGGGGGGCCGCTGCCCTGCCTGTTGCTCCTCTGTGGCCTCGTCATACCTCCTGTGGGCAGGAGGGGGCAGCGGGGAGGAGAGGAAGGAGGTGGGGGAGGGGGGAAAGAGTGCCTGCGCCCCCCTCGCCGGCCTGGAGGATGGGGAGGGGGATGGGGGGCGCGGGGGGGCGGGGGGGCGGGGGGACGGGGTGGCAGGGGGACGGGGGCAGGGGGGACGGTCCCGTGGCTGACCCGCTTCGTCCCGTGTCCGCAGGCGCCTGTGACGGGGCTACCCGCCCGCCGATGAGGAGGCCTGGCCGCTGAGAGGGAGCTCGTCTGGACGGCCGGCGCCATGTCGGGGTCCACGCAGCCCGTGGCGCAGACGTGGAGGGCCACGGAGCCCCGCTACCCGCCCCATGGCATCTCCTACCCCGTGCAGATCGCCCGCTCACACACGGTAAGGCCCGGCGCCGGGGGCCTCGGCTGCCACCGCTGCCCCCAGCCTGTCCCCCCGCCTGTCCCCCCGGCCTGTCCCTCCCGCCTGTCCCCCCGGTCTGTCCCCCCAGCCTGTCCCTCCCGCCTGTCCCCCCGGCCTGTCTCCCCAGCCTGTCCCCCCGCCTGTCCCCCCGGCCTGTCCCTCCCGCCTGTCCCCCCGGCCTGTCCCTCCCGCCTGTCCCCCCGGTCTGTCCCCCCAGCCTGTCCCCCCGCCTGTCCCCCTGGCCTGTCCCCCCGCCTGTCCCCCCCGGCCTGTCCCTCCCGGGGGGCATGGCTGGGCGGCTCATGGTGTCCCGGGGAGGGGGGGCGCCCCTCAGCAGTGAGCACCTGCTACAAGGAGCTCCCACTTTGTCTTTTAAAAATATATCTTTATTGATTTCCGAGAGGAAGAGTGGGGGAGGGAGAGAGAGAGAAACAGCAGTGATGAGAGAGAATCATGGATGGGCTGCCTCCTGCTGGGAAATGGGTCCGCAACCTGGGCAGGTGCTCTCGATCAGAATCGAACCCGGGACCCTGCAGTCCGCAGGCCGGCGTTCTATCCACTGAGCCACACCGGCCAGGGCTGGCTTCCTCTTTAAAGCTGGGAGGATGGAGACCGGGGCCGCTGAGCTGGGGTCTGCTCGCAGGGTCCACAGTGGGATTGGCACACGCACACGGAGCGCCTGCTGCGTGCACCTCCCCCTCAGCCCAGCCTCCCCCCGCACCCCCCGGGCCCTGGTGGCTGCCCCCTTCCTGGCTGGTCCCCTCCCACCTCCCACCTCTTCCCTGCAGGCCCAGCCCCGGGGAGTCCTGTCCCCGGCTCCCGCCTTCTGCGGTCCCTCCTGCCCTTTGCCCTTTGCCCTGGCTGGGCCCGCTCCAGGTGTGTGGGGTCACCCGCTGACCCCAGGCTCCTCCTCCTCGCTCACCTGCTGGGCCGGCGGTGACGCAGGCCGGGGCTGGCCGGGACCCAGCGGCAGCGGGCAGGAGGCGGAGGCCAGGGCGGAGGTGAAGCCACGGGGCGGGGGCGGGGCGCTGTCGCTGGAAGGGGGAGCGGAGCCTGGGCGTCGGGTTGGGGGTCTCGCTCTCCTGGGGTGGGGGCTGAGCTGGAGACGCCGTCCTTGGGGTGGGGGGTGGGCAGGGCTGGGTCTGCCATTTCAAACCCACACGTGGCGGTCCCGGACCCCGTAGCCTGCCTGGGGCAGAGGGTGCTCGCGCACATGGGGGAGCAGGTGGGTGCTTGGTTGGATGCCACCTCTGGGGTCTCTCCCTGAACTTTGCGGCCCCTCCTGCTTGGGGATGGCTCCTGAGGGATGGTTTGGGTCCCACAGCTAGCCTCTCGGGAGTGCCATGCTGGGAGTATTGCCCGTTCATTCATTTATTCATTGATCCATCCATTCCTTCATCCATCCATCCATCCATCCATCCATCCATTTCTTCTTCCATCCATCCATCCCTTCATCCATCCATCCATCCATCCATTCCTTCTTCCATCCATCCATCCATCCATCCCTTCATTCATCCATCCATCCATCCATCCATCCATCCATTCCTTCTTCCATCCATCCATCCATCCATCCATCCATCCATCCCTTCATTCATCTGTCCATCCTTTCATCCATCCCTTTATTCATCTGTTCATCCTTTCATCCATCCATCCATCCCTTCATCCATCATCCATTCATTCCTTCATCCATCCATCTCTTCATCCCTTCATCCATCCATCCCTTCATCCATCCATCCATCCCTTCATCCATCCATCCATTCCTTCATCCATCCATCCCTTCATCCATCCATCCCTTCATCCATCCATCCATCCATCCCTTTATTCATCTGTCCATCCTTTCATCCATCCATCCATCCCTTCATCCATCATCCATCCATCCCTTCATCCATCCCTCCATCCATCCACCCAGCAAACACTTCTTAGGACCTCATGGGCGTGTAGCTGGGAACACACACAGACACCCCCGCCTCAGGGCGCTGAGGTCCTTGTGGGGCCGGCACGCCACACGCCAGGGCGAACACGGGCCACATAGGCAGTGTCTACCCGAGCTCCCGTTTCCCTAGAAGCGGGGTCTGTCCGACAGGCCTGCTGAACAGAGGGCCGGGATAACGGTCCTCGTTAATGTGGAGGAATGGGACGTTCTATTAATCCCTCCATCCATCCCTCCATCTCTCCGTTTATTCTTAAGCGTTAACTCACCAGGCGCTGCCTAACGGCACAAATTAATAAGCGCCACGCAGACACGCCCGTGTTCCTTTTCTCTGGGAGTGGAATGTCTCCTTTGCCCGCACACCAGTCGGTCCCAGACAACGCCGTGGCCGCCGCCGCCGGAATGTCCTGCCGGGACCGGCGAGGGCGGCGCGGGGGACCAGAACGCCGCGCTGGCAGCCGTCGGTCCTCCGTTATTAACGATATGTGTACCAGGACGCTGTGGAAATTGAGTTACGGGGTTATTAAGACGTTTCCTCGGTGCCGTAGTGTGGCTGGGCCAGAGAACACTCACTGTGGCCGGGGCGTTCGCCGGGCTGGTTGGGGATCGGTGAGCAGGGGAGGGGGGGGGGAGTGCTCAGTGAGGTCGGGGTCCAGGGAAGGAGTTCTTCATCCATCCATCCCTTCATCCGTCCCTTCATCCGTCCCTTCATCCGTCCCTTCATCCGTCCCTTCATCCGTCCCTTCATCCATCCCTTCATGCTGTGTGTGTTTTAGGCTACACACCCATGAGGTGCCTGAAAAGTGTTTGGAGGATGGATGGATGGGTGGAGGGTTGGATGGAGGGATGGAGGGATGGAGGGATGGATGGATGGGTGGAGGGTTGGATGGATGGAGGGAGGGATGGAGGGATGGAGGGATGGAGGGATGGATGGAGGGATGGAGGGATGGAGGGAGGGATGGGTGGATGGAGGGATGGAGGGATGGATGGAGGGAGGGATGGATGGATGGAGTGATGGAGGGATGGAGGGATGGAGGGATGGGGGAAGCTCTGGGGCCAGGCCTGTGGGACTCGCTGAGGCACGTCGCAGGCGGCCCCCAGGCGGGCTGTGTTGACGGGAACCTTCGCTCCAGGAGGGCCCTGGAGTCCAGGGCCCGGGCCGGACGGAATTCCCCTCTCCCTTCCTCTCCTCCTCCGTTCACTCGCTCCTCCCTCTCCTCCTCCCCGGCTGGAGACAGCCCTCCCCCGCTGTGGCCGGCAGGCCTCGCCCTCTCCTGTGGTGGGGTTGCCGTGGGGATGAGAGTCCTGGCGCCGCATGGTGGCAGGGCGCACAGGAGGCCGCCCGCCGGCCGGCCTGGCCTTCTCGGCTCATTGGGTCGCGGGGAGCCCACTTCCTGGGGGTCCCCAGTTCTTCCTCCGGCAGAGCTTCCGGGCGCCTTTGGGGGGTGTCCCCTGGGCTCAGCCTGGAGCCTGCGTGAGGCCCGGGGTGCGGCCGGCAGCAGTGGCCCCTCAGGTGCTCCTCGGGGGAACGGGGGCCAGAGGGCTGGGCCGTGGGCTCCCCGCCCCCTCCCGGGCCCACAGGCCTCTCCCCGCCTCTCCCGCCTCTCCCCGCCTCTCCCGCCTCTCCCCGCCTCGCTGGCAGCGGCCGGCAGGCAGGCACCGGTGCCCAGGCCCCTCCCGAGGGAGGGCTGTCTGCCTCTCGCCGCTGCTCATTCTGCTTTTGTGCGAGGAGCGAGCGAGGAGCGCGGGAGACACTTCCTCTGGCGGACGCGCTCGGCTGCTGACTGCTCCTCACACCTCTGTACGTGCGTGTGCGTGCGTGCGTGCGTGTGCGTGTGTGTGTGTGTGTGTGTGTGTGTGAGAGAGAGAGAGAGAGAGAGAGAGAGAGAGAGAGAGAGCGCTGTGCTGGCAGCTTTGCCAGAGTGATCCTGGGGCCTCCCCTCCCTCCCTCCCTCCTTCCCTCCCTTCCTCCTCTCTCCCTCCTTCCCTCCCTCAGCCCTTCCTCCTCCTCCCCGGCCTGGCGGGGCCTGTGTGTTGGCCTGGGCCTGTGCACACCTGGTGCTCGGCGCTGGCCGTCCCTCAGGGGGTGGGGGCTGTCTTGCGGGGGGAGGGGCCGGAGCCTTCTCTGCCTCCGGGGCTGCCCGCAGCCAGCGGGGGGGGGGGGGGGGGAGTTCAGGGGCACAGAAGCCTCTCCCATCGCCGGTCGGTCCCCGTGTCAGAGCCCAGGAAGCCGAGGCTGTTTGTCCCTCTTTCCACCTCAGGGTGACGGGGCCATGGACCCCGTCTCCGAAGACAGGTGTTCTGGGGAGTCTCTCACATACACACTCACACTCTCACACACAGACACAGACATTCACACACACTCACACACAGACATTCACACACACACTCACACACACACACTCACACACACACTCACACACACACACACACACACACACAGACACAGACACACAGACATTCACACACACACTCACACACACACACACACACAGACACTCACACACACACAGACATTCACACACACTCACACACTCACACACACACACACACACACACACACACACGTTCCCGCAGACCCCCCGGTGCCGCCTGACGCTCTGCAGTGATTGCTCTCGGGTGAGCAGCGAGCAGGAGGCCTGGGCTTTTCAGCGGAAAGTCGGAGCCTGGAGAAAAGGTGCCAGGAAGGGGACTCCCTGACTCTCCCCGGACTGGGCCGCGCCCACCACAGACATCATAGCGGATGGCCACGCCACGGTGGCGCCAGCGGTCCAGGCAGACAGAACAGCCGATGCGGAGCCCTCTGGAGCCTGCCCGCTTTCCTGGGGGAAGGACAGGTCTCCGTGCTTTTAAAAATCGGCCACCGGTGCCTCTGATCCGGTGATATTCTGTGTCGTCCCCCCACCCCCTGGCCCATCGGCAAACCGCGGCTCGGGAGCCACAGGCGGCTCTTTGGCTCCTGGAGGGCGGCTCTTCCACAAAACCGCACGGCCCGGGCGAGTCAGTTGAAGACGTGGCGTTAGAAGTTTACGTTTAGGAAACGTGGCTCTCCAGAGACACGTCCGCTGTCCTGTGGATGTCTGGCTCTGCGGACGATGAGTTTGCCGACCACGGGGCAGACAGACGCGGCGCCGCCCAGAGCCTTAGCTGGCGGCGGTGCCCCCCTCGGCCCAGGAGAGCCCGTGGCCGGCCCTCACCCTCCGCCCTCTCCCGCAGGACGTGGGGCTGCTGGAGTACCAGCACCACCCCCGGGACTTCGCCGCACACCTGTCGCCCGGCGCCCTCCTGCAGCCCCAGCGGCGGCGGCCCTCCCTGCTGTCCGAGTTCCAGCCCGGGGGCGAGAGGTGAGGGCCCGCGGGCATCGTCGGGGGGCGGCGGAGGCCCGGGAGGAGCCGGTCCCTCTCTGCACACAGGGGGCGGTGCCGGGCGGCTGTGCCCGCCGGGCTGGCGCCGTGTGCAGGGCACACACGTGTAGCTGTCCGTGTCAGGGCCACCACGTCGCCGGGGAGTTTGGCTAACGGCGGACGGTGACCCCGCGGGTCTGGCTGGGACTCAGGTTCTGCATTTGGGGGGACGGACGCTCTGGTCCCCGGGCCACGCTCGGGAGCCCGGTGTGTGGGCCCGGGCCCGCGCGCTCCCTGTCAGCGGCAGCCCGTGCGTGTTGGCGGTGCATGTGGACGTGGGCGGACACGTGTGGACCGTGCATGTGGACGTGGGCGGACACGTGTGGACGTGGGCGGACACGTGTGGACAGTGCATGTGGGTCGGACACGTGTGGACGGTGCATGTGGACGTGGGCGGACACGTGTGGATGGTGCATGAGGACGTGGGCGGACACGTGTGGTCGGTGCATGTGGACGTGGGCGGACACATGTGGATGGTGCATGAGGACGTGGGCGGACACGTGTGGATGTGGGAGGACACGTGTGGACAGTGCATGTAGGTCGGACACGTGTGGACGGTGCATGTGGACGTGGGCGGACACGTGTGGACGTGGGCCTGTGGGATGGAGGAGGGACCAGTGTCCTCAGTGCTCGGCAGGGAGGCCGGTGATCGGGACGCTCGCCCCCTCCCCCCAGGTCCCAGGAACTGCACCTGCGCCCCGAGCCACACTCCTACCTGCCCGAGCTGGGCAAGGCGGACATGGAGTTCGCCGACAGCAAGCGCCCCCGCCTGGAGCTGCTGCCCGATGCCCTGCTGCGGCCCGCGCCCCTGCTGGCCCCCAGCCAGCCCGGCGGCGCCGAGGACCTGGCCAAGGTGAGGCTGGCGCTGCCGCTGCCATGGGGGGGGGGTGGAGGGGGGGGCGGCACAGCCTGGGGGCGGGTCCGGGACGGGGCTGGCTCTGTGGGCCGTGGTGTGGCGGGACACCGTGCAGCCTGCAGGGCCACCACGCCCGCCGTCCCCTCCCTCCCCTTTAAAAGAGAAAGTCCAGACCGGCCAGTGTGGCTCAGTGGTGAGCGTCAGTCTAGGAACCAGGAGGTCACGGTTCGATACCCGGTCCGGGCACAGGCCCGGTGCAGGCTCGGTCTCCCCGGCGGGGGGCGTGCAGGAGGCGCCGGTCCCTGATTCTCTCACGTCCTGGATGTTTCTCTCGCTCTCCCTCTCCCTACCTCTCTGACGTCCATGGAAACGCATTTTTAAAGTGGAAGATTGTGCTGGGAGACCGTGCCTGGGCTCAGCCCGTGGTCTGCTGCGGGGGGAGGTTCCTGCTCACTGAACCCGGGCAGTGAGAGGAGGCGCCTCTGTCCCCAGGCCCAGCCGGCGCCCGGGGTGGCCTGGGGCGGGGCTGAGTGACCCGGTGTCCCTCCTCCCAGGCTGCTGCCCCCCCTACCCCCCCGCCCTCCAGCCGGTTCCTCCTCCTGTGCCTCGGCCGCGTGGCCTCCTGGGAGGGGAGTGCTCCCTGAAGTCGACTGGGACCCGCAGGGGTGGGAGGTGGGCGCGGGCACAGGGCCCCGCCGCCGGCCGCCCACACGGGGCCCGGAGCCCTGGGCCGGGCGCTGGGCGCTGGGCGCCTGGAGGGCGGTGCCCCGGGCGGCTCCAGTCCGTCTGCTCGCCCCGCCCCCTGGCGGCTCCCGGAGGCCCCCGCCCTCTGAGGGTCGTTCTCCGCCTCCATGTCTGTCTGTCTGTCCCTGCCTCTGGCTGCCTGGGGCGTGTGTGCGCGTGTGTGTGTGCGTGTGTGCGTGTGAGTGTGTGTGTGTCTGCCTGCCTGCCTTCATCATTGTCTCTGGGCCTGTCTGTGTGTGTGTCTGACTGCCCGTCTCCTGTCTGCAGAGGGTGACCTGTCTGCCTCTGGCTGCCTGGGGCGTGTGTGCGCGTGTGTGTGCGCGTGTGTGCGTGTGTGTGTGTGTGTGCGCGCGAGCGTGCGTGCGTGTGTGTGTCTGTCTGTCTGTCTGTCTGCCTGCCTTCATCATTGTCTCTGGGCCTGTCTGTCTGTGTGTCTGACTGCCCGTCTCCTGTCTGAAGAGGGTGACCTGTCTGTCTCTGGCTGCCTGGGGCATGTGTGTGCGTGTGCGTGTGCGTGTGCGTGTGCGTGTGCGTGTGTGTGTGTGTGTGTGTCTGCCTGTCTGCCTGCCTTCATCGTTGTCTCTGGGCCTGTCTGTCTGTGTGTCTGACTGCCCGTCTCCTCCGTCTGCAGGGGGTGGCCTGTCTGCCTCTGGCTGCCTGGGGCGTGCGTGTGTGTGTGTGTGTGTGTGTGTGTGTGTGTGTGTCTGTGTGTCTCTGTGTGTGTGTCTGTCTGCCTGCCTTCATCGTTGTCTCTGGGCCTGTCTGTCTGTGTGTCTGACTGCCCGTCTCTGTCTGCAGGGGGTGGCCTGCCTGCCTCTGGCTGCCTGGGGCGTGTGTGTGTGTGTGTCTGTGTGTCTCTCTGTGTGTCTGCCTGCCTGCCTGCCTTCATCGTTGTCTCTGGGCCTGTCTGTGTGTCTGACGGCCCGTCTCTGTCTGCAGAGGGTGGCCTGCCTGCCTCTGGCTGCCTGGGGAGTGTGTGTGTGTGTGTGTGTGTGTGTGTGTGTCTGTGTGTCTCTCTGTGTGTCTGCCTGCCTGCCTGCCTTCATCGTTGTCTCTGGGACTGTCTGTGTGTGTGTCTGACGGCCCGTCTCCTCCGTCTGCGGGGCTGGGCCTGTGCTGGCTCAGTGCCGAGCGAGTTGGGAGGGAGCGGGAGGGGGGCTCTGCCGATGCTCAGATGGTTTCCGTGTTGCCGTCTGGGCTTCAGCTGCCGCTCAGGCAGGAATTGGATGGGATTTCTTGTGTTTTTTTCTTCCCTTTTAAAGTGGAAGGGAGAGGGCAGCGAGAGAGGAGGAGAGAGAGAGAGAGAGAGAGAGAGGAGGAGAGAGAAACATCGACGTGAGAGAGACGTAGACACGCCCGATGGTGCCTCCCGTAGGTGGCCCGAGGTGGGGGGGAGCGGCAGTGAGGCGGGACCTAGCCCTGCCCAGTGTCTCAAACCCTCAACCCTCCGGCGTGCCGGCTGAGGCCCCACCGCTGAGCCCGCAGCCAGGGCTGCTGCCGTCCGTCCTCCACTCGGACCCGGGGTGTCCACACCCCCACGTTCACGGCCGCCCTCCGGCTGGAGCTGCCTCCCTCCCGCCGACGCGGCCCCTCCCGGCGCGGGTGCGAGCGCCTCAGCCCGGCTCTGTCCGCCCCGCCGCCTCGGCACCCGGAGGCCCCTCCTGGCGGCCCGCGCTCCACGGCCAGGCCTCGCCTGGGAAGGTGTCCCGCGCCGGCTCCCTCCGCGGTTCCGGGCTGCCCTGGGCACCCCCTCGCGGCCGCGGCCAGCTCCGTCCGGCCGTGCTGGGGACCTGGCCCCGGGGACGGCACCGCTGACCGCTTGAGCTGAAATTCATGCGTGGAATGAGCCCTGTTAGGGGAAATGGGCGAGTCAGTCAGCCTGGGGCCTGGCCGGTGGCTCCGTGGTTACAGCGCCAGCTCGCCCCCCCCACCCCGGGGTTAGGGTTCGATTCCCGGTCCTGGGACCGGGGGGGAGGGTGGGTCTGGTTTCAGCTGGCATGGCGGGTGCGCAGACGGCACAGGGCGGAGGGCAGAGGGCAGAGGGCAGAGGGCGGAGGGCAGAGGGCACGGGTCGTGCGAAGGCCCCCGGGGCCGGAACACTAGCCGCTCCTGGCTCGGCGGGTGCAGGAGGGAGTCAGGTGCCCGCAGGCCCCGGGTCCCTGGGGCAGTGGGGGAGGCGGCTGGCAGCCGCGGTGGCAGCAGTTGTGCCGGGAATAATGTGTCCTCTGTCTTCTGAGCAGCTGCCGAGGGGCGGGGAGACGCAGCCCCGAGCTCCCCCGGGCCTCCCCTGCCTGCAGCTGCCGCTGGCCTTGAGGATGGTGCTGGGCGGGGGCTGGGCAGGCGCTGGGCGGGCGCTGTGTGTGTGTGGGGGGGCTATGCGGGGGCTGGGCGGGGGCTGGGCGGGGGGCTGGGCGAGGGAGCTGTGTGGGCGCTGGGCAGGGGGCTGGACAGGCGCTGGGCGGGCGCTGGGCGGGGGGGGGCTATGTGGGCGCTGGGCTGGGCGGGGGGCTGTGTGGGGGGTTGGGCGGGGGCTGGGCGGGGGCTGGGCTGGGGCTGGGCGGGGGGCTGTGTGGGGGGTTGGGCAGGGGCTGGGCGGGGGGCTGTGTGGGGGGTTGGGCAGGGGCTGTGCGGGCGCTGGGCAGGGGGCTGGGCGGGGGCTGGGCGGGGGGCTGGGCGAGGGAGCTGTGTGGGCGCTGGGCAGGGGGCTGGACAGGCGCTGGGCGGGCGCTGGGCGGGGGGGGGCTATGTGGGCGCTGGGCTGGGCGGGGGGCTGTGTGGGGGGTTGGGCGGGGGCTGGGCGGGGGCTGGGCGGGGGGCTGGGCGGGGGCTGGGCGGGGGCTGGGCGGGGGCTGGGCGGGGGCTGGGCGGGGGCTGGGCGGGGGCTGGGCGGGGGGGGCTATGCGGGCGCTGGGCGGGGGCTGGGCGGGGGGGGCTATGCGGGCGCTGGGCGGGGGCTGGGCGGGCGCTGGGCGGGGGGCTGTGCGGGCGCTGGGCGGGGGCTGGGCGGGGGCTGGGCGGGGGGCTGGGCGGGGGCTGGGCGGGGGGCTGTGCGGGCGCTGGGCGGGGGCTGGGCGGGGGCTGGGCGGGGGGCTGGGCGAGGGAGCTGTGTGGGCGCTGGGCAGGGGGCTGGGCAGGCGCTGGGCTGGGGCTGGGCGGGGGGCTGTGTGGGGGGTTGGGCAGGGGCTGGGCGGGGGGCTGTGTGGGGGGTTGGGCAGGGGCTGGGCGGGGGGCTGTGTGGGGGGTTGGGCAGGGGCTGTGCGGGCGCTGGGCAGGGGGCTGGGCGGGGGCTGGGCGGGGGGCTGGGCGAGGGAGCTGTGTGGGCGCTGGGCGGGGGGCTGGACAGGCGCTGGGCGGGCGCTGGGCGGGGGGGGGCTATGTGGGCGCTGGGCTGGGGCTGGGCGGGGGGCTGTGTGGGGGGTTGGGCAGGGGCTGGGCGGGGGGCTGTGTGGGGGGTTGGGCAGGGGCTGTGCGGGCGCTGGGCAGGGGGCTGGGCGGGGGCTGGGCGGGGGGCTGGGCGAGGGAGCTGTGTGGGCGCTGGGCGGGGGGCTGGACAGGCGCTGGGCGGGCGCTGGGCGGGGGGGGGCTATGTGGGCGCTGGGCTGGGGCTGGGCGGGGGGCTGTGTGGGGGGTTGGGCAGGGGCTGTGCGGGCGCTGGGCGGGGGCTGGGCAGGGGCTGGTCCCCCCTCACTGCCAGGCTGGGAGCCGGGGCCCAGGGCTCATGCAGCTCGGACAGCGTGCCTGGCTCCGAGCTGAGGGCTCTGCACGCCTGAGCGCCTGCAAGCCTCCTCCGGCCGGTGGGCGGGAGTGGCCCCATTGCACAGATGAGGAAACTGAGGCGGGCGGGGCGTGACCCTCCGGAGGGCCGGAGGGGAAGGGGATGTGAACCCAGGGCCCTAACGGTGAGCGCTCATGCACTCCGGTTGGGGCGTGGAGTCGGGGCGACCCCGCGAAGGGTGCCCTCGTTTGTCTGGCTTTGGAAACAGCGCGTTTGCGCAGACGATGACGCTCGGGTGGGGGGGGAGAACGCGGGTAAATTAAAGAGGGCGTGGACTTTTCTGTCCGTCCTCACCCGAGCGTGTTTTTCCCGCTTGTTTTTAGAGAAGCGTGGCAGTTGGGGGGAGAGAATCGGAGAGAAACATCCATGTGAGAGGGATGTGTGCATCTGTTGCCTCCCGCACGCCCCCCACCGGGGACGTGCCCGCCACCAAGGCCCACGCCCCTGACCGGAATCGAACCGGGACCCTTCGTCCGCAGGCCGCCGCTCTGTCTGCTGAGCCGCACCGGGCAGGGCTGAGTTCAGGTTTATGGCGCGGAGCCGTGTCCGTGACTCACCGAGGCCGGCGGCTGCTCTCCTCACTCGGCATCCGAGTGGAGCGGCTGCCGAGACCCCCTGACCCGCCCGCTGACCCCCGCAGGAGCGCAGCCTGGCCGGCAAGCTGGAGCCCGTGTCCCCGCCCAGCCCCCCGCGCGCCGACCCCGAGCTGGAGCTGGTGCCCCCGCGGCTGTCCAAGGAGGAGCTGATCCAGAGCATGGACCGCGTGGACCGTGAGATCACCATGGTGGAGCAGCAGATCTCCAAGCTGAAGAAGAAGCAGGTGCGGGAGGGCGGCCTCGCCCCGTGGCCGTGCGTGGGGCTGCGCCGGTCCGCGCGCCGGCCCCCGCTGTGTCCGTGACGCTCGTGGGACCCGGGGGCGTGGGGGGGCGGGCGTGTCTGAGGACGGGGCTCGTCACGCAGGTTAATCCGAAGGCGCCGAGGTGTGCGCCCACGGAGGGGCCGGGCGTCGGGGCTCGCTGGCGTGGGAGGGGGGTCCCGGGTGAAGGCGGGGGGCAGGTGCGACGATGGGGAGCTGTGTGCCGGGGCCGAGGGCATGGCAGCGCCTTGGGGGGGACGTGGGGTCATCCCGCTTTCCCGAAAGGAGAGGGAGGCGCAGAGAAGGCTGCACGGCGAGGGCGTCTGGGAGGAAGGCCCAGCCTCCGCGGTCTGGCTCCCTCGTCTGCACTGCCTCCCGGGGACGCCGGTTCCGTGGGGAGCAGAGTGGGCGGTGCCCGCTGGCGTTCCGAGAGCCCCATGCGCCCCGGCTCAGCCCCTCCTCCCAGCAGCCCCTGTCCGGGAGGTGCAGCAATAGCCCCATTTTACAGATGAGAAAACCGAGGCACAGCAGCAGGGAAGCTGCTTGCTGATGCTCAGCCCGCCGCCGAGTCCTCAGGGCGGGGGTGGGTGGGAGCCCGGGCGGCCGGCTGCAGAGCCCGAGGCTGGAGCTGGCCCGGGCGGGACCCTCCTGTCCGTCCGTCCGTCCGTCCGTCCCCAGAGCATCGTCAGGGGCCCCTCCAGGGCTCAAAGTCCCCGCGGTGACTCAGAGGAAATGGTTAGCAGCCTGACTTCCTGTGCGCGGCCACCAGCAGCCCGGCCCCCGCGGGCCGCCGCTCCGCCCGCCCCTCCTTCCGCCCGCCCGCCGGGCGCTCACCGCCGCGCCTTCCCGCAGCAACAGCTGGAGGAGGAGGCCGCCAAGCCGCCCGAGCCCGAGAAGCCCGTGTCGCCGCCACCCATCGAGTCCAAGCACCGCAGCCTGGTGCAGATCATCTACGACGAGAACCGGGTAGGTGCCCGCGCCGCCCGCCCGGCCCAGGAGGGGCCCCACACGCTCCCCCTGGGCTCCCAGCTGTGGGGCCCCCCCCCCCGCCCCCCTTGTGCGAGCAGGTGCGCGTACACACACACACACAGACACACACTCTCGGAGGCCTGGGCGGGTGAGTGGGCGGGGAGGGGCCTGGCAGAGGCCCATCGGGGGTGGCTGCCGCGGGTCCCGCTCGGATGCTCAGACGCGGTGCCCGCGGGGCTGGGCCGGCCCGGGGGACGCGGCGTGAAGCGTAGGTGTCTGGTCTTTGCAGGAGAGCGTCGGGCCCAGCTGAGCAGGGCAGGGGGGGGCGGGATGGCCCTGACGTAGGCACCGAGCAGACAGGGCTCCTGTGACGCAGGAGGCAGTCCTAACGCCACGCTGCTTCCTCTCTCCTTTTGAAAAAATACACTTTATTGACTTTTTACAGAGAGGAAGGGAGAGGGGGAGAGAGTTAGAAACATCGATGGGAGAGAAACATCGATCGGCTGCCTCCTGCACGTCCCCCACCAGGGATGTGCCTGCAACCAAGGTCCATGCCCCTGGCCGGAATCGAACCCGGGACCTTTCAGTCCGCAGACCGACGCTCTACCACTGAGCCACACCGGTTTCGGCTGGCGTACGCGGTTTTGAAGCTTGTTGTTCATACAGCAAAATAGCCTACGTATCAAATCGCATAGATATCAGCCTAGGTGTGAAGCCATCCATTAAGAAAAAAAAACCGGCACCATTCACCGGTCCACCCCGCAGCCCTGGCCAGGTCCTGGAGTGGGGGGACCCGGACCCATCACAGGCTGGGGGGGTTCCGAGGGGTCCCCGGCTATAGCTGCCGGGTCTGTGTAGGGGGCTCAGGCTCGGGAAGAAGTTCAGGGGACCCCCCTACCCCAGCAGGATGTCTCCAGGGGCCGGTCCCCAGGGAGAACCTGGTGTCCGGTGAGGTGGTGAGCTCCCCGTCACCCCAGTCAAAGCCCCCGAGAGCCCAGCACCCGTGATTCACCTCTGATGTGCTCGGGGCCTGTGGTGCGGACTGCCCTCCCTGTGTGACGGACGAAGGGCACGGGGCCCAGAGGGCACTTCTCCTCTGTCCGACGTTCCCCGGGGGAGCGTGACCGAGGGGCACCTCTCCTGCCTGCCCTGGCCTCCCCTTTCCGTCCTGCCAGGCCCCCTGACCACCCTCGCCCGCTGTCTCTGCTGGATGGATGCTCGGAGGTCAGGCGGGCGTCTGCAGCCTGGGAGCCCATGACGGACGCCCATGGCTGTAACTCGGGGCAGGAAACGGCTGGAGCAGCGCATGTGCTGCGCCTCTGAAGCAGCCATAGCTGCGGGATGTGACCGAGCGAGCGTGCGGGACCTGGGAGCTGTGGGCAGGGCCTGTGTGGCCGTCACCCGGCCCGCACCCCGGCCCGCACCCCGGCCCGCACCCCAGGGAGCACGTGACACTCGTGACCGTGGGAGAGCTCAGGCCGCGTGTGCTGTGGCCGGGTGGCTGGCTCGGATGCCATCCCTGCTGCTCCCGGCTCCGCGCCCGCAGGCCACTGAGTTCAGCCTGGACGCACGGTCTGCGAAAGGAGACGCCTGTGGCACCGGCCTCGCCGGGGGTGGAGTTAACGTTCGTTACCCAGGCCGTGGTCGGCAAACGGCGGCTCGCGAGCCACACGCGGCTCTCTGGCCCCTGGAGTGTGGCTCTTCCACAAAACACCACGGCCCGGGCGAGTCTACGCTGACCAAGTGGCGTTAGAAGTTTACGTTTAAAACGTGTGGCTCTCCCAAGACACTCCAGTCGTCGTGCTGTCGGTGTTTGGCTCCGTGGACGGAGGAGTTTGCCGAACGCTGGCCTAGAACCGTGCCTGGCACACGTGCCAGCTGTACAGTCACTCTTGTTCCAGTGGGCTGGGTGCATTGCAGACGTCCCATTCATTCATTCTCCCATTTATTTATCCATCCGTTCATTCCTTCGTTCCTTTATCCACCCGTTCACCCATTCGTTTGTTCACTCATTTATCTGTTTTTTTATTTATCCATTCATTCATTCCTTCTTTCCTTTATCCATCCGTTCATTCATTCATTCATTCACTCACTCATCCATCCATTCACCCATTTGTTTGTTCACTCATTTATTTGTTTGTTTATCCATCCGTTCATTCATTCCTTCGTTCCTTTATCCATCCGTTCATTCGTTCGTTCGTTCATCCATCCATTCATCCATTCGCTCATTCATTTACTCGTTCGTTCATTCACTCGTTCATTCATCCACTCGTTCATTCCTTCAGCAGCCACGTGAGGGGATCCTGCTCCGGGGCTGCTCCTGCCACAGGCCCGTCCTTTCTGGGGGAGACAGACTCGTACCCGCGGCGCTTCAGGGCGCGGCCAGGGCAGAGGGTCTGCGGCGACTGCCGGGGCGGCGTCTGTCCCCTCCCCGGAGACCACCCCCTGGATGGGAGGGCCCCGCCCTGGTCGCCCTCCTTGGAGCCTGGGGATTAGAAGGATTTTTCTTCTTCTTCTTCTTTTTTTTTTTTTTTTTAAATAAGCTTCATTGATTTTTTACAGAGAGGAAGGGAGAGAGATAGTTAGAAACATGGATGAGAGAGAATCGTTGACCAGCTGCCTCCCGCACCCCACCCCCATTGGGGATGTGCCCGCAACCAAGGTCCATGCCCTTGCCCGGAATCGAACCCGGGGCCCTTCAGTCTGCAGGCTGACGCTCCGTCCACTGAGCCACACCGGCTTCGAACAGGAGGGTGTCTTCCCGGGCCTCGGTTTCCTCATCTGTGAAATGGGCCCGCACCGTGGCCCTGCGGGCGTCGCGGGCTGTGTGCTCGGCGCTGGCTCCTCCGGGTGCTCCGTGCGATGCTGGCATCGTCATAGCAGCATGCCCCCCCCCCCCCCCGTGCCACCCCGTCACGCTCCGAGCCCCTGGTCTGAGGCGTCTGCTCTGCACGAGGGGAGCTGAGAGCACGGCTCTTCCTGGGGGCCGGGCCGGGCTCTGGGACGAGCTGTTCTAGGTGCCGGCTGGAGCCTCCCTCATGCTCGCTCACTGGGAGGGGGTGGTGGTGATGGGGAGGGGAAGGGGGTTGTGGGGTACGCTGGCCCTCATACCTGCCTCCCAGTAGGACCCGTGGCCTGGGCCCCGCTCCTGTAGCCAACCCATTCCCCAGGCCTCCAGGCACCCCCTTTCAGTGGGTCTGGATTGGGGGTCCCCTGCGGGATCGTCTGGCGTTGGCCCGTCCTCCGGCCCACGCCCCAAACCTAGCGATCCCCTGAGTTTGGCCGAGTCAGGAGCCCCCCCGTTCCTGGCTTCTGGGACAAGATGGGGGGCTCAGGTCCCCACGTGCCCGCTGTGGGTGCCTCGCTTTCCGTCACGGCCCAGATCTGGCCGAGACCCTGCTGAAGCTGCTTCCACAGCCGCTGTCCCCCTCCCGCCCTCCCCGTGGGCCTGGCGCCTCCCCGGAGCGGCCCCTGGTGGTCCCAGGCGGGGCGGGGCGGGGGGGGGCTGGCGGAGGCACAGTGCCCGCCCTCACCGCCCGGCTGCCCAGCTGCTGAATCCAGGCCACCAGCCCCTGCCCCACATGTTCCTGTTTTCCTAATAAGTCCTGGGCGGCCGGGGGAGGGGGAGGCCCCGGCCAGCCGCTCAGAAACCGTCACGTGGGGTGAAACACAAGAATCCTAGAGAGGGTGTCTCCCTGCGGCTCCGTCTCCTGCCTCCAGCCCGCCCGCCTCCGGGGCGCAGGCCGGCACCCCGGGGGCCCGCGTGACCCGCTGGCGAGGGGCTGTGCCCACACCCTGGGCTGGGGCACTGGGCCGGGGGCCGGGAGGGGGCGCCGCGGAGAACAGGCTGCGTCTGTTAGAAGAGAGACTTGGCAAGCTTGCCCGGGGCGCGGGGGCGTGCAGGCCCCCGTGTGCTCGGTTCCAGCCGGGAGGGGGGCGCAGGGGGGCACGGCTCCCCCACCCCCCAGGCTGCCGACGGGCACGCCAGGCTGGGCAGCTGGCTGCCGCTCCTGGAGGCCGCTATTTATAATCCGTTCTGCGTGTGCGTGCGTGTGCGTGCGTGTGCGGTGTCTCATCCCTCTCTCCTCACTCTGCAGAAGAAGGCCGAGGCTGCACACCGGATCCTGGAGGGCCTGGGGCCGCAGGTGGAGCTGGTGAGCCCGGGGGGGAGGGAGAGGGGGCAGAGCTCGAGGAGGGGGCGGCAGGTGGGCGTGGGGGGGGAAGTTCCTATTGCCAAGCGCTGCGGCAGGAAACACCCTCTGATAAGGCCGGGCCGACAGCCAGGCGGGCGCGTGGGGGCGGGCAGAGCCGGGCACTCGGGCGTCCCCCACGCCTGCCGCCCCGGCCACAGGAGGGCGGACCAGCTTGGTGTGGGGAGTCCGCACTCGGGGCTGCGTTCGAGCCCGGGACCCGCCGCCTGGGCGCTGCTGACCCTGAGCGGCTCTCCCTGCTCTGCCTCTCGCCCTCGCCTGGAAAATGGAAGTAGCCGTCGCACTCGTGCCGCTGGGGAGAGCGGGGAGGAGCTGTTTTAAAAAACATGGATGGTTTTATTGACGTCAGAGAGGAAGGCAGGGAGGGAGAGAAAGAGAGACCTCAGTGATGAGAGGGAATCCTGGATCCGCTGCCCCCTGGACGCCCCCCCTGGGGATGGAGCCGCAACCCGGGATCCGAACTCTGACCTCCTGGTTCACAGGTCTCGGTGGGGGTGAAGGTGTGAGGTGGCAGCTCCTTACCCAGCCCCGGGCCCCTGGCTCAGCTCGGCCAGGCGGGCACGGGGATGGGGGTGGAGCGCCCTTGGCGGTTTGCCCCAGCCTGGGGTCGGTCCTCGGCCGCCGAGAACACCAGCCCTTCCCGGCTCCTCCCCCTCCTCGGGCTGGCGCTCGGGGTGGCGGTGGGGCAGGGCCCGGGCCCCCCGGGACCGGCCGGCGTGTTCCGTCCGGGACGTCGGGAGCAGCTGGCACTCAGTTCCGTGCGGGGCTCTGAGGACAGAGTTCCCACCGCACAATCCCTCATTTACAGCCAGCAGCCGGCTGTTCCTGAGGGCCCCCCCCCACACACTGCCGTCGGCAAACTCACCCGTCCACAGAGCCAGATACCAACAGCACGACTGACACTTCTTTTGAGAGTCACACTTATTTTTAAACGTATTTTATTGACTTTTTACAGAGAGGAAGGGAGAGAGAGCTAGAAACATCGACGAGAGAGAAACATCGATCAGCTGCCTCCTGCACACCCCCCACCAGGGATGTGCCCGCAACCAAGGTACATGCCATTGACTGGAATCGAACCCGGGACCTTTCAGTCCGGAGGTTGATGCTCTACCCACTGAGCCACACTGGTCAGGGCTGCCCTGTCCCTTTTCTATACGAGGCACAGAGAGGGCAGCGCCATGCCCGGGTCACACAGCAGGAGGCGTGCTGAGCCCGCGGGGGCGTGGCCAAGGAGCAGTGACAGGCCCGCCTCTGCCGGTCACCGCCAGGCCCAGCGGTGTCCTCCTGGGGAGACGGGGCCAGGAGGGTCAAGGGTCACGGGTCAGTGGTCGGCAGTGTCTCCGGGCTGCAGCCTCCGGGACAGCCATGTGACGCCGGCGAGCGGTGCCCGCCCTGAAGGACTGAGCACGTGGCAGGGACACCCCCCCCCCCCCGGCGCCCCTACACCCCCCCCCCAGCGCCCCTGCACCCCCCCCCCCAGCGCCCCTGCACCCCCCGAGGCCGGGTGGAGGCCTGTCCCAGAGCGGGCGGCGGAGGCTGCGGGCGGGGATGGAGGCTGCAGGAGGGGTGGAGGCTGCAGGAGGGGTGGAGGCTGCAGGCGGGGTGGAGACTGCAGGCCGGGTGGAGGCTGCAGGCCGGGTGGAGGCCTGTCCTGGGGCGGGCGGCGGAGGCTGCAGGAGGGGGTGGAGGCTGCAGGCCGGGTGGAGGCTGCAGGCCGGGGTGGAGGCTGCAGGCGGGGTGGAGGCTGCAGGCCGGGTGGAGGCTGCAGGCGGGGTGGAGGCTGCAGGCGGGTGGAGGCCTGTCCGGGGCGAGCGGCGGAGGCTGCAGGCGGCAGGCGGCAGCGCGGGCGCTGCTTTAGTCACGCTTCCTTCCTGTCGGAGGAGCTATTTTAGGCGCCTGGTGTCACCGCAGGGTGAGCCGGCGGACACCTCGTTTCTCACAGCGGCCACCTGGGCCGCCGCCCGCCGGCTGGAGCCCCCTCGTCCCCGAGCCCGGCTCCTCCTCCTGTCATCGGCTCGGCTGCTGCCGTCAGACCCGCCTTCCTCCCCTCTCAGCCTCCGCGTATCGGGCTGTGCCCCCTTTTAGCCGGGAAATGGAGGCGGAGAGGGAGGCCCAGGCCCGGCCCCGCCTGGCTCTGGGGTCTGGGAGGGGTCCCCCGAGGCAGCGTGGCCCCAGCTGAGGGGAACCGTGAGGGGGGAGAGGAGGGGAGGCTGGCCCGGGCTGCTGGGGCTGAGGGCCAAGGTCGCTGGTCGCCTCCGTCCTGGGACTGGCCCGTGGTGGTCGGGGTCCGGCGGGAGCAGCCGTGTCTGGGGGGGTCTGAGGGGTCAGGAGGCGTGTCCGCTGTGTCCAGGAGACATCCGGGGCCGAGCCCGGGCGCCCTCCGCCTCACCCCGGGCCCTGCCTGAGGCGCTGGGTCTGGTCCTGCTGGGTCTTCACTCTCTGTACCTGGTTCCTCTGTCGCAGTCACCCCTGGCTGCCCGCGAGCTGCCTGCTGCCCGTGGGGCCCGAGAGAGACGGGAGAGGGGACACGGAAACACCCAGATGGACACGGGCACAGGCAGAGAGAGCGAGAGAGAGCGAGAGCGAGAGAGAGCGAGAGCGAGAGAGAGCGAGAGAGAGACATCCGTGATGGGAGAATCGTGGACTAGCTGCCTCCTGCACGCCCCCCACTGGGGATGGAGCCCGCCACCTGGGCCTGTGCCCTGACTGGGAATCGAACCCTGACCTCCTGGTTGCTAGGTCGATGCTCATCCCCTGAGCCACGCCGGCCGGGCCCATGTGCAGGCTTTAACACGGTTCCTTCATGGCTCTCCGAGGCCTGGTGCTGTGTACACGTGTGTGAGCCGGGCGCCAGCCTCCCTGTCCCCGTGCCCTCGCCTGTGCCGGGCGTGGCGGGCTTGTCTCCCGTCCTGGGGGCTGGTGTGTTGTCCCGGGGGCAGGCGTGTTGTCCCGGGGGGCTGGCGTGGCGTCCCGGGGGCTGGCGTGTCGTCCCGGGGGGCTGGCGTGGCGTCCTGGGGGCTGGTGTGGCGTGGCGTCCTGGGGGCTGGCGTGGCATCCCGGGGGGCTGGTGTGTCGTCCCGGGGGCTGGTGTGTCGTCCCGGGGGCTGGCGTGGTGTCCCGGGGGCTGGCGTGCGCTCTCTGTGGTTTGGACGTGGAGCAGTGGAGCCGGCACAGCCCGGTGCCTGCAGAGCAGCCGCGGTGCCGGGGCAGGAAGTCGCGGTGCCACCATGTGCCCCGAGGGCCACAGTCTGTTCCTGCCGGCGCCGCGGGCTGGGTCCCCGTGTTCCCCGTTCCCAGTGGCCGGTTCTCCCCAGCCGACGCCAGCTCCAGGTTCAGGGCGCGGGCGCCGGGCGGGCCGGGCTGCAGGCACGGCGGGGCCCTGACCGGCTCCTCTCCTACCTCCGCAGCCGCTGTACAACCAGCCGTCCGACACCCGGCAGTACCATGAGAACATCAAGATGTGAGTGCAGGGCGATGGGGCGGGGCGGGGCGCGGGGCAGGAGGCGCGGGGCGGGGGCGCGGGGCAGGGGGTGCGGGGCGGGGCGGGGCGGGCTGCGGACTCCGGGGAGGAGAGGGGGCAGGAGGCGGCCCAGGAAGGGGGCGGTTTGGGGCAGAATCCGGACCAGGCAGGACCTGGACGGGGTCCGAGCCGGCCTGGGGGGGAGAGGGGAGGGACATAGATCTCGGGTGGGGAGGGCGGGGAGGACGCTGTGTGCAGGGACAGAGCCCTGGAGAGCCGAGGTGGGGGGCGGGGATGCCCCCTGGTGGGCAGGGGAGCGGGCTCAGCAGGAGGGGCGGCCGCGGGGTGAGCAGGGCCGGTGTCCGGGCTCCGGTCCTGGTCGGTCCTGCTCCGAGTGTATCGGAGTGTCCTGCTGGCGGGTTGGGTCGGCACGGCCAGTGGGAGCACCCCTCTCGGCCCCGCCAGGCGTGGCAGGTGCCAGTGCCGGGCCCCTTGGGATCTGTGCGGGGGAGGGAGGCCGGGTGGCTTCTGTGTCCAGAGGCTGGTGCTGCGCCCGCAGGGCGGGAAGCACCGGGGCTGGGAGACCTGGGGGGGCGGCAGGCAGCTGAGGGTGCCGGGGAGCCGGGCCTGTGGGAGCCGTGGGGCGGGGGCTGGGGGGTCAGGGACGGGTCCCGTGGACGCCAGGGTGGGGATGGACGGCGAGGCCTCGTCCTGAGATGGCAGTTGAGGGTGCAGGTTCTGGTCCACGAACATCGCCCACTGGGCGCCACTCGCTCCCCCGAGTGCCTCGGTTTGCCCGTCTGAATGGGGTGACCGGCGCCCGTCTCCCAGGGCTGCTGAGGGTCCGGGAGTCGCTGTCCCGGAGGCGTTCTGGGATTGCTGTCCTTTTCCTTTAAAAATCCTTACCCGAGTCAGGGTCCTTTCCACTGATGTTCAAAGATAATGCGGGGGGGGGGGGGGAGACAGAGAGAGAGAGAGAGAGAGAGACCGACAGACATGTGAGAGAGACCTCCGGACCAGGGCTGGGAATCAAGGCAGGAACCGAGGTCCATGCCCTCCACCGGAATCGAACCCGCAACCGTTCGGGCCTCCGGCGGAGGCTCTGACCGCCGGGCGGCCGGCCAGGGCTGTCCCTCTGGCTTGGCAGGCGCCTTCGTCCTTCTTCCCACAGAAGAGCCGGGCTGTGCAGCCCCGGGGAAGTGACGAGCCTCTCTGAGCCCCCAGGCACGACCGCACGGACCCGGGCGGACCTGGGTGCGCGCGGCTCTGGGCCCGGGAGACGCGGGGCGGGCGGCAGGAGACGTGCCCGCCAGGGGTGACGGCCGGACAGGACAGGGTCCCGGCGGCGGAGGGAGAAGGGGGGGCGCAGGGGGGACGCAGGGCGTCGCCGCTCCCCGCCCGCCCTCGGCCCCCCTCCTCGCCGCCCGCCGCTGTGAGCGCCGCCCGGTGGGAGGCGATCCCTCCCCGGGGACCTTCGCTGTCACTTCAATCTGCCGCGTCTGCGCGCGGGGCCGGCGCTGAAGGTAATTTCACGCCTGGCTTCCTGCCGCTCTGGCGATGCTGCAGGTCGCCGGGCCCGCCCCGCTGCTCCCCTCCGCCACCCGCCGCCTGGGACGTGTGTGCCTGCGTGGTGGCTGCCTGGGCCCAGGGCGGGCACTGCCAGACCCCTCTGCCCTGGGTGGGGTGGGGGCGGGGGCGGGGGCGGGGCTGGGGCCGCCCGGAGCGGAGCAGGTGGGTGCTCTGCCCGGCACAGGTCTCCGTGGTCGTGTCTGGGGTTCAGAGAGGGTCAGACACTTCCCCAGGCTGCACAGCCTGGCCCCCAGGCGCCCCCGCCCCCTCGTTCCCTCTCTGGGGCTCCAGCCCGGGCTCTGCCCCCCCCCCCCCCGCCCGGTTAGCCCCTCCCCCGCCTGTCAGTGAGCCGGTCTCCTCGGAGCGTCTGTTTTGCGTGGGAAAAGGGCTTCAGGCCATCCGTCACCCGGTCCAACAGCCTCTTCCCACAGCCCTTTCTCGCCTGGAACCTCTGCTTCTCCCAAACCCAGCGCAAACCTCTCCTCCTCCGGGCAGCCTCCTGGATGGCCCACGCGTTCCCATCCCAGAGCCGCCCGGGGGCCGGCAGAGTCTCCCCAGACCCTCCGGCTCCTGGTGTGTGTCTCCGTCCGGTGCACGCCTCCCCTGACCCTCCCCGGGGCCCTCGGAGAGAACACGCGTGTGCCGTGAGCCGTCTCCGACGCCAAAACGCTTCTCGGTTCAGAATAAAACATTCGACGTGTTTGCTGAGCGCGGGGCCCCCAAGCCGGCCGGCCGGGTGCTGCCCGCACGAGGGCCGGGCGGGAAGCTCAGCCGAGGGCCGGGCGCGGAGGCTGGAGGGCGTGCGGGGCGCCGGGAGTGAACGGCCGGCTCCGGCCTGTCGAAGGGCCCCGGGCCTCGGTCCCCAGGGAAGCGCTGAGTTTAGCTTTTTTCAGAGAACGTTTTGTTGATTTCGGAGAGGAAGGGAGGGGTCTGCAGGTGTGGGGTCCGCAGAGCCCTGTCCGAGGGGCAGGGTGTCCGATCTCACCGAGTTCGGTGCGGGCTGCTGTGGGGCCGGCGAGGGCGCTGGGGGCCTGGGCGGGCGCCTGACCGCCCCTCGCTGTCCCCGCCGCCCAGAAACCAGGCGATGCGGAAAAAGCTGATCTTGTACTTCAAGAGGAGGAACCACGCCCGGAAGCAATGGGTAAGCCCCCGGCCCCCCGCCCGGCCCGGCCTCCCCCATCCGGGCTTTCTGCCCAGGCCTCACGTGACCGGGCCTCGTGCGTATGTCTGTGTGGCCCCCGTGTTTCCCTGTGTGTGTATGTATGTGTCTGCATGATGGTGGACGTGTGCATGTGTGGCTGAGGCCGTGCATGTGTGTGTATGTGTGTGTGCAGCTGTGTGTGCACGCATCAGCGTGAGGCGGTGCTTGAGTGTGTGACTGAGTGCATGTGTATGCCTGTGTGTGTGTGTATGTGTGTTTGTGTTTGCGTGTATGTGTGTTTGCGTGTGTTTGCGTGTGTTTGTATGTGTGTGCGCAGCTGTGTGTGCACGCATCAGCGTGAGGCGGTGCTTGAGTGTGTGACTGAGTGCATGTGTATGCCTGTGTGTTTGCGTGTATGTGTTTGTGTGTGTTTGTATGTGCGCGCGTGCGTGCCTGTGGGTCGGTGTGACGGTGTCCGTGCAGAGTGGGCGGCAGTGGGGGGCAGCGGAGGCTGCGGGGTGCAGGGCCTCAGCGTGCCCCCCCCCCCCCCCCCCGCGGTGCCAGGAGCAGAAGTTCTGCCAGCGCTATGACCAGCTCATGGAGGCCTGGGAGAAGAAGGTGGAGCGCATCGAGAGCAACCCGCGGCGGCGTGCCAAGGAGAGCAAGGTGCGCGAGTACTACGAGAAGCAGTTCCCCGAGATCCGCAAGCAGCGCGAGCTGCAGGAGCGCATGCAGAGGTGAGCGGGCGCCCGCGCCCCCGCCGTCCGCCCTGCGGCCTGCGCGGCCCCCGGGGGCGGCTGGGTGTGAGGTCCCTGGTGGGTCCGAGGGGAGAGGGCCGACCGCCTGGTGTAGAAGCCGGGAGCGCGCAGCTGGTCCGCTGTGGCCCAGAGTGAGGACTGAGTGAGAGCGCACAGTAGGTGCTCGGCGCCCGGCGCACAGTAGGTGCTCTGGCCCCTGTTGCCCTTTCCCCTTTAGTGACGTGGGCGAGGGGATGGGCGGAGGAGCGGTGATGACAGACCTCACTGTCCGCGCGACGCTCGCAGTGTCTATCGATGCCTCCTCCCCGGGTGGGAGCTGGTGCCACGCGGGCCCTGTGCTACAGGGGAGGAAACTGAGGCACAGGTGTGGGGGGGAGCTGAGCTGGGATCTGCGCGGCTGGCCTCTCGGCGCATCCCAGAGCGAGAAGGGGCCGGGCACCCTCCGGCGTTGGGGTTCAGGCGTCCCTGGGTCAGGCGGGGCCCCCTGCTCTGCCCGGACCCCCGGGCGGTGGGCCGAGCCTGCGGGGGCGGCCTCCGGGGCGGCTGCGGGCTCGGTCTGCGCCCGCGGTCCTGAGCGTGTCCCTCCGGCTCCCAGCAGGGTGGGCCAGCGCGGCGGCGGCGGGCTCGCCATGGCGGCCGCCCGGAGCGAGCACGAGGTGTCCGAGATCATCGACGGCCTCTCGGAGCAGGAGGTGAGTCCGGCCTGACGCCGCCCCACCGCCCTCTGTGCACCCCGTGGGCACCTCCTGCCGGCCCACAGCCCTGCCTGCTCGGCGGGGGCACCCCAGGATCCCTCCTTCAGCCCTGGGACCCTGGCTGGGGCCCGGAGAGGGCCCTGGGCGCCGGGGGCGGGCCTGGGAGCCTCGAGGAGGCGGGCGCCACCTTCCCCCGGGCCCTGTGTCCCGTGGGACGTGTGGTCCGTCCAGCGTGGCTCCGTGGAGGTCCCGGTTCGATCCCCGGTCGGGGCACAGGCCCGGGTTCCGGCTCCATCCCCAGAGGGGGGCGTGCAGGAGGCCACCGGCCCATGATTCTCTCTCCTCGTGGATGTTTCTGTCTTTCGCTCCCTCTCCCTTCCTCTCTGCAATCCGTAGAGACATATTTTAAAAAATAATAATAAATTAACGTCAGCTGAAGTGAAATACGGTCAAAGCCTGTTCCTCAGTCACGCTGCGCAGTCTGTCCGTGGCTCCGAGGGCCCGGGGTTGCCCGAGTGCCGGGGACATGGCGCCTGGTTTGGAAGGGTCCTGGGGTGGCCGCTGAGCAGGCCCCTCCCCCAGCCCGGGGGTCCCGGCCGGCGCTGAGCGGCCCTCCCCCAGCCCGGGGGTCAGGGTTAGGGTGGCTGCTGAGCGGCCCTCCCCCAGCCCGGGGGTCCCGGCCGGCGCTGAGCGGCCCTCCCCCAGCCCGGGGGTCAGGGTTAGGGTGGCTGCTGAGCGGCCCTCCCCCAGCCCGGGGGTCAGGGTTAGGGTGGCTGCTGAGCGGCCCCCCCGTCGCCCGCAGAACCTGGAGAAGCAGATGCGGCAGCTGGCGGTGATCCCGCCCATGCTGTACGACGCCGACCAGCAGCGCATCAAGTTCATCAACATGAACGGGCTCATGGACGACCCCATGAAGGTGTACAAGGACCGGCAGGTCATGAACATGTGGAGCGAGCAGGAGAAGGAGACCTTCCGCGAGAAGTGAGCGCGCCGGGGGCCGGGGACGGGGACGGGGACGGGGACGGGGACGGGGCCGGGGCCGGGGGCCGGGGGAGCATCTGGGACAGTGCCGCCCCAGTGCATGATGGGTGACTCCCGCCAGGCCTGGGCTGCACCGCGGTGGCTCAGAGCGGGGGTCGTCCTGGGCGAGGGTACGTGGAAGCCGTGGCGTTAGGAGAAGTTTACGTTTAAAAACGTGGCTCTCCAGAGAAACGTCAGTCGTCCTGTGGGCCCTTGGCTCTGTGGACAAATGAGTTTGCCCACCACGGGCTTAGAGCAACAGGAGGTCATCCTCCCCGAGCCGGAGGCCAGAGGTCGAGGTCACGTGTCGGCGGGGCCGGTCCCTTGACTTAAGGGAGAGGGAGGGGGAGAAGAGGGGAGAGAGCCGTCCCTGGTGGAGAGAATCGCGGGTCGGCTGCCTCCCGCACGCCCCCTACTGGGGACCGGGGGCGTGTGCCCCGAGCAGGAATTGAACCATGACCTCCGGGTTCACGGGCCGAGGCTCAACCCGGGAGCCACGCCCGCCGGATCCGGCTCCCTTCTGAGCTGCTCTCCCGGCTCCCCGGCTTCTGAGGGCCGGAGAGTTCCTTTACGGCGGGGGCCGGGGGCCGGGGCAGTCTCTGCGCTTCCCAGGGCCGGGGGCCGGGGGCCGGGGACCAGGGCCGGGGGCCGGGCCAGGCCCGCCGTGCGGACACCCGGACTGGGCGGAGCGGGTGGAGGGGCCCGGGTCCCCGTGCCCGCGGTCTGCACAGGAAGCAGCGCTGTGGGTACAGTTCCCGTGGCGTGCTCAGGGTTTCAGGTCCGAGACGGGTCCGGGGCTCCTGCTGGGTCCTCGCAGTCACGGCGCGCCCCCACCCCGGGGCCCAGTCCCCCGTCCTCCGTGGGCGCGTGTGACATGCTTCAGCCGTGAAGCGGCAGAGCCGTCCGGGAGGCCACGAGGCAGCGTGGCCCTGGCACGGGGCGTGTACGTCCTGGCGTGGCTGGGGTTTCTGTGGTTACGCCGTCTTCACCAAAAGCAGGTGCTTCTGGGTCCACGGCTCGCGCTGGCAGGCCGGGCCGGGCCGCGGGGCCTGTTTGGTGGCCCATGGCGTTCCCGGGCGGCGTTCCGGGCGGCGGTCCCGGGCGGTGGTCCCGGATGGCGGTCCGGTTGCGTCTGGTTTTCGGTGGGATGGGTCTGGTGCACTCAGAGCCTTGAGAGTCCCGTGTGGGTGGCACAGGCTCGGCCGCCCCGTTCCTGAGCCTCGGTTTTCCCGTCTGTGAACTGGGAGAGCAGCAGCGCCTCGGCCTCCACCTGCCACGAGGCTCCCGGTCACCACTGACCGAGGACACCGTGTGGGTGGGGGCGGAGGACGGGGCCGAGGACGGGCCACGCTCCCTTCCTGGCCTTCCGGGCCGCCTCTGCCAGAGGGAGCCCGCAGCCCGGGTTCGGGGAGGGGGGGGTGTCCTGGGGCGGGCAGGCGGGCGGGCGGGGCCGGAGCCGGTCGGTCTGGAAGGGGAGGGCGCTGGGGCCGCCCGAGGCGGGATCCTGGGCGGGGACTCCGGGCCTGGCTTCCCCGGGAAGAGCGAGGAGGCCGGTCCGGATTTTCCGGTGTCTGGTCGGGGAGCCGGGAGGGGCCGCTGGCCTCCCGCCCGGCCATCTGGAGGGCCCGGCTCCGGCCCAGGCGCCCTCCTGGGACCCGGGCCCCTGCCTCTCCCTCCACAGCCTCTCCTCTGCCCTGGGCGGCGGCGGCCGCGGGGCCGGGCTCGCGTGGGGACAGCCGGCCAGGCCTGGGCCCGGGCCAGCGGCTCCGCCCGGCCTCCCGGGGCCTGGGCGGCCCTGACCCACATCTCCACCCCCGCTGGCCGGGCCCCGCCGTGCCCGCCTGCCGCGCGTTCCCCGTGTTTCCCGGCTTCCCAGGAAGCCATTGGTGGGGCGCCAGCTCCGCCGCCCTCTGGCTGTGAGCCTTCCTCGCCGCCGCCTCCTGGCCGGCCGCCGCCCCGAGGGCTCTCAGCCCAGCTCCCCGGCGGGGCCTCGCCGCAGAGAGAGACAAAAAGCAGGTTTAAAGGGGGGGGGGGGGTCCGGTGCCATGTCCTCCTCTTTCCTGGAAGCGCCTCCAGCGGGACAAACAAACGCATTTTCAAAGGCGCGAACGTGGTGACTCACTCCAGCGACGCCCTCACAGCCTCGGCGCCTCCCACGCCCTCCCGGGTAATCTCTGGCCAGCGGAGAGGGCAGGCTCCCCGGAGCTCGGCGGCGGCCCCCGGGAGCCCCCGGCCCGCACTCAGCGCTCCCCTCCCCGCAGGTTCATGCAGCACCCCAAGAACTTCGGCCTGATCGCCTCGTTCCTGGAGAGGAAGGTGAGTCAGCCGGCTGCCCGCCCGCCCCCCCACTGGCATCTCTTCCCGGGGCGGCCCCGGGCGGGCGAGGGGCGCCCTCCCTGTCCGGGGGCTTCTGCCCGGGGCCCGGCTCTGCGGCCTGTCAGTCCGTCTTTCCCTCCGTCCTCCCTCCCGGGAGCCTGGCCACGGCCCCGCCCACACCTCCCGGCCGAGGGCGGAGCCGGGGCTGGGAGAGCCGGGGAGCCGGTGCCTCCCGCGTGTGCGCATGACCCACGGCATCCTGGCCCCCCCCCCCCCCCCAGGTTCTGGGGGCCCCGGGTCTGAGTGTCCTGGCCGAGGCTTTATGGCCGGGGCAGGACGGAGTGACCCTCCTCAGCCCTCTGACACACACACCCTGTGCTTGCTGACGCCTGATGCCACGCCAGGCCCGTGGCCCGTGGGTCCCCATCCCTCGGACACACCATCCCCTGGCACCGGCTCTCGACCCCCACTTCAGGCCCAGGCGGCCGGCGTCCCTCTGTGCCCAGCTCCCCCCGGGGCCCCCCGACGTAGTGAAGCCCTCACCCCGGGAGCCGCACTGAGCCCCCTCTGGTTCAGGGGTGGACGCTCAGCCACGGAGCCACACCCACTGGGCATCACGTGTGTGTGTGTGTGTGTGTGTGTGTGTGTGTTTAAAAAATATATTTTATTGATTTTTTACAGAGAGGATTTTTTACAGGGAGAGGGAGAGAGTTAGAAACATCGACCAGCTGCCTCCTGCACACCCCCCATTGGGGATGTGCCCGCAACCAATGTCCATCTTGACCAGAATCAAACCCGGGACCTTTCAGTCCGCAGGCCGACACTCTATCCATGGAGCTAAACCAGTTTTGGCTGCCTTTTTATTTTTATTTTTTTAAATATATTTTTATTGGTTTCAGAGAGGAAGGGAGAGGGAGAGAGAGAAACATCCACGAGGAGAGAGAATCATGGGCCGGCTGCCTCCTGCCCGTCCCCCACTGGGCCTGTGCCCTGACCGGGAGTCGAACCCTGACCTCCTGGTTTATCGTCCACGCTCAGCCGCAGAGATACACCAGCTCCCCCTCCGCCTGTTTTTCTGTTTTTGTTAATTTTTGTCGATTGGTTTTGGTGAGGGAGAAGCTTGGGTTTGGTGTCCACGTACTGGTGCGTTCTTGGGTTGATTCCTGGGATAGAACCTGCAACCTCGGGGTGTTGGGTGACACTGACCCACGGAGCCGTCTGCGGGGCCCTCCGCTGTCTCCCAGGACGTCCTCTGACTGTGGGCCCCGTGGGGAGACCGAGGCAGGGAACAGACGGGAACGAATGTTCCCGGAGAGGAGAGGGCCTCGGGAGCCGGCGTCCGCCCGGATGTGCGAAGCTTAGGCCCCAGATCTTAGGGGAGAGGAGGCTGGGCTGAGAGGGGGGAGACCCCAGGCAGACCCCGGGGACCTGCATCTGAGCCCGTGGCCCCGGCGGACGCTGTGCAGGGCGCTCACCCGCCGACTGGGTCCCAGCCGCGGTGATGTGTGTGCGGTCAGCGTCCCCGTTTTACAGGCGAGCAGACTGAGGCCAGGGCGTGGGCGCGGCGGGATTCGAACCGGCCGGGGCTCCGGCGGCCTGCTCAGCGCCTCCTCCCTGTCCGCCCGCAGACCGTGGCCGAGTGCGTGCTCTACTACTACCTGACCAAGAAGAACGAGAACTACAAGAGCCTGGTTCGGCGCAGCTACCGCCGCCGCGGCAAGAGCCAGGTGAGCCCTCCCAGCATGCCCGGCGGCGGCGGCGGGGACGCCCTCTCCAGGGCGGCTGGCCTTCCCCAGCAGCGAGGAACGGGAGCTGGGCGACGTGGCCTTTGGGTCCTCGGCCTGGAAAATTCCGGAACTCGGCCTGACGTGACCCGGGGCCGCGGCGGTTCCACGGCTCCGTTCTCCGCCCTGGCCGGTCAGGGGCGGCTCAGTGGATAGCGCACCGGCCCGCAGACCGGAGGAGGGTTCGATGCTGGACAAGGGCATGCACCCCCGTGGCAGGCGGGATCCGTGGCCCTGGCCGGAGCCACGCCAGAGGCAGCCCATGGATGTGTCTCTCTCACGTCGGTGTTTCTCTCTGTCTCTCCTCCTCCCTTCCGCTCCCCCTGGAAATCAGTGGGAAAATATCCTTGGGTGAGGCTTAACAAACAAACAAAAGGCCACGTTCTGAGCGCTAGAGCCGGGCTCCCAGGCTGATGTGGGCTGGCCCACAAACCCACCGTTTTATTATTTTTTTTAAATTTTATTTTATTGGTTTTAGAGAGGAAGGAAGGGAGAGAGACAGAGAGAGAAACAGCAATGATGAGAGAGAATCATTGATTGTCTGCCTCCTGTCTGCCCCCTACTGGGGATCGAGCCTGCAACCGAGGCCTGTGCCCTTGGCTGGAATCGAACCTGGGACCCTTCAGTGTGCAGGCCCACCTCTATCCACTGAGCCACACCAGGCAGGGCAAACTTAGCGTTTTAGAAACATGGTAACCCTTTGCATGCTTTTGTTATTTTAAAAATATATTTTGTATTATATAGTTTCCACTGAGAGGAAGGGAGAGGCACAGAGAGTTAGAAACACGGATGAGAGAGAAATACTAATCAGCTGCCTCCTGCACACCCCCCACTGGAGATGTGCCTGCAACCAAGGTCCATGCCCTTGACCGGAATCGAACCTGGGACCCTTGAGTCCGCAGGCTGTTGCTCTATCCACTGAGCCACAAGGGCCAGGGCTGCGTGTTTATTTTCTTGCGTATTCGGGAGAAGGATTAGCCAGTCCTGCGTCCTGTGACTTTTCAGACTCTGCTGCTAAGAGTGGGGGCGGGGTTAGAGCAGAGCCTGGCACAGGCTGGCCGCCACCTGCTTCTGTGAATCAGGTCTTATTGGCGTGCGGCCACGCCCCCTCGTTTGCATATCGCCGTGGCAACAGCCATCTGCAAAGCCTGGAAAACGGGTCCGCCGACCTCCGAGTTAAAGGAACAGGAGTTGGTGTAAAAAAATAACCACCCGAGCCCTGGCCAGTTTGGCTCCGTGGACAGAGCGTCGGCCTGCGGACGGAAGGGTCCCGGCTTCGATTCCCGGTCGGGCCCAGGTTGCAAGCTCGAACCCCCGTGTGGGGCGTGCAGGAGGCCGCTGATCCATGATTCTCATCATTGATGTTTCTATCCCTCTCTCCCTCTCTATTCCTCTCTAAGATCAATAAAATATATTTTTAAAGAAGTAAGTAAGAGGATAAAAAGGAAGCGTTAACAAAATGGAATCGTTAAAAAAGAATCCAGTCCCTGTGGGTAGAGGGGACGGGTCACTGGCCCATGCAGACGGGGTCTCGGCGGCAGCGGCCGCGTGGTTGGGGAGAGGGAAGGGGACGGATCTGTTTGCAGAGAATCCCCCCCGGCCATCCTGGGGCCCCGGCGGGTTTGGGCGCGCCCCTCTCTCCCGGCCCCGGCACCCCGAGATTCAGCCCTGTGCCCGGTGCCCGGCGTCTGGGCCGAGGCCTGAGCATCCTCCCGGCTGAGTCAGCGGCTGAGGCTGGGCCAGCCCGAGCCCTGGGTGGCGGCTGGCGGTTTATAGCCGTGATTCAGCGACGAGGGCGAGGGGCGAGCCATCTCAGCCGTGGCCGGGGCGGCCTGGCTCTGCGGGGAGCCGGGCGGGGCGGAGGCGGCTGGCCGGGCAGCAGGGCCTATCCCCCAGCCGGTAGGACCGCCCGGCGTGGCCGGCCGTGGGGGCGCCGTGCGGCCGAGGGGGCGTGTCCCCCGGGGTGAGCTGGGGCTGGCTTGTCGGTCGGGGAGGGGCTCATGGCCTGTGGCCTGTGGCCTGTGGCCGTCTTTGTCCGTGGAGCGGAGGGGGTGCAGGTCAGGGAACCTCGCCCCGGGCGCCCGGCCTGCTGCCCCTCGGGGACCACAGGCCTCACCCCACATCTCCTGCCGGCTCCTGGGAGGGTCTCTTTTCCTGTTTCCTGTTTCCCCGTTCCCACCTCTCTCTGTCTCGAATGTTCACTCACCGCACATATACACACAGAGACACACACGCAGAGAACACACGCGCACACAGGCACAGGCACGTGTACGTTCACAGGCTCACTCACCGCACATGCACATGCACAAACACATGCACGTACACAGACACACACGTGCACACCCCTCCCTGCTCCCTGGCCTCTCTCTCTCCTTCATCTTTCCTCCCCCGCCCCCCATCCCCGCTGAGGTGGGTGACCTTGCCCCGCGGCCGGCACCCACTGTGGCCCGCCTGCGGCGGGGACGGCCCCGAGGGAGGGGGCAGCGTGTGCAGCCGGCTGGCGCGGGTGTCCATCCCCCCCCCCCCCTGCCAGCTGCAGGAGGCCGCTTCCGCCCGGCGGGGGGCCGGCTGGGCTCGGGCTGAGCGAGCAGATGTTCCCGCTCCCGCCCGTGTGTGCTGAGCGGGAACACGCCTGCGGGGGCCCAGATGGCCCCGGGGACGCCGCTCCCGGGAGGCCGCGGTGGGGGCCCGGGACCAGGCACGCAGGCTGCTGTGTTCGCGGAGACCGGCCCGCGCCTCCTGGGCCGTGATGGGGGCGGGGGGCAGCACAGGGAGCGGGGCGGCCCCGTGAGCCGCACGGAGCAGGAGGGCTGAGCTGAGGCCAGGACGCGGGGCACGTTTCTGGGGAGCCGGAGGCGCGGGGAGGGGGCGGCCCTCAGGGAGCCGACCCCAGGCTTCCCGCCGAGGGTCACGCGGCTCAGATGGGCCAGGAGGGTCCCAGGCAGGGCTAGGGGCGGAGGCTGAGGCTGAGGGGCTGGGGGCAGAGGGGCTGGGGGTGGAGGTGCTGGGAGGCTGGGGGCAGAGGGGCTGGGGGGGGTCAGTGGAAGGCTGGGGGGTGGGAGGCTGAGGCTGAGGGGCTCGGGGGGGCTGAGAGGCCAGAGTGGGGGATTGGGGTGGGGGTGGTGGAAGGCTGGGGGGGGCAGGGCGGGAGGCTGGGAGGCCGGGGGTTTGGGAGGGGTTGGGGGGAGGCCGGAGGCTGGGCAACTGTCGTGTGGAGCTGCTGTGCCAGCCGCGGGCCCCATCAGTGACTGTGAGGAGGAGGTGGCCCCGGGGCCTGGGGACCCGCAGCCTCGGCCCCGAGGACAGGGCTTGGAGAGAGGGGAGGACCGGAGAGGGAGGGGGGGCCGCGGGGAGGACCAGAGCCGCCCCGGAGCCACCGTGGCTCGGGGCTCCTGGCACAGAGCGGCGGGCGGTCTCGGAGACGCCGAGCTGCGCCCTGCGGTCAGAAAGCCCCGTCTGCCGGCCCGGCCCGGGCGCCGGCTCCTGGGTGTGCCCACCGGCAGCGTGACAGGTGGAGACGCACCACGCGGGCGTCCCCTCAGCAGCCACACACCTCCCATCCCCGTCCTCCTCCCCGACTCCCGCGCCCGCCCTCGCCTCCCCGCGGACGTGGGCGCGGACGTGGGCGTGGGCGCGGGCGCGGGCGTGGGGGCTCGGGGCTGGGACCACGGGCTGGGCCCGCTCCCCCGTGGCTCGGCGGGGAAGGCTCCGTGGGCGGGAGGGGCTGGTGGAGGTGGGCCTGGCGAGTCGGGCCCGGCAGGTCAGGAGTCAGCAGTGAGGTGGGGGCGGCGGGCGGGGTGGGGGAGGCTGTTCGACGTCAGCCCTTCCGCCTGGCCATGGCCCGTCCTCCTGCAGAAAGGGGGGCTGTCGGGAGGGGCAGCCCTGGCCTGGGGGTTCCCGGTGGAAACCCCCCGCCTCGCGTCAGAGACTCCCTGCCGGCCCTCAGCCATAAAATAGGAAAAGGGAAAAGAAGTCTGCGCTGGCTGGTGTGGCTCAATGGATAGAGCACCGGCTTGCGGACTGAAGGGTCCCGGGTTCGAGTCTGATCAAGGGGCACATGCCTGGGCTGTGGGCTCGGTTCCCAGTGGGGGCCTACAGGAGGCAGGTGAACCCCGATTCTCTCTCATCGTGGGTGTTTCTCTCTCCTCCCCCTCCTCTTTGACATCGGTTTTTAAAAAGAAGAGAGGTGAGGCGGGTGGGAAGGAGCTGGCGCCCTGGGCGGCTGGCGGGGATGCCCCCTGCCCGGGCGCCCTGTGCGGAGGAGCCGGGAGAGGAGCCGGAGGAGCCGGAGGAGCCCCAGAGGCTGGCTGTGCCGGGAGCGTCTTTGACCTCCCGGGGCCCAGGCGGCGGCCACCTCTCGGCTCAGCGTGGAGACGGAGGTTCAGAGAGGGCCGGGCAGGCGGGGGTCGGGTGGGTCCCACGCCCGGATGCTCGCTCTGCTCCTGCCTGGAGCTCAGCAGGCGCCTCCTGCTGGCGTTCGGGGACTGCTGCACTGAAATACCTGTGACGCCATTCCCGTCTGTCTGCTCCTCACAGGCGCCTCCCGGCCCCGGCTCCCGCTCCGGCTCCGGCTCCCGCTGGCTGGTGGGGAGAGGCGTGGGGGGGGGGGGCAGCGCCTGGGTGGTTAAGATCCTCATCCTGGTCAAAAGCTGCCAGTGGAGGGAGGGGCAGGGGCGTCTGACCCTGCTCTGTCTGCACCCGACCCGGTGCCCCTGCCTCCCGGCACCCGCGCCTCCTCTCTGCCCGCCCTCCCCCAGCGGCTTCAGTTATTCATTTCAGGGAGGGTGGGAGGGAGGGGGAGAGACACAGAACCGTCGACGTGAGAGAGACACGTCGTCGATGGGCTGCCTCCTGCACGAGCCCCAGGCAGGGCCCGGGCCCTGCAGCCTAGTACGTGCCCTTGACGGGAATCGAACCCAGGACCCTTCGATCTGCAGGCCGGCGCTCTGCCCACTGAGCCTCACCAGCCGGGGCTCCCAGCCGACCTCCCGATGCCCCCCGCCCGCCCCCGCCGGGTGCCTCACCCGCCTCACCCCCCTCTCCCCCCCCCCCCCCAGCAGCAGCAGATGCCGCGGGGCAGCCAGGAGGAGAAGGAGGAGAAGGAGAAGGAGGCGGAGAAGGAGGAGGAGCGGCCCGACGTGGACGACAAGGAGGAGCTGACCAAGTAAGGCCGCCGGGGGGCCAGGGGCCCGGGCGGTGACCCGGGCCGTGCGTGGGACGTGGTTGGTGTCTGCCCAGGCCTGCCAGGAGGGAGGCGTTTTCCGCCCCGTCCTCCGGCCCACTTCCGGCTGCTGCTGCTGCTGCTGCTCCTCCTCCTCCTCCTCCTTCATCTCTCCTCCTCCTGCATCTCTTCCTCCTCCTCCTCCATCTCCTCCTCCTCCTCCTCCTCCTCCTCCTCTCCTCCTCCTCCATCTTCCTCATCTCTCCTCCTCCCCCATCTCTCCTCCTCCTCCTCCTCCTCCTTCATCTCTCCTCCTCCCCCATCTCTCCTCCTCCTCCTCCTCCTCCATCTCTCCTCCTCCTGCATCTCTTCCTCCTCCTCCTCCTCCATCTCCTCCTCCTCTACCATCTCCTCTTCCTCCATCTCCTCCTCCATCTCCTCCATCTTTCCTCCTCCTCCATCTCTCCTCTTCCTCCTCCTCCATCTCCTCCTCCTCCTCCTCCTGCATCTCTTCCTCCTCCTCCTCCTCCATCTCCTCCTCCTCCTCCTTCACCATCTTCTCCTCCTCCATCTCCTCCATCTCTCTTCCTCCATCTCCTCCATCTCTCCTCCTCCTCCATCTCCTCCTCCATCTCCTCCATCTTTCCTCCTCCTCCATCTCCTCCTCCTTCTCCTCCATCTCCCCCATCTCTCCTCCTCCTCCATCTCCTCCTCCATCTCTCCTCTTCCTCCTCCACCATCTCCTCCTTCTCCTCCATCTCCCCCATCTCTCCTCCTCCTACTTCTCCTCCTCCTCCTGCTCCTCCTGCTCCTCCTCCTTCTCCTCCTCCTGCTCCTCCTGTTCCTCCTCCTCCTCCTCCTCCTCCTTCATCTCCTCCTCCATCTTCTCCATCTCTCCTCTTCCTCCTCCTGCTCCTCCTCCTCCTCTTCCTCCTCCTGCTCCTCCTCCTCCTCCTCCTCCTGCTCCTCTTGCTGTGTCTCCGTCTGCTCTCCCTCCGCCTCTCCCCTCCGCCTGCCCTTTCTCTCTCCAACTCCCCGGAGAGCTGCAGGCTGATAGCTCATTTGCTCTCCTCTCTGAGCGAACACATCAGGCAGTGACTCTGGAACCCTGCCCTCCCCTCCTCTCCCGGCGGGCACCTCTCTCCGGAGGCTGGGATCACGCCGGTGGGAGGGCCCGGTGTACAGGCCGGCGTGGGGTCCGAGGGGAGGGGGGCCGGTGTGCAGGCCGGCGCGGGGTCCGCGGGGAGGGGGGCCGGTGTGCGGGCCGGCGCGGGGTCCGAGGGGAGGGGGGCTGGTGTGCAGGCCAGGGAGCCTGGCTCTGGACGAGGCCGCCCCTCGGCGTGGACGCGGCCCCACGGAGCACCGGCCCGCTCCCGCGAGGGAATGGAAGGCCGCCCTGTTTTATTAAAAAGAATATTGATTTTGTACAGAGAAGAGGGGAGAGGGGGAGAGAGTTAGAAACATCGATGAGAGAGAAACACCCATCAGCTGCCTCCCGCACGCCCCCCGCTGGGGATGTGCCCGCAACCAAGGTCCATGCCCCTGGCCGGCATCGAACCCGGGACCCCTCAGTCCGCAGGCCGACGCGCTAGCCACTGAGCCGCACCGGCCAGGGCTCCCACCGCCCTTCTGATAAAGAATGTGGCCATGGCCGCCCGGCGCCAGGAGACACCCTCCCCGTGCCCTCTGACCCTCAGGGAGAAGGCGGACGACACCTCCGGGGAGGACAACGATGAGAAGGAGGCCGTGGCCTCCAGAGGCCGCAAGACGGCCAACAGCCAGGGCCGGCGCAAGGGCCGCATCACCCGCTCGATGGCCAGCGAGGCCAACAGCGAGGAGGCCGCCACGCCGCAGCCGAGCGCCGAGCTGGGTGAGTCCGCCCGCTCTCCCCGCTCCCTGTGCACCGCGGGCGGCGCCCCGGGGCGGGGCCTCCGGGGACGGGGGACGGGGGGGGGGGGGGGGCCTGTCCCCGCCTGGCCCCGGGCCGCCCGCCCTGACCGTGCCAGAGCGGAGAGCGTCCCTACGGCTCCGGCCGGCCTCCGGGGTGCGCGGTCACAGCGGGCTGGGCACGCGGCCTGCGTTTCTGCCCGGAGCAGCCGCCGCCCCTTTTAACGTGCATACATTTACGTGTTTTATTGGTTTTTCTACGGAGAGGAAGGGGGAGGGATAGAGAGCTGGAAACATCGATGATAGAGGAACAGCGACCAGCTGCCTCCTGCACCCTCCCCACCGGGGATGTGCCCGCAACCCAGGTCCATGCCCTTGACCGGGATCGAACCCGGGACCTTTCAGTTCGCAGGCCGACGCTCTATCCACTGAGCCACACCGGTTTTGGGGCCCTCACACTCACCGCCCCCAACCTCCCCTCACCCCATAGGCACCTGGATTCTGCCTCCTGTCACTGCTCTGGCCAAAGGCTTGAGTAGCAGTTCCCAAGTTCAGCCACCAGGGGGCAGCCCCTGCGCATCTGTCGTCTGTACTTCCTCGGCTCCATGGGGCCCACCCTCCTGCCTCTGTGGGGACCCGGCCCTGAGCCCTGGGACTGAGGTCCCGCCCCCCGGGTGCCTCCCGGGGAGGGGGGTGGAGGGGATGGTCTGTCTGTCACCAGTCCCCTCCTTCGCGCCCAGGTCTGCTCCCGGGGAGGCGGGCACCGTGTCCCAGGGGGCTGCTCCTGAGAGTCACGGGGTTGGCCGGGATTCGAACCCCGCCTTCAGGTCTGGCGGCACACGCCTCTGGAACCCGGGCCCATGGGGGCCGGGCCGCGGGGTGGACAGTGCAGGGGGCTGTGTCAGCTCGCCCACCGGGCTCAGACGTTCCCGCCTGTGACACGGGCGATGGCCCAGGCCGCACCCCGGCGGGCTGTGCGGAGGTGGGCCCGGGCGCGAGAGCCGCTCCCCGGCGGGCCCGGGTGCGAGAGCCACTCCCCGGCGGGCTGCGCGGAGGCGGGCCCGGGTGCGAGAGCCGCTCGGCGCCGTGCCCGGTGCCCGTGACGACCCGGCGTGTCCTCCCGCAGCCTCCATGGAGATGAACGAGAGCTCCCGCTGGACGGAGGAGGAGATGGAGACTGCCAAGAAAGGTGAGGGCGGTGGGCCTGACCGTCAGGGCCCGGGAGGCGGTGAACGTGGCTGGGGCCGCGGGGCGGGCGGAGCGGGGGCCGGGTTCTGCTGGAGCCACTCTCTGGGGCGTCTCCCTGCAGCTCCCCCCTCGGGGGAGGCCGCCTCCCCGGCCTCAGTCTTCCCATCTGTACAATGGGAATGCGAGCGCCATCCGGCCTCAGTCTTTCCGTCTGTACAATGGGAATGCGAGCGTCACCCAGAGGCGCCCGCCTCCTCCCGCAGGCTCCGCCCTGCGTGCAGCGAGGCCCCTGGGGCCGGTGTGGGGGAGGGAAGGGGAGGGCGCTGGCTGGCGGGGTTCGGGAGAGCCTCACCCCCGAGGGCCACGCTGCCTTTTCCTCCGGCCTCTGCGCCCTGCGGTGGCGTCTGTGGGTCTCCCTCGCCGTGGAGCGCGCACGGGGCTTCATGGGAATTGCCTGATGTCTGCTCTCCCCTCTCACGGGGGCAAAGCACACACGGAACGGGCGGCGTGTCCGTGTTCACCGCCCGCGGCGTGCTGTCTCCTGGTCCCGCCAGCAGCGGGCGCCCCGTTAGCAGCCGCCCCCCCCGCCCCGCCCGCCGGCTCTGCCCCCTCCGTCCCCTGGACCCGTCGCCGGCTGCACCTGCGTGGAATCGTACGCTCGCCCTTCCTGCCGGCTCCCCGTGGGCGGCGTACGGCGCCTCGCTCCTCCCGTGGCCGCCATCTTCCCCGCGTGGGGGCCACGCTCTGAGCCATGGCGGGCCGGGCCGGGCCCGTGGGCCTGGGGGTGGTCTCTGCCCGGGGAGGGCTGTGGTCAGGCTGCTGGGGCCTGTGGGCAGTCTGCGAGGGGTTCTAACCCCACAGGCGTCCCTGGGGTCTCGCTGTGGGCGGTGGTGGTGCCCGGGACCCACCCGGGGGGCAGTCACCCCGCCCCCCCTCCCGTTCTCCCTCCGCCGCCCCTGTCCGCCGCCCCCTGGCTGCCTCCGCGCCGCCGCCTGGAGGCTGAGCTGGCGGCTGCCCTCGCTCCGCGGGGAAGGGCAGAGCGGCCGGAGGACGGGGATGACTCACTCGGAGGCTCAAGGTTGGGCCCCGCGGCGGTGAGCTCATCTGGCTCTGCCCTCCCCCGCCGGCGCCCCCGCCAGGCCCGCCGTGACATTTGTGCTAATGCAGAGCCGGCGGCGGCGGCGGCCGCCTCAATGACAGCGCCGGCGGCTGCTCACCGGTGCTCCGGGCGCGGGGGAAGGGCGCGGGGGAAGGGCGCGGGGGAAGGGCGCGGGGGCAGGTGCCGGCCGCCCAGCGCCGCCTCCACGGGGGCAGGGAGCCCCCGCCCGCCCTCCGACCCGGACAAGCCCCCCGGAGCCCACTGTGCCCCAGGCGGACGGGACCCCTCCCTCCCGTCACTCACCACAGCCCCTCCCCCGCCCCCGCAGAGCAGGGCCGCCCTGGTCCGTCCCCCGAGGCCCAGGGGGATCAGCAGCCCATGTCCTCGGGGCCGGGGGACCCCGAGCCTGGCCGGAGCCCCTATAGACGCCGCCCACCAGCCGGGGCTTGAAGGAGGAGTGGCACAGGGTCCCCGTCCCCAGACCTCAGCCTCAGCCCCTTCCAGGTCTCTGACCTCAGTCTTCCCATCTGTGCAGTGGGCGCGTCGCCCTCTGTGTACCGGGGCCGCCGTGACGAAGCACAGACGCGGGCGGGTTGGGGCCGTGGCCGCCAGACCGCGGCTCTCGAGCCACATGCGGCTCTTTGGCCCCTGGAGTGTGGCTCTTCCACAAAACACGGCCTGGGCGTGTGGAAAAGTGGCGTTCGAAGAGGCTTATGTTTAAAAAATGTGGCTCTCCGAAGGCGTGTCCATCGTCGTGCTGTTGGCATTTGGCTCTGTGGGCGATGAGTTTGCCGACCCCGGGGCTAGGACAGCGGACAAGCACCGGCTCTCGGCTCCGGAGGCCGGGAGCCCGGCATCGGGGTGCGAGCTGGCCCAGCTCCCTCAGAACCTCCAGGGGTTGGGGGGCCCCCAGGGAGGACACCCACAGCTCAAAGGAGCGCTCCCCGGGAGCGGCTCACAGTTGGATGTGCTCGGTCGCGCGGTCCCCAGCTGCCGCTCTGTCCGGAGGCCCAGAGAGGCTGAGGAGCCGCCCGGCCACACAGCTGTTCTGGGCGGAGCCGAGACCAAACGCGCCGGCGGGGAGGGGGAGGGGGCGGTGTGCGGCCTGAGCCGGGGGCTGGGCCACTGGGCGGGGGCAGCCCACAGAGCCTCACGTGCCCCCCTGTGGCTGCCCAGGGCGGCTGAGCGGGGGGCCGGGGGGGGCGGGGGAGGACCTGGCCTGCCTGCCCCAGGCGCTCACCCAGGGCACTGAGCATGTGCAGAAGCTGCCCGCCCGCCCGGGAACCGACCGGGCGGCCCCAGGGAGCTGGCGGCCTGCCCTCGGGCCTCTGGGAAAGGGCCGCCTGGCCTGGCGCAGGGCCCTGGCCCAGCTTCTCCGGAGAGCGGGGGCCGGGATTGGAGGGGTTGGGGCGCCCCTGGGTCCCGCCGTTTCAGGCCCAGGAATCGGTGCTGGCCCCGCTCCGGGCGGCCAGGCCCCAGACACACCCCGTGGGGCTGGCCGGAGCGGGGCCACCCGGCCTGGACCCCTGGGAGCTTTGCGGTCTGGTGCCCCGGACGGGCGCACTGGCTGGCCCGCTGGTTTTCACGTGGAGAGTCTGGGCCCCAGGGCAGCGGAGGGGGACCCCTGGCCACAGAGCGGTCCCCACAGCAGGGACCCCCCCCTCCCCAGGGCTCACGTGGAGGGGTGAGGTGTTGGGGTGGCCTCAGGGTCCTCAGACGGGCGGTGCCCCGGGGACTGTCGCCCCTTCTGGGTGGAGACAGGTGATGGGCACTTTGCACAGACTCTCTGACCTTGCCCGGGGCCCTGTCTCTCAACGGTTACAGCGTCCGCCCCCAGGACCCGAGGGTCACGGGTGCGATTCCTGGTCAAGGGCACGTTCCCTGGGTTGCAGGTTTGACCCTTGGCCCCAGTGGGTGTGTGTCTCTCTCTCCCCCCCTCCTCTGCCCCAGCTGCTCTCTCTAAAAACCAATGGAAAGGCTGTGTCTTCGGGGGAGCTCCCTAATCTCCCGTGGGACCCTGGAGGCGGGTGGGTGCTCCACCTGTGTGAACAGGTATCTGCACATGTGTCTTGTGTTTGCGTGTGAGTGCACACGTGCACACGCATGCACACACGTGCCCGGAGGCAGCCACGCAGGCCCACACACAGCGCCTGCTTTGCTGATGAGAAACGGGCCCGGGCTGCTCAGTGAGCGGTCCCTGCGTGGCGGGATCGGTGTGCGGGGGCTCTGTGGACGGGGGGCTGAGATGCGCGCTGTGGCATTGCCAGGGTGCAGATGGGGGAGGCACAGGGCCCATGGGTGCTGGGGAGGGGCCCGGCCCAGGTCCTCCAAGCCTGGGTGGGGGAGGGGTTCCCGGTCCCTGTGGCCGGGGCCCGTCAGGGGGCGGCCCAGATGGCAGAGCCGGCGCAGGCCCCTGGGGGGCGCGTGCTTTGCCCCCTCCGCGGTGTGGGCAGAGCAGGGTCCGCCGGCCGCCGCCCCCCACGGCCACCACGTCCCCTCGCCGCACCCCGAGGCCACCACCTGCTCCTTCACCTCCTCCCCAGCCCGTCCGCCCGTGACTCAGGCCCCGGCCGGCCCCACTTCCTGTCTCGGCCGATTTCACTTCCTAGTTCCCGCCCCCGAGTCCTGGGAGCGAAACCCCTTCCTTAGAAAGTAGAAGTGGGGTCAGAGCGTGGAGACCGCGGGGCGGGGGGCTGGGCGCCCCGTGGGTGGGTGTGCCTCCTGCCTCCTGGACTGTCCAGGCCAGCCTGGGGGACCGGCCTCCGGCCCCTCCTCTCCGGGGGCTGCTCTCCGATCCCCGCGGGGCGCCCAGGGCCCCCCCCAGACCAGATGCCGGGTGTTTGGAGCTGTGTGCGTTTGCCCAGCAGCCTGGGCGCAGACAGGGCTCATCCCGGGGAGCGTCAGCTGCTCTGGGGGTGACCAGGCCCCGAGACCGTGGGGAGGGGCTGGGAGGGCAGCTGTGACAGCGCAGTCCAGGAAGGCTTCTCGGAGGAGGCGTCCCATGAGCCCCGAGCTGAGAGGGAGCACGGAGGCCGGTCTGGGACCCAGAACGCTAGCGCAGAGGTCCTGGGGCACTGCCCTGCCCCGTGGCTGAGGGCGTGACCCGGGCGGGTGGGCGGGGCCGGCTCTGCGCCTGGGCTGCGGGTTCGAAGCCAGGGCCCTCGGAGCTCCGGGCTGTCACCGCCATCGGGAGCCGTGAGGCCGGGCGTGACTCCATCGGATCGGCATCCGCGGGCGCTCGGAGCTCCCCGCGGAGGCGGGAGTCCTGGATCCCCGACCCGGCGGCACCCGCCGCCCGCCCTGGCGCGGTGCCCCGGGCTGGGCGAGGGCCGGCTGGGGCCAGGCCAGGAGCAGGGCCGGCCCGGGGGTGCCCGGGGGCGGGCCGGGAGGCCGGCGGGCGGGGGCTCCGGGGACGCAGGGCCCCTGACCCGGAGCCGGAGAACTCGGTCATGACCTGGATCCCGCTCCAAAGTTCAGCCGGTTAACTTTCAACCCGAGGGAGCCGCCGGGCCTGGCCCGGGTCCAGACGGAGCCGGCGGCCTGCGGGGTGTCTCGGGAGCGGGGACCCAGGCCGGGAGCCCTTGGGGGACCCTCCCCTGTGTGGAGGGGGGTCTCCGCTCTGCGGTGTCTGCCTCTGAGCCAGCTCTGCCCCCGCCCTCCCGGACCCCGCGTCCCGCGGAGGGGCCTGGCTGTGCAGGGGGAGGCGGAGGGGGGGCGCAGGTGGCTGGGGCTCGGTGCCGGCGACGGTGCCGGCGGAAGAGGCTGTTTGCTCCCGCCCGCCCGCCCGCCGCGGGGCGGGAGCTGTTTTTCTGAGCCTCATCTGTTCTTCCCGCTGCTGACGCCACCGCACGGCTGGGGAGAGGGAGGGGGAGCCGTGCCAGGCAGCCCGCCCCCTGAACCTGGGCTCCCGCCTGCCCGCCGTCTGGAGGTCACACTCAGCCCCGCGGCGGCTGGATCGCGGGGACGGGCGGCGAGGAGGCAGCGGGGCCCCCGCCTGTGCCCTGGGCTCGGGTGGTGGGGGCCTCCGGGTCCCGGGGGCCCAGGCCAGCGCCCCTGGCTCAGCGCCCGCGGCGGGCACCTTGGTGGACACTGGGCCCCGGTGACGCCTGGCACCGGCCAGCGGGCGCGCACTGAACTGACAACTTCTGCGGCTGCCCTGGCCGCCAAGGGCACCTCGCCGCCCGCGGGGGGAGGCTCACGTCGCGGGCGGGCTTGCTGAGCCGGGGCCAGGAGGCCTCAGGGACCTGCCTCCCCCTTCCCTTCCCTCCCCTCCTCCCCCCTCCCTCTCCTCCTCCCTTCTCCCTCTTCCCCCTCCTCCCGCCTCCTGCTCCCCTCCTCCCCCTTCCCCCTTCCTCCCTCCTCCCCGCCTCCCCCGCCCTCCCCTCCTCCCCCGCCCTCCTCCTGGCGCTCGGAGGAGGAGGATGTGAGGCTCGGCTGAGCTGCCAGCAGACGCCAGAGCCGGCACCGCGGCCGCCCAGCCTCCCGCCTCCCAGCCCGGCCAGCTCCTCTCCCGGAGCGCCCGCCGCCGCCGAGCCCTATGTTTCCGGAAAACGTGGCCGAGGGGGAGACGCAGATGAGAGGATGTGAGTGCCGGCCGTGGGGGCACGGGGGCGGGGGCTCGGCCCGGGGGCCAGGCAGCGCTGTTCCTGTGGGGGTCCCCCCCCCGCCTCTGCGGCTCAGGCTGGGGCTCTGGGAAGAGGGGGCCTGGGGTAGGGGCCTCGGGCGCCCGGTTGCTGGGGGCCCAAGGCGTTCGGTCCAGTTGGGCTGTGGTGGCGGGGGCCTCGTCGGGGTCTTGGGCAGGTGTCTCCGGGGCGCGGTGGGGTCCCCAGGGCTGCCCCCCGGTACCCGGCACCCTCCGTGGGGTTCGGAAAACAGGAGCCAGAAGGGACAGTAAGGGAAGCTGAGGCCCAGGGCAGCCGGCTGGCCGGCCGGGACCACCCAGGGCGTCCTGGCAGCTCCCTCTGGGCTCCTGGTCAGCTCCTCGCTCTCGGGGAAAGGGGGGGGGGGACTCTGCTCCCCAACCCCAGCCGGGTGCCCAGCCGCCTCCAGGTCCGACTTGCCAGCCCCCCAGGCCGGCCGCCCCTCCCCCGGAGGCCCTGACCGGAGACACCGTGCCCGGGGGCCGGGGTTCCGCCGCTGGCCGGCCGGGGTATAAATAAACGCCCTGCCGCCGGCTCCGGAGGCGGCAGCTGCCGCGCAGGGAAAGGTCAGGGGCCGGCCTGCATCTGATCCCACGCCGCCCTGTCCTTGAGGAACCCGGGGCCCCAGCCACGTGGCGTGGCTCCGAGGGAGCAGGTGCCGCCTGTCAGTCCAGTCCAGCGCCCCCCGTTCCCCCCCCCCGCCAGGGCCAGAGGTGGGGGAGCAGAACCCCGTTCTCACGCCCCCCGGCCACCCTGGGCCTGCCCCTCGTCCCTGTGCGGTGCTGTGGCCCCCGTGCTCCCCGCCTGGCTCCCCGTCCCACCCCGGGACAGGGACTGGCCATGGCCCCGGGTCCCCATGGGAAGGGCTTTGGGGCGGCGGTGCCGGGGCCGCCCCGTTCTCCTCCTCGGAGCTCGGAGCCTGCACACGAGTGAGTGGGCGGCGGAGGCCGGGCCGGGCCGTGGGGAGCGAGGCAGCCGGTCAGATGCCGGCACAGAGCGAGCACAGGCTGCGCCCGCACCCGGTCCCTGCAGGGGCCCTCCCCGCCGGCAGCGTGATGGGGTTTGGGGGACGCGGCTCAGACACCGTGAGAACCTCTCTTTCGCGGTGCGAGCGTGGCTCGGGGGCCGCGAGTGCATTCCGTGACGTGACTCAGCCTTCACGCTGCCCCAGCCCCCCCCGTCCTGCCTCCCAGCCCCCCGAGTCCGCCTCCTCCTCCCTCCTCCTGCCAGGCCGTGTCCGAGGGATGGACCAGCCCACCTGCCCCGCGGGGCGTGCTGCTGCCCGGAGACACGGGTGTCCACAGAGCCGTGGCCACGTGTGTGTGGGTGTGTGTGTGTGCGTGTGTGTGTGTGCCCAGCGCCTGGGGACAGGCGGGCATTGCCCCTGAATTCAGGGCGTCGTTTGGGGGGCTGTGTGTATTCTGAGCCATTCAGGGCGTTGGGTGGAAGGGGGGGTTTCAGCTCTGGCTCCAGGGGGCTTGGGGTGAGGCCTGCCCGTTTCTGGGGCTCCTCCCCACACCAGGAGGCTGTGAGCTCACGGGGGGGAATTGGGGAGCTGTGATGTGGGGACACGTCCATTCCCCGCCCCTGGACCAGCCCGTGTGGACGCATCCGGGGGCTTTGAGCAGTCCCGGGGACCCCAGCGAGCCTGGGTGCAGCGGCCCCTTGCCCCGGCTCGCCCCCACCTGCACTTCATCACCCGCCATCCCCCACCCCTGCTCACACGCCCCTTCCGCTGCCGGCTGAGCTCCCGGCCGCCTGCAGCTGCGAGTGCGCGTCCGCGCCGGGACACGGGCTGGGCGGCGGGGTGGGGGCCTGGGCAGGGTCTGCGCCCCGGACCGCAGCCCCCAGAACCGGCCGGCACCCCCTCCCTCCCCAGGCCTCTCCGTGCGGCCCTCCCTCTCCCCGGTCTCCCCTTCCCCCTGGGGTCTCAGCCGGGGAGCCAGGGGCCAGGGGCCGGGGCGCCCCGTGGCTCCGCCGCAGCCTCACCGCCGCCCCCCGCAGGCCTCCTGGAGCACGGCCGGAACTGGTCGGCCATCGCCCGCATGGTGGGCTCCAAGACAGTGAGCCAGTGCAAGAACTTCTACTTCAACTACAAGAAGCGCCACAACCTGGACGAGATCCTGCAGCAGCACAAGCTCAAGATGGTGAGCCCGCCCCTCCCCGTCCCCCTCCCGCCCGGGGTCCCCGCCCCCGCCCCCCTCTCCCCGTCCCCCTCCCGCCCGGGGTCCGCAGCCCCGGCCTCTCCCGCCCCTGCCCGGGCACCCCCGGGGCACCACAGGGTCCATCCAGCCGTGTGCCCGCCGGGCAGGCCCTGCCTCCACCCCAGCACCCACCTCGCACGCGCTGGGGGCCTGGGGGGCCAGCCTCCAACTCACTGGGTTTGGGGTCCGTCCTGCAGTGGGTTGGGGGTCCGTCCTGCAGCGGATTGGGGGTCCGTCCTGCAGCGGATTGGGGGTCCGTCCTGCAGCGGGTTGGGGGTCCGTCCTGCAGCGGGTTGAGGGTCCGTCCTGCAGCGGGTTCGGGGTCCGTCCTGCAGCGGGTTGGGGGTCCGTCCTGCAGCGGGTTGAGGGTCCGTCCTGCAGCGGGTTCGGGGTCCGTCCTGCAGCGGGTTGGGGGTCCGTCCTGCAGCGGGTTGGGGGTCCGTCCTGCAGCGGGTTGGGGGTCCGTCCTGCAGCGGGTTGGGGGTCCGTCCTGCAGTGGGTTGGGGGTCCGTCCTGCAGTGGGTTGGGGGTCCGTCCTGCAGTGAGTTTGGGGGTCCGTCCTGCAGCGGGTTGGGGGTCCGTCCTGCAGCGGGTTGGGGGTCCGTCCTGCAGCGGGTTGGGGGTCCGTCCTGCAGTGGGTTGGGGGTCCGTCCTGCAGTGGGTTGGGGGCCGTGCAGTGGAGTGGAGGCCCACAGGCAGGCGAACCCCAGGGCCGTGGCCCTCACCCCATCGGATTGCACAGCCTCGGGCCGCCCCGGGGAGGGGAGGGGAGGGGAGGGGAGGGCAGGGTGGGGAGCGGCCGCCTGGTCAGGCCTCTGAGCTCCGTCCCCCGGGGAGCCGCCCTCCCCCCGCCCCCCGCGCAGAAGGGCGGGCGCCTCCCAGCGTAAATGCTCTCCCGAGAGCAGGGCCGCTTCCTCCGCAGCTGTTCCTGGAAGAGGCCGCTGGGGCGGCCCTGCTCGCTCCCTCCTCCCTCCTCCCTCCTCCCTCCTCCCTCCTCCCTCCTCCCATCTGTCTCCTCACCTCCCCTTCCCCCCACTGTGGCCGTATGACAGCCAGCTTCTCGGCTGTGGGGAAACTGAGGCCCAGCCAGGCCTGGGTTCGAACCCTAGGATCAGGCGCTCAGCGGGCAGGCTGCACTGGGGGCACAGAGCCCCCCTCAGCACCCCCCGGGGCCCCCGTTGCGGTCTGAGGTTCGGGAAGCCTGTCCGGCGGGCGCGGGCCGCCCAGGCTGCACCGGCGAGGGGCCCCGGGCGAGGGTCTCGCCCTCAGCTCCGGTTAGCGCGGGCAGGAGTTGAGGGCGCCCCGTCCCAGCCGCCCAAAGGTTCCGGGGGACACGGCTATTCAGGGGGCCCGGGCCCTCTGCACCCTCCCCGATTTCCCAGGATGCCTTTCCCGGGGGAAGGAGGGCGCTGGGGGGGGGGGGGGCACCTGCGGAAACCCCGTGGGTTTCAGAGGAGCTGAGCCCGGGCAGCAGGAGGGCGGAGGCTGGGCAGGGCAGGGGGCAGTTCCGAGGAGGGGGGTTCCTGCAGACACCGGCTCGATTTGGGGGGCTTCTGCGCACCCCCAGGCACAGAGCGATGCCGTCTCTTCCCTCCGGCCGCCTGCCTCCCTCCCTGCCCTCCTGCCCCTCGGCGCGTCCAGGGCCTCCCAGCCCAGCCCAGTGGGTTCCAGCTCCCCTCCCCCCGGCCTCGGGCCCAGGCCTCTTCCCGGCCCCCCTCCCGGTCCCCCGGGGACCCGGACCTGGGCGGCGGCCTCACCGCGCGGAGGGGCCTCCGTGCCCTCCCTGAAGTGGGGGTGAAGGGCCTGTCCCCCAGGACTCGGGGGAGTGCCCGCGAGGAGAGCATCGGGGTCGGCATTGTCCTTCGTGGCGGGGCCACGGCCCTCCCTCCCGGGCGTTGGCTGGAGGCGCCGTCAGGACGCGCCCCTTCCCAGCCGTGTGGCGCCGGCCGGCAGCCTCACCGCGCGCTCGATTTCCCCACGGGCACGGGGCGGGCAGGCCCAGCGCAGGGCGTGGGGCGGTGTGAGCGAGTGCATGTCAGGTGCTTGGAGGGGCCTGGCTGGTCACCAGCGCTCGGGAGGGAGCCGGCGGCGGCGGTGGCGATGGCGGTGGCGGCATTGGCGGCGGTGACAGTGGCGTTGGCGGAGGTGACAGTGACAGTGGCGCTGACGGCGGTGGCGGTGACGGTGGCGGCGGTGGTGGCGGCGGTGACAGTGGTGGCGGTTATGGTGACGGCAGTGACAGTGGCGGCGGTGGCGGCCGTGGCCGTGGCCGTGGCGGCGGCGGTGGCGGCAGTGGGTGTGCCCAGGCTGGGTGTCAGCCCCAGCGGTGGCTGCCGTGGTGGCTGTCAGCTCCGGGGCGGACGGCTGATGGAAGATGGAGGATGGAGGACGGAGGATGGATGGTCAGTCGTTCACTCACTCAGAGCCTCAGCCTATCAGAGCGGTGGAGGGCAGGGCTCTGGGCAGGAGGGGCACCCAGCTCTGCCCTCACTGCCTGGTGCCCGCGGGGTGGCTGGTGAGGGCAGCAGCCCAGCCCCGGCTGAGGATCTGGCGTGCACGGGAGGGGAATCCGAGGCCAGCCTGGCCCGCAGCCCCCCAAGGCGGCCGCCATTGCTCCAGCCCCAGGTGGCAGCCGGGAGGCCTGCAGCAGGCGGGCGGGCTGCTGAGACCACGGGGGGCCTGGGCTGGGGCTTCCTGAGGGAGAAGGTAAGGCGACCACACGCCCCGCTTTTGGCGGACAGTCCCCATTTTTGACAGTTTGTCCTGTGTGCTGTGGCTTTTAAAAAAGTCGGAAAAATCGGGGCTTTTTAAAAAGCCGCAGGACGTGGGACAAACTGTTAAAAATCGGGGCGTCTGGTCACCTTAGGAAAAGGGCCATGCGGGGCGCGGGGAGGCCACGGAGAGCGTGTGGCCAGCCCACGCCGCCGCCCGAGGAAGTCTGCTCGGCCGGCCCGGTGCAGGGGTGAGGTCCCTGTCACTGGAGTATGCAAATGGCCTCCTGCGATGCTGCTGCTGCCGCTGACCTCGCTGCTGACCTTGGTGACCTCTGCCTCCGGCCCCTCCCCAGGAGGAAGACGGCCCCTGTGGGTGCCCAGGCGGCCACGCAGGCCGGGCCGGGTCCGAGCGCAGGCAGACAGCCCCCCGCGGCCCCACGCCTCAGTGGGGGGAGGCGGCCGGGCGTCAGCAGGAAGCGGCCGCGGGCGGAGCGGCCGGTTATGTAACGCCTGGCGTGGCCGTCCTCCTCGGAGCGGCCTCCGGCTGCCCGAAGGTTACCCCGCGCTCTCCCATCTGCGCGGCCAGGCCCGGGGCTCCACTTCCGTCTCCCTCCCTCTGTTTGTCTCCACCCTGGCTGGCCTCGTCTTGTTTTCCTCCGTTGTCTGTTCCATCTGCGGCCACACAGGCCTGCGGGGCGGGGGAGGAGCGGGAGAGGGAGCGGGAGCGGGCGGCCATCGGCGGGAGCGCTTGAACCTGACCTGCTTTCCGTCTGGGTGTCTCGGCTCCCGGCTGTGTGGTCTGGGACAAGCGTCTCGGCCTCTCTGAGCCGACGGCCTTGTCTGTCGGGCTCATTCATCTCAGGACGTCGTCCGGACGCTCTGCTCCGAGCAGGCCCCGTGCCAGGGTGCTGGCGGACGGCCAGGGACAGGCCTGGAGGAGCTGGTTCTCGTTTGAGAAACAAACGAACACACACACACACACAGACACAGAGACACACACGCACACAGACACACGCACATACACAGAGACACAGACATGCGCACACACAGAGACACATACACACAGAAACATGCACACAGACACACACAGACAAACATGCGCACACACAGACACACATACACAGAGACGCACACAGACACACACGTACAGACGCACGCACACACAGACACACACGCAGACACGCACATACACAGAGACACAGACATGCGCACACACAGACACACATACACACAGAAACACATGCACACAGACACACACACAGACATGCGCACACACAGACACACATACACAGACAGAGAGAGACACACACAGACACACACGTACAGACGCGCGCACACACACAGACACACACACAGACATGCTCACACACAGACACACATACACTGACAGAGAGAGACACACACAGACACACACACACACAGAGACGCGCATGCACACGCACATGGTTTCACTCTGGCCTCAGGTGCCGAGCTGAGGGGCGCAGTGTGTGTGAGCGATGGGTGGCAAGATCCGCCGGTGTTCACAGAGTAGCCATGGGGGTGGGGGGTGAGGAGGGGGGTGAGGGTCGGGGGAGTCCTGGCCGGGCCTCAGGAACCTCGTTCCCCGAGAGGCTCCCAGTCCCCCGAGCCCCAGCCTCCACCCCGGCCGGCCGGGTGCTGGAGTGAGTCCTCGGCTAAAAATAGATTGGGGAAGCAGGGAACCCTCCGCCACACCCACAGAAGCCACGGCCACCGGCGCGGGCACCTCTGTGGCCGCCCGGCCCGCAGGGAGAAGTGGGGTGTGGGCAGGGCTGGGCACCAGGAGTGGGCGGCGGCGGGCATTCCCACAGCGGCCGGGGGCGGGGCGGAAGCCGTGCCTAAGGGGCGGCGGGCGGCTCCCTTCCCCTCAGGACCCCTGGTGGCTGCCCCTGCTGGGCTTGGGGACCCCGGGGAGGGGCAGGCGGGCGGGGCTGCTGGCCTGGGGGTGATGGTGTTTGCCCGGGGCACAGGCTGTGTGCTGTAGCCGCGTGGCTTCCTCCTAGGCCCTTCGGGGGATGGGTGGAGGACAAAAAGTGTGTTCGTTCCTTTTGTTTTCACTTTCGTTTTTAAAACATTTTTATGGATCTCAGAGAGGAAGGGGGGGGGGAGAGAGAGAGAGAGAGAGAGAGAGAGAGAGAGAGAGAGAGAGAAACAGAAACATCCACGATGAGGGAGAATCCTGGACCAGCTGCCTCCTGCATGACCCACACTGGGGATCGAGCCCGCACCCCGGGCCTGTGCCCTGGACCTCAGTGGAGCCCGGGACCTTCAGTCTGCAGGCCGGCGCTTTACCCACTGAGCCACACTAGCCGGCCGTGCATACGTTTCTGGTTCGCTCTGTCTGGATGCTGGAGCTCCGGTCCGAACCCGGTGCCGGCGGCTGGGGTCCCCCGGTGGGGTCCCGGGAGGGCCTGGGGGCGCCAGCTGCCTCTTGGCCGGAGGGCCCCGCGCCATAGCCACAGCCGCTCTCCCCGGGGGCCCCTGGGTGCTCTGTGTCCCCCACGGGACCGGGCCTCCCTCGGCTGCTCCGACCTCATCTCGGCGAAGCATGTCTGCCGGGAGCTGCTCCCAAATAGAGGCGCGTCCTGAGGCCGGCCGCGTGCGCCTGGGCCCGTCCCCCGTCCCCTGTCCCCCGTCTGCGTCTGCGAGGCCGAGTCCCGTCTCCCTCCCTGCAGACCAAGGGGCTCAGCTGTGACCCCGCCCTCCCCTGGCACCGGGCTGTGTGGGGTGCCCTCTGAGGGTCCAGTCCACTCCCCCGGGGGGCCCTGGTCCCCTCGAGACCCCCAGCACACCCTGTCTGCACACACAGCCACCCCAGCGCCCCGCCGTGTGTGCAAGCCCCAGACGCCAACACTTCTGTCACTGCGTCCATCAACAACCCCCGGGCGCCGGCCCGGCCCGGCCTGGGCGGCGGGAGATGCCAGGATGTCTCTCCTCTGCCCTTCTGACGCGCCTGGCCCAGGGCAGGGCGGAGAGGGAGCGGCCACGGGGAGGGACATTAGTGCCCAAGCTGGGGGTGGGCTCCTGGCCCCGGGCCGGAGGAGCCTGGGCCTGGGGGGCCGGAGGTGACAGGTCTGCAGGGAGAGCTCCCTTCTGCCCCACCTCGGGCTGTGCCCGTGCAGCCGCCCACCTGGGCTGCGCCCCTCCAGAGCCCCGCCCGCCAGCTCCCGACACCACCTCCAAGAAGCCCTCTGGGACAGTCCGTCTAGAGCCGCCCCCCCCCCCTGCCCTTTCTTGCCCTGCCCCCCCGTCGGCTGTCCACAGCCCTGCCTGCACCTCTGCGTCTTCCTTTCAGGGGGCTGTTTGCTGGCCTTCCCCACGGGAAGGTCGTCGGGGGGCAGGACCTTGTCTGCCGTGTTCATGCAGGCACTGGCCGCGCACAGTAGTTGCATTGGCTGCGCACAGTAGGTGCACTGGCCGCGCACAGTAGGTGCCTTGCAGAGGTTGGTGGAGTGAAGTGAGGAGCTTCCCAAGCTGGCCTGTCCCCCTGGGGGGAAGGAAAAGCTGCTTCATCCATTGGCTCCCACAGTGAGGGAGCTGGCAGGGTGGCCCCGGGTGGCGCTCTGGCCAGGACTGTCCGAGGGGCCCCTGCGGGAGGGAGTCTCGCCCCTGGCAGCCGGTATATGGGAGGTGGTGGGAGAAGCCAGGGGGTGTGCGGCCTCCGCGGGGGAGGGAGGGCGCCTGGCCGTGGCGGGAGGGGAGGGCCCCTGGGGGCCTCCGGGGGGAAGGGAGGGCGCCCGGTGACCGCCTCTCCCGCAGGAGAAGGAGAGGAACGCGCGGCGGAAGAAGAAGAAGGCCCCGGCCGCCGCCAGCGAGGAGGCGGCCTTCCCGCCGGCCGTGGAGGACGAGGAGATGGAGGCCTCGGGCGCCAGCGGCAACGAGGAGGAGATGGTGGAGGAGGCGGAAGGTGAGGCGCGGGGGCGGGCCTTCCCCAGGAGTGTGTGGGCCTTCGGAGCGACTGGGCCGCCCCGGAGCGGGGAGCGTGGGGGACAGTGATGGTGGGGGTGGGGGTGGGGGTGGGGGTGGGGGTGGTGGTGATAAGGATGATGGTGATGGTGGTGGTGATGGTGATGGTGGTGGTGGTGATAAGGATGTTGACAAGGAAGATGGTGATGGAGATGATGGTGATGTTAACGGTGGTGGTGATGGTGATAAGGATGATGGTGATGGATGTGATGATGGTGATGGTGATGGAGGTGGGGGTGATGGTGATGGAGATGATGGTGATATTAACGGTGGTGGTGATGATGGTGGTGATAAGGATGATGGTGATGGATGTGGTGATGGTGATGGTGGTGGTGGTGGTGGTGGTGATGGTGATGGTGATAAGGATGTTGACAAGGATGATGGTGATGTTAACGGTGATGGTGATGGTGATGGAGATGATGGTGATGGATGTGATGATGGTGGTGGTGGTGGTGGCAGCAGCAGCGCTCAGGGACGCACCTCGTTGGGGATCGCCCTGTGGGACCCCATCAGGGGGCCGGGGCGGCTGAGGGGACCTGGGCTGCGGTGCCCAGAGTCTGGGGGGTGGAGGGGCGTTGGTTCAAGGAGAGGGGCTGTCCGGACGGGCAGGGGAGCGGCTAGTGCTGCCCTGGCTGTCCTGCTCCCGCCTGTCCTGCCTCCCCTCCCCCGTTCTCTCCCCTCCCCACCTCCCCGCTGCGCCCGCCACGCCCCTAACCCTCTCCCTCCCTTCCAGCCTCCCAGGCCTCCGGCAGCGAGGTGCCCAGAGGGGAGTGCGGCGGCCCAGGTACGAACTGGCGTCTGGCCGGGGGGGGGGGGGGGGGGGGGGGCGCCCCGAGGTCCCCGTCCTCTGCGAGGGCCCCACTTCTGCCGCCGCCCGCCCTGCCCGCCCCGCAGTCTGCCCCGCGCTGTCCCGGCCGCCCCCTGCGGTCCGGCGCCCGGCCCAGCCGCCCATGGGTGATTTCCGGGTTCTTGTCCGTGATGTCCCAGCAGCCGGTGTGGGGCTGAGGGCGGGCCCCGCTTTACAGCGGCGGGGGACGTGGAGACCCAGAGGGAGGCAGTGGCTTTTTGTAAGGCCTAGAGCCAGGCCTGGGACCGAGGCCCCGTGCCCCGGTCTATGGTGTCCCCACCTTGGTCGGCACCTCCTGTGCACCCGCTGGGTCCCAGCCCCCCTCCGAGACAGACGGGTGCAGCAGATGTGGCTGCCCCCGCACCCCAGCTCCTGGGAGCTCAGGGCTCCAGGTCACACGGCTGAGTCGCCGTGACGATAGGGTAACGGGCTGACAGCCTAACGGGCTGACAGCCGCAGGGTGGGGGATGGGGCCCCGAGTGGGACACGCCGTGGGGGGGGAGGCCCCGCCCCCTCACCCGCCCGCCTCCCGCAGCCGCCGTCAACAACAGCTCGGACACGGAGAGCGTCCCCTCGCCCCACGCCGAGGCCGCCAAGGACCCGGGGCCCAACGGGCCCAAGCCCCCGCCCGCCCCGGGCCCGGACGCGCCGCCCGCCGAGCCCCCCACCCCGCCGCCCGAGGACGCCCCGGCCCCCGCCGAGCCCGCCCCGGCCCCCGAAGCCGCCGGCCCGCCTACACCCCCCGCGGCCCCCCCGGGGCCCGCGGCGCCCCCTCCCGTGGTCCCCAAGGAGGAGCAGGAGGAGGAGGCCCCGGCGGCGGCCCCGGCGGCGGAGGAGGGGGAGGAGAAGCCCGCCGTGGCCCCGGAGCTGGCCGTGGCCGTGGGCAAGAAGGAGCCGCCGGACGAGGGGCCGCCGGCCCAGCCCATCAAGACCGAGTGCAAGGAGGAGGCCCTGGAGGAGGCGCCCGACAAAGCCAAGGGCAGCGCGGAGGCCGGCGCCGAGCCCGCGCCCGAGGGGACCGTCAAAGTGGAGAAAAAGGAGGGCGGCAGCAGCTCTGGGGGCAAAGCCCCTTCCACCAAGGGCGCAGGCGCCCCCCAGGACAGTGACTCCAGCGCCACCTGCAGCGCCGACGAGGTGGACGAGCCGGAGGGAGGCGACAAGAACAGGTGAGTGGACCTGCTGGATGTCAGTTTATATCTTTTTGTTCTGCAAACACTAGTTGAGCGCCACCTGTATACCTGTGTGCACTTATTGAGCGCCGCCTGTATACCTGTGCGCACTTATTGAGCGCCACCTGTATACCTGTGTGCACTTATTGAGCGCCACCTGTATACCTGTGCGCACTTATTGAGCGCCGCCTGTATACCTGTGCGCACTTATTGAGCGCCGCCTGTATACCTGTGTGCACTTATTGAGCGCCACCTGTACACCTGCAGACACTTGTTGAGCGCCAGCTGTGTACCTCATGCCCTTGCTGAGCTCCGCCTGTATAACTGCAGACACCTGTTGAGCGCCAGCTGTGTACCAGCACAGCACAGGGCAGTTCTGTGGCCGCCCTCGCGGAGCGCGCGGCCTGGTCAGGGAGGAGACACTGGAGTCCAGCTGCAGGTGTTCCGTGGGGAGGCGGCCGTGGGGGCCTTCCTCAGGAAGTGGCAGCTGAGCTGAGTCGGGGGCCACGTTCCTCCCGTTCTCTCCTCGGCTCTGAGCCTGGCGGGATGCCTCTACCCCGGCCGGGAGCGCTGGGTTTTAGCCACGTCCTGCACGGCCGGCTGGGGCTGCGCGGAGACAGCCGCCTGCGCTGGGCCGGTGGGGGGCCACGGGCACGGCGTGGGGCTTGGTTCCGAGCGTGGCCGGCGAGCGTTGTTGTGACTGGACGCCGCGCGGCTTCTGCCTCCTCGCCGCGGCCGTCGGAGACGCTGGGCGGCGGGAGAGGAAAATCTGACGCGTTTCCTCGGAGCCGCTGCCTGCCCTGTGCTTCACCGGGCCTGGTGCCGGCAGGTCCGTGGTACCGGGCAGCGTTCCCTGGGAAAGCCGGTCCGGTCCGTGAGAGCACGGCCCCCGCTCCCTGTGCCCGGCCTCCGCTCCCCGTGCCCGGCCCTCGGCTCCCTGTGCCCGGTCCTCGGCTCCCCGTGCCCGGCCTCCGCTCCCCGTGCCCGGTCCTCGGCTCCCCGTGCCCGGTCCTCGGCAGGCAAACAGCCGGCCGGGCCCTTCCATCCACAGCAGCACCTTCCCAGACCCGCACCCAACCGACGCCGCTCGGAAAACAGTGCTCACGGCTCAGCCTGGCCCGGCACTCACTGTGCCTGGGAAGGGGTCAGGGCGGGCCCAGTCGGCGTGGCTCAGGGACTGAGCGTCCACCTGGGAACCAGGAGGTCAGGGTTCAATTCCCGGTCAGGGCACAGGCCCGGGTTGTTGTCTGATCCCCGTGGGGGGCGTGCAGGAGGCAGCCGATCCATGATCCTCTCCTCGAACATGTTTCTCTCTCCCTCTCTCTCTCTCTCTCTCTCTCTCTCTCTCTCTCTCTCTCTCTCTCTCTCTCTCTTTCTCTCTCTCTCTCTCTCTTGGAAATCAGTAAAAATATATTTTACAAAATACAGATAAAAACATGCTCTGTCCCTGGAAGACGGAGTTGAGGTTTGAAAAATAAACAAACGAACGCGAGGGTCAGGGTGGCCGCTCCGGCCCGCCACACTGGCCGCGGGGACGGCCGTGGGAACTCGGCCTGCCCTTGGCAGCGTGAGAGCCGGTCCGCGGCCGCCTGGCGTGGCCAGTCCCGGCTGGAGAGCAGGCAGGGCTGGCCCGAGCACCCCAGCCCCCCCAGAACCCTCCGGGCCAGGCCTAAAGCCCCACAGGCTCCTCCGCCCCTCCCCCTCACAGCCACACCCGGGACGTGTTTTTCCCGCCCCCGCCGGCCTGGCCTCCGTCCACCTTCCTGCCGGGCCGGCCAGCACTCCGTCCCCCGGGAGAGCAGCCCCGGGCAGCGAGTCAGGACACCTGGCCCGTCACACCCCGAGTGACCCGGGCCGGTCCCCGCCCTGGGGCTGGGGCTGGGGCTGGAGGCCGGCCAAGCCTGCTGACCTCTTCCCGCTGGCCGCCCGCCACCGCCCGGCCGGGAGCTGCGTCAGTGCCGGCCTGGCATCGGAGCCGCCCGGAAGGGCCGGGTGGGTCCCCCCGGGCGACCCCGGGTCCTGGCCGCCTGCCCACGGCCCTCCCCCCCCCCGCCTGGCAGCCCGGCGCTGGGAACTGGGTGTCCCGGACAGACACGGGACGCCGCCGGGCTGGCCCTGCCCCGGCCTCCTCCTGCCCCGCCCTCCTCCTGCCCCGCGGGCAGCTGCGCCCGGAGCCCTCCTGGCCCCGCACCAGGGCGGCGGCGGCGGCGGTGCCTGCCGAGGCTGAGCCTGCGCCCTCGGAAGGCCTTTGCCGGGGACTCAGCGTTCCCATCCGGAAGGTGGGTGTGCGTGTCCCCGCGGAGGGGCCCACTGGCCTTAAACCCACTCTCCCGCCCGGACCTCCGGAGGGAAACAGAAGGCGCTCTGTCCCCGGACACAGCGGAGGGAGGGGATGGTACGAGCTGGGAGAGGGGGGTAGGGGGCACGAGTGCCCAGCATCTTCGCCCTCCCTCCCCGTGGCTCAGGACCCGTGGCCATGCACCAGAGCCGCCCCTGGTCTCAGATGTCGCCGTCCGCAGCGCGAGGCCAGCCTGGTGTGGGGAGCCTCGCAGACAGAGCTGGGCCCGTGCCTCTGTCCTCACTGAGCCCCTCCCGCCCACCCCGACTCTGGGTGAGGCCCCTGAGAGCGTTTGAGGGGTGGTCCCAGCCCCCGCCCCTCGTCGGCCCCCGTGGAGCCGGGGCAGCGAGGCAGGATACAGGCCTGGCTCGTTGAGAATCCGTGGTTCCTGTGCCTTGTTGTAAAAACTTACTTTGTTCCTCCCTCTTCAGAGTTATACTCACAGGATTCTGAAAAGACACTTTTTATTGATGTCTGAGGAAGGGGAAGGTGGGGAGAGCGAGAGAGAGAAACATCCGCGGGGAGAGAGAGTCAGGACTGGCTGCCTCCTGCACGCCCCCGCTGGGGTGGAGCCGGAACCCCGGGCCTGCGCCCGCCCGGGAATATAGCCCTGACCTCCTGGGCCACAGGTTCATGCTCAGCCCCTGAGCCAGGCCATCTGGGCGAGATACGTAATTTTAAGGTGTTCTTCTTTTTTTAAAATATATATATTTTATTTTCACAGAGAGGACGGGAGAGGGAGAGTCAGAAACACCGATGAGAGAGAAACATCGATCCGCTGCCTCCTGCACGCCCCCCCCTGGGGATGTGCCCGCCACCAAGGTCCATGCCCTTGACCGGGATCGAACCCGGGACCCTGCTGTCCGCAGGCCAACGCTCTATCCACGGGGCCGCACGGGGCAGGGCCAGAACGTCAGGTTGTAACTAAGACGTCCCAAAGCCGCGGCATTGTTGCCGTGTCAGCCTCAGGCCGGCCGTGCGCGTGTAACGCCCCGTCTCCTGCTTCCGCTGTGTCCTCTTCCCTGTGGCTCTGATAACGGCTTTCCGGGAGGGACTCGGCGCCGGGCCTGCCTTTCCCGCTGCGTTCTACAACAGCCCCGGCTGTGCGGCCGCCGCCGCCACCGCTTCATTCCGGAACATTCCATCCGCCCTCGTCCCCGGGCCCCCAAACAACCACCTCCTACCCTGAGTGGCTCTGCAGCCCCCCCAGCCGCTCCCCCGTCCTGTGGCTTTGCCTCGGGGCGTGTCTGGTGAACGGGGCACGCGGGCGGGGCCTCGGTGGCTGCCTCCTCTCGCCCGCACCCCGTTTTCCGTTCCCCCGAGCGCCCGCCTTGGAGCCCGGGTCGTTGGCACCTTCCGGGCACCCCGGGGGGTGCTGCTGTGCGTTCACGAGCCCGCGTCTGCGGACATGGGGGGGTCTCCGTTCTCGGGGCGCACGCCCCGCGGGGAGCTGGTGGCGGCCTCGGGAGGGACCCAGGCTGCTGCCAAGGTGGCGGCCATGTGTTCGTGGGCAGGTGTGTGGGGTCTGGCTTGTTACTGCTTTTTACAACCTCGCCAGAGCGTTCCCGTGGATCTTCAGAGAGAGGGGGAGACACAGGAGGGGGTGCCTCCTGCACCAGCCCCGACCGGGGCCCCGGGTACTTTCCCTTGACCGGAATCGAACCCGGGACCCATGGGTCTGCAGGCGGACGCTCTATCCACGGAGCCACACCGGCTGTTTTAAATGGAGGCCAGAAAGTAAGCGAGGGCCGAAACCGGTGTGGCCTGCGGACGGAAGGGTCCTGGGTTCGAGTCCGGTCAAGGGCATGGACCTTGGTTGCGGGTACATCCCCAGTAGGGGGTGTGCAGGAGGCAGCCGATGGACGTTTCTAATCCCTCTGCCTTCCTCTCTGTAAAATATCAGGAAAGGTATATTTTAAAAAAGGAAATAAGGTGAGCTAGGGCGGCTGGGGGGGCCCGGGGCCGGGGAGGGTGGGGGGCGGGTGCCCGGTGCGGGTGCTTGACCAGGTCAGGGTGCCAGCCGGAGAGACACGGTGAGCTGGGCCTGGGCCTGAGCCCCGGGGCGCCGGCCAGCGCGGCAGCTGGAGGAGCAGGGGGAGGGGGGTGGTTCCGGAGTGTGAGCAGGACGGGAGGGGTCAGGGGAGGTGAGGACGGAGGCAGGTGAGCCCGGCGGGGGGGAGGGAAGGGGCCGTGCGGGCGCCGAGCCTGGCAAAGTCAGCATGACCTTCCCGCCCGCCCGCCCGCCCGCCCGCACCGCGGGCAGCGTGTCCTGTCCCTGCTCAGCCGGGCGTGCGGCAGCTGCGGGCCGAGCGGTGCCCTCAGGGCCTCTGTTACCACCAGCCCCCGCCCCGTGGCCCCCCGCCCTGTGGGCCCCCACCCCGTGGAACCCGCCCCATGCACCCCCCGCCCCGTGGCCCCCCGCCCCATGCACCCCCCGCCCCGTGGCCCCCCGCCCCGTGGTCTCCCCGCCCTGTGGGCCCCCGCCCCGTGGAACCCGCCCCATGCACCCCCCGCCCCGTGGCCCCCCGCCCCGTGGCCCCCCGCCCCATGCACCCCCCGCCCCGTGGCCCCCCGCCCCGTGGCCCCCCCGCCCCGTGGCCCCCCGCCCCGTGGCCCCCCGCCCCATGCACCCCCGCCCCGTGGCCCCCCGCCCCATGCACCCCCCGCCCCGTGGCCCCCCGCCCCGTGGCCCCCCCGCCCCGTGGTTCCCCCCGCCCTCTGCCCTCTGCAGGCGCCGGCGCTGCCTGCTGGGCGCGGGTGTGACCCGGTTGTCCCAGATCTCACCTCCACGTCCGCGGCGGGCCTACATTCCGTGGACAGACTCAGCGTGGGCACAGCGCGCAGTAGGGGCCTTGCCGACGCCGCCCCCCCCTGCTTTTGGGAGCGGCCTTGGTGTTGCGTCTGGCTGACTCCCCGCCCCGGCTGAGGCCCTCGGGCGCCCTGCAGGCAGGCCCCGGAGTGTGGTCCCTCCCCTGCACCCCGGGCCCCGGGCCGGCCAGCTGGGGCCAGGCCGGAACCCCAGCCCCACTAGGCAGACGGGGCCGGTGGGACCGAGATGGGGAGCTGGGCCCGTGCTTGGTCCTGGGGTTCAATGAGGGTCCCCCCCGGAGGCGGCGGCCGGCGAGCAGCCGGGAGCCCCGGGGCAGCTCGCTCAGGGCGGCCAGTGCCGGCCGGCGTGTGCCCGCAGGTGTGGTGCGGCGCTCGTGTCCGTCAGGGGGCGGGACCTCGCCGGGCTCGGGCGCCGGGCAGACGGTGTGCACGGGGGCCCTGGCCCTCGAGCCTCTCGCTCACCATCCCTGCTGCGCGCGCGATCCTGTTGGGGACGCTCTGGTGAAACGGGGGAGGGGGCTGCCGGCTCCTGTCCCTGGGAGGCAGGGTCCCCCAGCCCCGTGCCCAGGCCCCGCGACCCCTGGGGGGTCACAGCCTGGCCCCTCAGCTCACGGAGCCTCGTCTGCCTGAACCTGGGGGGTCAGCGTGGCCGGGCCGGGCTCGGGGCTCGATGGGACTCCCGGCCGGGGGCTGGCGGGGCGTCGGACCCTGACCCGGGCCTCGGGCTGGAGGGGCTCCGGGCCCCTCGGGGTCCTGGTGGCACCGGAGGGGGGAGGGCGGCTCCCCCATGCCCGTACCCAGGACCGGGCTGGGGCCCCGCCTGACGCCCGTCCCCCCTCAGGCTGCTGTCGCCGCGCCCCAGCCTCCTCACCCCGACCGGCGACGCCCGGGCGCACGCCTCACCCCAGAAGCCTCTGGACCTGAAGCAGCTGAAGCAGCGGGCGGCCGCCATCCCCCCCATCGTAAGTGCCCCCCTGCCCTCCCCCTCCCCCTCCCTGCCCCCCTCCTCCTCCCTGCCCCCTCCCCGCCCTCACCCTCTCCTCCCCTTCCCTGCCCCCCCCTGCCTTCCCTCTCCCCCCCCACCCTCCCCCTCTCCTCCCCCCCACCCTCCCCTCACGTCCTGGGGGGACCTCGCCGAGGGCGGCCCGCCTCCCGCCGTTTCCGGAGAAATCCCCTGGAGAGGAGGGGGAGCAGCGGGGCGGGGCTCCGGGGCCCGGGGGCCGGCTGAGGGCTCCCCTGGCCTCCGCCCTCTTCCCTCCGAGGCCCTGGAGCCCGTGGCTCTCGCTCCAGCGCCCGGCCCCAGCCACGGGAGGCGGGCATTCCTCCCCTCCCAGCTGTCCGCCCGGGAGAGGGTGGGGCTCCCGTGGTGAACATGGGGTCCCTGGGGAGGCTGGCCCCGTGGTGTCCCCAGGCCCAGGCCGGCCGTGCTGGGGTGACCCCTCCCGGGTGGCCCGGCTCCCGGCTGCCGAGCCTTCCCGGTGCGGGCCGAGGGTGCTGACCGCCCGCCCGCCCGCCCGCCGGCACGGCCTCTCCCCGCTCTGCCCCCGGGACCCGGAGCACGCCGGCCGCTCTGGCCTGCGCCGGCCGCCACGCCGGCACCCGGAGCCTCCCCCCGGAGGCCCTGTGCCCGGGGCCGGGGGGAAGATGCCCACCTCCTGCCGCCCCCTCAGCAGGTCACCAAGGCCCAGGAGCCCGCCAGGGAGGACCCAGCGCCCGCGAAGCCGGCTCCGCCCGCCCAGCCGCCGCCGCACCTGCAGCCCGAGAGCGGCCCCCAGCCGCCCGGCAGCAGCCCGCGGGGCAAGAGCCGGAGCCCCGTCCCGCCGGCCGAGAAGGAGGGTCAGTGCCCGGGGTGTGTGTGTGTGTGTGTGTGAGGCAGCGGGAGGGCGTCCGCAGGCAGAGCAGCCCAGCCAAGGAGGGGGACGCGGGGGGCGGGGCAGCGGGGGGCGGGGCAGCGGGGCCTCACCTTCTCTCCTAAGGCTGCCCTGCTGCGCGGCTGGGACGTCAAGGGGTCGAGTCCCGGCTTGGCCAGATATTTGCGCGTGACCTTAGATAAGCCCACGGCTGCGACTGCTTCCCCCGGGCAGCCTGGCGACTGGCGTGGTGCCCAGGCGCCTGGGCCCTCCTTAGCCATGCCTCGGCCACACCATGGCACATGCTCACGTGCACACGCACACGTGCACACAGGCACACACATGCACAGGCACACACGCACATGAACACACACACCGGCACAGGCACCCACAGGCACACACAGGCACACACAGGCACACACACACGCACACAAACACACACACACCAGCACAGGCACAGGCACACACACGTGCGCACACACAGGCACACGCGCGCGCACACACACACGCACATGAACACACACACACCAGCACAGGCACACACATGCGCGCGCGCACATACACACACACGCCTCGGCGGCGTGTTCCGGAAAGGTCCAGGAGTAAATGCTTTCGCTCTGGGGGCCAGACGGTGTCGCAACCGCTCGGGAAAACCGGTGGTGGACGTGACCTCGGGCGGCGTGAGCGCGGGTGCAGGCGCAGGCCCGGCCTGGCGCTGTGCCGCCTCCCGCTCGCCTGGGGCTCAGCAGCCCGGCTGACGGCCCTCCCCCCGCAGAGAAGCCCGTGTTCTTCCCGGCCTTCGCCGCCGAGGGCCAGAAGCTGCCCGCCGAGCCCCCGTGCTGGACGCCGGGCCTGCCCTTCGCCGTGCCCCCCCGCGAGGTGATCAAGGCGTCCCCGCACGCCCCCGAGCCCTCCGCCTTCTCCTACGCCCCGCCCGGTGAGTCGCGCCCACGCCCTGCTCGGCGCCTCGGCCCCTGCGTGCCCAGGTGCCGGCAGCTCGCGCGGGCCGGCACTCGGTGCAGGAGGACCCGGGTTCGACGGGGACCTGTGGCCGCGGGAGAAACCTGCAGGATCGGGCGATAGGGAGCCATAGATGGTGCTTGAGCCGGAGCGGGGGTGGCTGGAGTGGAGGTCCACGGAGACAGCCTGGGGTTGGGGTTCTTTGGGGCCCTCAGTCCTGCTGGGCGCCCCCCCCCCCCCCGGCAGCTGATGGGGGAGGTCCCGCTAAACAGAACAAACAACAAGGAAGGGCACCCCCGGCTGAGGGAACAGCGTGTGCAAAGGCCCAGAGGCAGTGCAGAGCAGGCTAAGCTGAGGCAGGGAATCCGGCTGCGGGAGGGTGGGGTGGGGTGGGGTGGGGGGCAGGGTGCTGGTGAGCCTGGGGAGGCTGCCGGCTCTCGGTGGAGGGACTGCGGGAGCCGGGCCGAGCAGAGGCTTTGTCCCGGGGGAGGGGGCAGCCAGCAGACTTGGTACCGAGACCCTGGAGCGGGGGACCAGGGTCTGGGCCGGCATCAAAGTGCTGGGGGGACCCCAGCTTTCCCGGGGAGGGGGTGTGTGAACCGAGGGCGTGGCCAGCTCCTCAGGCGCCTGTGGACGGTCCTGCCTGGAGGACAGGGCAGGGGTCGGTCCGCGGGGCCGGCCCCGGGGGGCTGTGACGGACGGACCTGTGCCCGCAGGTCACCCCCTGGCCCTGGGCCTGCACGACGCCGCCCGGCCCGTCCTGCCGCGCCCGCCCCCCATCTCCAACCCGCCGCCCCTCATCTCCTCCACCAAGCACCCCGGCGTGCTGGACCGGCAGGTGGGTGCCGCCGCCCGCGCGGGGCCTCGGCGGCGCCGTCTGTGGGATGGCCCCGGGCCCCGGGATGTCTGGTGGGGCCGGGCCGTCTGTTCACGGCTGTGCTGGCTCCGACCCTGAGCCTGCCGGGCCCTCGGGCGGTCACTCCGGGCGGGCAGCGCGGACTCTGCGCCCAGCCCCTGTCCTCGGCCGCTCCTCGGCCTCCGGGCCTCGGGCCCTCGGGAAGGGAAGGTCGAATGGGCTGGACACACGGCGGCTGTCTGCCTTCCCCTCCCCGCCCGCCTCCGTGCAGCGCGCCTGGGGGGGGGTGTGTGGCTTGTGCCGGCTGCTCGCTGGGGCACGGGGGCCGGGGCTCGGTGATCTCCAGGTCCCCCCCGTGGGCCCTCGTAAAAGGGGTGTCCGGGGGCTCTGGCTGGGTGGGGCCTGCGGTGGAGGGACCTCGGCCCTGTGACCCCGTGACCTCCCCCCCACAGGGCCTGTCGGTGCAGCTGCACATCCCGTACTCGGAGCACGCCAAGGTCCCCGTGGGCCCCCTCGCCATGGGGCTGGCCCCCGCCCTGGACCCCAAGAAGCTGGGTGAGGCTCGGGGCCTCACCACCCGGAGGGGAGCACCCGGCTGGCAGCCCTCCCTGGCGGGCCCGGGGGACAGCGTGGCCGGTGGACTTGGCTGGGGCTCGGGGGCGGCTCTGTAGGTCCCTGTGGTGCTGGGAGGGGCCCCGGGGCCCCGGGCTCACTGCTCGCCCCGTCCCCAGCGCCCTTCAGCGGTGTGAAGCAGGAGCAGCTGTCCCCCCGGGGCCAGGCGGGGCCCCCGGAGAGCCTGGGGGTGCCCACGGCCCAGGAGACGTCCGTGCTGCGAGGTGAGGTCCCGGCGGTGGGCGGAGGCCGGGTCCCCTGCGGCCCAGCAGCTGCCCCTCCCTCCTCGGCGGGTGGGGGCGGGAGGGGCGCTTCCCCAGACCCAGCTGGGAGGGGGCGTGGCTCCAGGGCGTCTGACACCCCTCAGCCCCCTGTGCCCCCCGTCTTCCAGGGACCACCCTGGGCTCGGTGCCGGGAGGGAGCATCAGCAAGGGCATGCCCAGCGCCCGGGTGCCCGCCGAGAGCCCCATCAGCTACCGCGGCTCCATCACCCACGTGAGTGCGGCGTGCGTGGCTGCGTGGCGGCTGCCTCGGGGGCAGCTCCTCCCCCGTCCGTGCCCTGTGTCCTCGGTGCCGAGCAGAGCAGGGAGCCGGCCACGGCGCTGGACAGGCACTGCTGGAGCCAGACCGGGCGGGGCCTGCCGGGGCTGCGAGTCGGCAGCGGGGGGACCTGCAGGGAACTCGGGGGATAGCACGCTGGCCCAGGGAACGGGTGTGCAGAGGCTGAGGGGGCAGTGGAGGTGGACATGGACATGGTGGACGTGGACGTGGTGGACGTGGACGTGGGAGGACGTGGCAGGCCCGCGGGGACACGTGCTCGCCCTCCGCCCGCAGGGCACCCCGGCTGACGTCCTCTACAAGGGCACCATCACCCGGATCGTCGGCGAGGACAGCCCCAGCCGCCTGGACCGCGGGCGGGAGGACGGCCTGCCCAAGGGCCATGTCATCTACGAGGGCAAGAAGGGCCACGTGCTGTCCTACGAGGGTGAGCCTGCCCCCCCCCCCCCCCGGGCAGGGCGGACAGTGGGGCCAGGCTTCCTCCCCTCTGCTCGGGGGACGTGGACAGACAGGACCCGTGGGGCCCGATATTCACGGGAGCTGACCACGTGCGGGGCTGGGGCACCGTGTCTGGGGTCCCCAGGGACAGGGGTCCCCTTGTCAATTCTGCGTCCGGGGACCTTGCCCGCCCAGCCACAGACCCGGGTTTCTGGAGCTGGGCAAGGCGGGGAGCGGGTCAGGGTCCCGAAAAGCAGGCTGCGGGCCAGGGGAGAGCCAGATGGGACGTGGGGGGAGCATGTGCCTCTTCTGTCTGCCCTGAGCGGCCGGAGCGGGGGAGGGGCTGGTGCTCCTGTGACAGCGAGGAGATGGGGTGCACGGCAGGCAGGGGTCCTGGGCCCCCCCCCCCCGGTCCCTCCAGAGAGGAGGAGGCCCGGGATCAGGGGAGGAGGGAGGCACGGTCAGAGAGGCAGTGAGTTCCCCGCAAGCCCAGGCTTTACAGCGGAGGAAGCGACTGGCAGTCAGCCTCACGGGGGACTGAGGCCTCCGCCTCGCGCAGTGCATGGCCAGAGCGGTGACCGCACCGATCTCTGCCCCGCCTGTGCCCAGGCCCCTGCCTCAGGCCCCTCGGCCCCTCCCCTTCCCGGCTCTGGGCTCCCCGGGGCACCCGCACGGAGGAGTGAATAGGGAGGAGGCACTGGGGGGAGCTTCCCGGCTGTGGGCACCCAGGGGTGCGGAGATAAAAGCTGCTGATGGCACCCTCCCGGCGGCTGGCTCCTAAGGCAGGCGGGCGGGCGGGCACCTTTTCCTCCATCCCCCCCGCCCGTGCCCGCGGCCCCGCCCCCACACGGTGGTGCCGGAGGAGGAGGCTCAGGCACAGGCCGCTCCCTGCTGCCAGCGGTGGAGGTGGCCGTGGGGACGGTGCCAGCCTCGGCGCCCGCCCGGCTGAGTGCCCTGGGGGGTGGGGGGCCGGCGGGCAGTCGGGCTGTGGTGGGCAGAGAGCACCGGGCAGCATCTGCCCTCGGGCCCCGGACCAGCCCTGAGCCTCGCTGGAGGGCTGAGCATCTGTGAAATGGGCTTCAACTCCTGCCCCTCCGGGCAGCTGCCAGGCCTGGGGCAGCAGGGAGTGGCGGGGGGGGGGGGGGGGGTCCCCAGCAGCTGATGGGCCCCGGGTACGAATGTGAGCTCCCAGCCAGACCCCGTCTCTCCGCGTGTCTGAAACCTCCCGGGTTTGAATGCCAGCAGTTAACTCTGAGGACAGAACGGACAGCAGCCCCAGTCTGTCAGCTGGTCCCAGTTTGCAGGCTCCGCCTTGGCCAGTGCTTGGGGTGGGGGGTGGGGCGGAGAGCCACCAAACCTGCACGCACAGAGCCCCACGTCCACACACGAATGGTGGTGTGTGCCCTGCGTGCCACACCCGGGCTTGTGTGTGCGCGTGTTCGCGCGTGTTCGCGCGTGTGTGCGCGTGCGTATGCGTGTGTGTGCGCGTGTGCGCGCGCGTGTGCGTGCGTATGCGTGTGTGTGTGTACGCGCATGTGCGTGCGTATGCGTGTGCGTGCGTGTGCGTGCGTGTGTGTGTGTTATATCACAAGCTGTCGCTGTGTGCAGGCGTGTCTGTGCACTCACATGGCTGCCCGTGTGTGGTCAGGGGCGCCCCGCTTACAGAATGGCCTGGCAGGTTGGGGTTTGGGTCCCATCTGCGTCAGGCCCCTGGAAGGGCTGAGGGGCCGGTGGGGGGCCCTGTCCTGACCCCCAGGCTGGGTCGGGGTCGTGGACTCCGTCCCGGGGCTCCTCGGGGCCAGCTTAGCCATGTGATGGGGGGGGGCTGCGGGTCCCGGGCCGAGCACGTGACCGCCCGGGCGGGCCTCCCTCACCCGCGTGGCCCGTTCCAGGTGGCCTGTCCGTGGCCAAGGAGGACGGCCGGAGCAGCTCGGGGCCCGCCCACGAGACCGCCGCCCCCAAGCGCACCTACGACGTGATGGAGGGCCGCGTGGGCCGCGCCATCGCCTCCGCCGGCATCGAAGGTGGGTCCAGGCCGGAACCTGTCTCGGCGCCCCCTGGAGGGAGCCGGCGGGAGGGGAGGAAGCGCCCTGGACAGGTGGGACCCTGAGGCGCCTCTCGGGGCCAGAGCCGGCCCCCTTGCTGGGTGCTGAGCCCCCACCGCCTCGGGACTGCCGGGCAGCGGGCAGGGGGCCGAGGCCGCGGGGGGACAGCCACGAGCCCTCCCCTCCCTCCCCCCAGGCCTCATGGGCCGCGCCATCCCCCCCGAGCGGCACAGCCCCCACCACCTGAAGGAGCAGCACCACACCCGCGGCTCCATCACCCAAGGTACCCCCCCCTCCCCCCCCGGCGGCCGGGAGGTCACGGGTCGGGAGGGGTGTCCGAGGCCACGGGGCCGGCGCTGCAGGCGGGAGGATGGGCCCTCAGATACCTGGGCGCGAACCTCAGTTGGCCCTACCTGGGGAGCGTCCCCAAAGAGTGCCCGCTGCTTTGGATAAGGATAAAGGCTCATGGCGGGGCGGGGCCTGCGGGGGTGGGCGGGGCCTTGGGATGGGGCAGGGCCAGTGGAGGTGGGGGTGGGTCCTGCAGGGATGGGAAGGGGACCAGTGGGGAAGGGGCGGGGCCAGTGGAGGTGGGTCCTGCAGAGATGGGGCGGGGCCGGTGGGGAAGGGCGGGGCCGACAGTGGGGGCGGGGCCTGTGGGGATGGGCGGGGCCGGTAGTGGGGGCGGGGCCTGTGGGGATGGGCGGGGCCGGTGGGGAAGGGGCGGGGTCAGTGGAGATGGGCGGGGCGGGGCCGGTGGGGAAGGGGCGGGGTCAGTGGGGATGGGCGGGGCGGGCCGGCGGTGGGGCGGGGCCTTGGGGATGGGCGGGGCCTTGGGGTGGGCGGGCTGGGGGGCAGGGTGTGAGGCCCGCATCGCCCGCCGCAGGGATCCCGCGCTCCTACGTGGAGGCCCAGGAGGACTACCTGCGGCGCGAGGCCAAGCTGCTGAAGCTGGAGGGCACGCCGCCGCCCCGGGACCCGCTGGGCCCGCTGAAGCCGCAGCCGCACGAGGGGCTGGTGGCCACGGTGAAGGAGGCCGGCCGCTCGGTGCACGAGATCCCGCGGGAGGAGCTGCGGCGCACGCCCGAGCTGGCCCTGGCGGCGCGGCCGCTCAAGGAGGGCTCCATCACGCAGGTGCGGCCGGCGCCTGCTCCGGAACCTTCCGGCCGGGCGGGCGGGCGGGCCGCCACGGGTGACAGGGCGGCCGGGCGGGCCGCGGGCCCGGGTTCCCTAGCCCCGTGGTCGGCAAACTCATCGTCCACAGAGCCAAGTGCCAGCGGCACCGGGATTGGCCTTCCTTCGGAGAGCCTGTTTTTTAAACTTAAACTTTTTATAACGTCGCTCCTTCAACAGGCCCGCCCAGGCCGCGGTGCTCTGTGGAAGAGCCTCACTCCAGTTTGCCGACCACGGGCCTAGCTGGTCCGCCCAGAGCTGCTGCCCGGCCGGCGGGTGTGGCCTCGCCCTGACCTCCGGCCGGAAGCCTGGGCTCGGCTTTGGGGGTGCGGAGGGTTCCCCTTCCCCCTCTCCCCTGGGAGGAAGGATTCGCCCTCAGGGGTGCTGACCTCACCGCAGCCACCCCCCGGGGCCAGGAGGGGGTCCCCCACCCGCCGACGCGCCCCCAGCTGGCTCTGGGGGCCGAGGCCAGGCCCGGGGGGTCCCCCTGTGGCCGCGGCTCCCGTGTTGTCGCCGAGCCGCCGGGGCCGAGGGCCTTGGTGGCGGGCGCTCACCCCTCCCCCCCGCCCCCAGGGCACCCCGCTCAAGTACGACGCGGCCCCCTCGGGCGCCAAGAAGCACGACGTGCGCTCCATCATCGGCAGCCCCGGCCGCACCTTCCCGGCCGTGCACCCGCTGGACGTGATGGCGGACGCGCGGGCGCTGGAGCGCGCCTGCTACGAGGAGAGCCTGAAGGGCCGGCCGGGCGCGGGCGCCGGGGGCTCCATCACGCGGGGCGCCCCGGTCATCATGCCCGAGCTGGGCAAGCCCCGCCAGAGCCCCCTGGCCTACGAGGACCCCGCCGCCGCCTTCGCCGGCGCCCTGCCCCGCGGCTCGCCTGGGACCACGCGGGAGCCCACGCCGCGCCTGCAGGAGGGTGCGTGGGACCGGGCGGGCGGGGGGGAGGGGGGCTCCATCTCGGGAAACTGCCTCGCTGCCCGCACTCAGCTCAGGCCGGGTCTGGGGCACCCCCCGTGTCCATTCGGCCTGCAGCCGAGGGTTCCGCCCCAGATCCAGCTCGAGAACCACCCTCCCACGCCATTTCCCGCCTGCTCCCCGACCCCCCTGCCCTGCCCTAACCGCCCCTCAGACGGCAGCCAGACCCACAGTGTGCCCCACCCCCTGCTGCAGTCCGTCCGTCCGTCCTTCCGGGACCTCCCGCTGTCCCCGGGGGAAGCTGGCTCGTCCGTCCGGGCCCCCGGCCTCAGGAGCCCGCGGCTCGGCCCTCCCGCCCCGCCCTGCGCCAGAGCCCTCGCCGCCGGGCTCGGCCACATGGGCCCCTCTGCCCCTGGGCCTTTGCCCGTGCTGTGCCCCCCGCCAGGTGGCCGCCCGCTGGCCGCTGTCCTCCCTCAGCCTCCCCCAGCGGCCAGCTGCTCGCGGCTCCTGCCCTCTGGTCCCGTCCGTCCCCCGCGTGCCTGCCTCGCTGCCGTCTGTGGGAGGGCTGGTTTGTCGCCCGCCTCCCTCCGGCGTGAACGTCAGCCCCGTGGGCGGGAGCCGTGTCCGGGCGCAGCCCTGCCCAGCCCCAGCCTCGGGACAGGGCTGGCTGTCCGGCTCCCGGAGGGTTTCTGTTCAACGAATGAATGAAACGAGGAGATGAACACATGTCGATTTAAACAAACAAACAAACAAAACAAACCCTGAACCCGAAACACCTGGCTGGCGCGGACCGTGGTTGAGCGGCCGTGACCCAGGAGGTCGGGTCAGGTCCCGGCCCGGGCACAGCCCGCGTTGCGGGCTCGGTCCGCAGTGGGGCGTGCAGGAGGCAGCCGGCCCCTGATTCTCTCCGGGGAGGTTTCCCCCTCCCTCCTCCAAAATCAGGCAACCTGTGTGTTTTACAAAGACTGAAAACAAAGCCAAAACCGGAAGCAAATGAGTCAATGACCCCACAGAACAAAGGAGAGGCTGGGAAGGGGGTGAGGACAGCTGGTCCGGGCCCCAGAGACACCCAGCCCTGGGCTAATGCGGACTGCAGCGCGGGGCCCGGGCCGGGGATGGGGCAGGGGCCAGGGCCGGGGCCGGGGATGGGGCCGGGGCCGGGGCCGGGGATGGGGCCGGGGCTGGGGATGAGGGTGGGGATGGGGACGGGGCCGGGGATGGGGCCGGGGAGGGGGCCGGGGATGGGGCCGGGGCCGGGGATGGGGCCGGGGATGGGGCCGGGGATGGGGCCGGGGATGGGGCCAGGGCCGGGGCCGGGGAGGGGGCCGGGGCCGGGGATGGGGCCGGGGCCGGGGCCGGGGCCGGGGCTGGGGATGGGGCCGGGGATGGGGATGGGGCCGGGGCCGGGGCTGGGGATGGGGCCGGGGCTGGGGATGGGGCCGGGGATGGGGCCGGGGCCGGGGCTGGGGATGGGGCCGGGGATGGGGATGGGGCCGGGGCCGGGGCCGGGGCCGGGGCCGGGGGGCCTGACGCCAGCCCCGCTCTGGCCCGCAGGCAGCCACGCGTCCGGCAAGGCGTCCCAGGACCGGAAGCTGACGTCCACGCCGCGCGAGATCGCCAAGTCCCCGCACAGCGCGGTGCCCGAGCACCACCCGCACCCGCTGTCTCCGTACGAGCACCTGCTCCGCGGCGTGAGCGGCGTGGACCTGTACCGCGGCCACATACCGCTGGCTTTCGACCCCGCCTCCATGCCCCGCAGCGCCGCGCTGGACGCAGGTGCCTGCCGGGCGGGCGGGGGGCGGGGCCGGGCGGGCGGGGGGGGCCGCGCTGGACGCAGGTGCCTGCCGGGCGGGCGGGGGGGGTGAGCCGGGGGCGGGCCGAGGGGGGGCCGAGCCAGCGCGGGCCTGCCGGCGCCGCTCCTCGCTCCTCCGTGGATGGATGCTGTTTGGGGAGACCGAGGCCTGGAGCTTGGGCGGAGGCCCGAGGGGCGGCCGTGGGGTTTGTCTTCAGTGTCTGGGGGCCGGGCCGGCCGAATGCTTCCCGGCGGCTTCTCTCCCTGAAGACTGGCCGGCGCCTTTAAAATGGCAGCCCCGGCCCGTGTGGCCCAGTGGGTAGAGCGTCGGCCTGCGGACCGAAGGGTCCCGGGTCCGATTCCGGTCAAGGGTATGGGCCTTGGTTGCAAGCATATCCCTCGTAGGGAGTGTGTAGGAGGCAGCTGATGCATGCTTCTCAAAAAAAAAACCCAAAAAAACAATAAGTAATAAAATAAAATTGCAGACAGCCCTGGCCGGTGTGGCTCAGTGGATAGAGCATCGGCCTGCGGACCGAAGGGTCCCGGGTCCGATTCCGGTCAGGGGCACGTCCCTCGGGGCTTGTGCAGGAGGAAGCCCATAGATATGTCTCTCTCCATCCCTCCCTCCCCCTCCCACCGTCCCTGAAAGTCCACGGGAAAGTGTCCTCGGTGGAGGATCCAAAAACAAAACCACCATCCACGTAGGAAGCTCGAGTGGGCGTTCCCCAGACCCTCCGGCGCCCCCTTCGGGTCCCGGGACCCCCGTGTCCGACGCCCTGCCAGGGGCGGGCTCCGGCCCGGAGGACCCTGTCCCCGAGGGGGCGCAGCCGTCCCCCTCCTTCAGGCCTTGGCTCTGTCCTGGGGTGTCCGGGGCGATGCAGCCGGAGTCCGGGCATCGGGGGCACGAGGACCGGGGGGGTCTGACCTCTGACCCTGTGACCCCCTCCCAGCGGCCGCCGCCTACTACCTGCCCCGGCACCTGGCCCCGAACCCCACGTACCCGCACCTGTACCCGCCCTACCTCATCCGCGGCTACCCCGAGACGGCGGCGCTGGAGAACCGGCAGACCATCATCAACGACTACATCACCTCGCAGCAGATGCACCACGCCGCCTCCGCCATGGCCCAGCGCGCCGACATGCTGCGCGGCCTGGCGCCCCGCGAGTCCTCGCTGGCGCTCAGCTACGCCGCCGGCCCGCGAGGTGGGCGCGGGCGGGAGGCCGCGGGGGGCGGGGAGGCCCGGGGGGCGCACACGGCCTCGGATCGCTGCTCGTACCCGGGGCCCGGCGGGACTTCGGCTCCCTTGACCCCCAAGGGCCTGGGGCTGCGTGGCAGCGCCCGTGGAAGCCGTCCTTTGGGGGAGAAGCTTCCGGAATGTTCTGGAGTGTCCCAGTTCGGGTCCAGTTGGGAAACCTGGTCACAGGAGGTGTTTCAGAGGTGGGGGTGGGCGCCCTGGCCGGTGTGGCCCAGTGGGTAGAGCGTCGGCCTGCGGACCCAGGGGTCCCGGTTCGGTTCCGGTCAAGGGCACGGACCCCCGTCGTGGGCTCCCCGGCCCAGGCCCCGGTCGGGGCGTCTCCTCACAGCAATGCCCCTCTCTCCGTCCCTCTCCCTCCATCTGAGAACCGGGCAACACCCCGTGGGAGGGTTAGCGGTGAGGTGGGGGACCGGGGACTGAGGCTGGGGAGGGCCCCGGGCTGAGTGCGGGGAGGGCCCGGGCTGTGGTGCAGGGAGGGCCCCGGGCTGAGTGCGGGGAGGCCCCGGGCTGTGGTGCAGGGAGGGCCCCGGGCTGAGTGCGGGGAGGCCCCGGGCTGTGGTGCGGGCAGGGCCCGGGGTGGGCCAGCTGGCGGCCCCTCCCCGGGTGACAGCCTCCCCTCCCCCGCAGGCATCATCGACCTGTCCCAAGTGCCACACCTGCCCGTGCTGGTGCCCCCAACGCCGGGCACGGCCGCCACCGCCATGGACCGCCTGGCCTACATCCCCGCCGCCCAGCACTTCAGCAGCCGGCTCAGCAGCTCCCCACTCTCCCCGGGTGCGCCTGCCCCCCGGCCCCGGCCCCCCGGCCCCTGTCCCCGTCCCCCCGTCTCCCCGTGCCCCCTTCCCCCATCTCCCCATCTCCCCGTCCGCCCGTCTCCCCAGGCCCCGGCCCCTATCCCTCCTCCCCCCCTCCCCCTCCCCCCTCCCTCGTCCCCTGTCCCCCGGCCCCCCAGCCCCCGGCCGGGTCGGGAAGCCGGAGGCCCGCTGGGCGCCTCCAGGCCGGTGTCTCGCCCTCTCTGTTCCGCCCGGGCTGAGCCTCGGCCTTTGGTTTCCAGGAGGCCCCACCCCCCTGACAAAGCCCGCGGCCACGTCCTCCGAGCGGGAGCGGGAGCGGGAGCGGGAGCGGGAGCGGGAGAAGCCCGTCCTCGCGGCCAGCGCCACGGTGGAGCACGCACCCATCTGGAGGCCCGGTAAGGGGGCCGCCCGCCCGCCCCCGCCCCCGCCCGCCGCCCGGCCCCTGACCGCCCTGTCCCCCAGGCACGGAGCAGAGCAGCGGCGGCAGCACGGGCGGCCGCCCGGCCTCGCACCCCCACCAGCACTCGCCCATCTCGCCGCGGGCGCAGGACGCCGTGCAGCAGCGGCCCAGTGTGCTGCACAACACGGGCCTGAAGGCCGCCGCCGCCGAGCACAGCGCGCCCACGGTCCTGAGGTGGGCCAGGTTGGCGCCGGGCGGGCCGGCGGGCGGGCGGCGGGCGGCTGAGGGAGTCACGGGGGGGCTGTGGGTTGGAGACAGACGGGTGCTGATGGTGGGGAGGCAGGTGGGTGGTACACGGTGGGAGGGTGAGTAGACGGTGGGTGAGGAGTGAGGAGCTGAGAGATGGGTAGGTGGGTGAGGAGGTAACGAGATGGTGACTGGGTTGGATGGATGGATAAATGCACAGAGGGAGGGAGGGATGATGGATGGAGGGAGGGGTGGATGGGTGATGGATGGGGGAGGGAAGATGGATGGATTGATGGAGGGATGGATGGATGGATGGATGGAGGGAGGGATGGATGGATGGATGGAGGGAGGGATGAGTAATGAGTGATGGATGGAGGTATGGGTGGATTTTGGATAGATGGGTGATGGACGGATGGATGGATGGATGGATGAATGAGTGATGGATAGCGGGATGAATGATGGCTGGATGGATGACGGGGGGTGAGGAAGGGATGGACAGATGGATGACGGTTGGAGGGATGGAGGGATGGAGAGGCCGATGGAGAGATGGTAGCAGGTCAGTGTGGATGCAGGGCAGCAGGATGCCAGGTGGGTGGGCAGCTGATGAGGCGTGGGGTTCAGGGGAGTGTGGACCCCAGTTATTTGGTCTCTTCTAACGAGAACGCAGGCACTTCTGTCTGCTTGCTGAGCACTGTGTCCCCGACCCATGGCTCAGTGAGGGGCTGTGGAAGGGTGAAGGAATGAATGAATGAATGAACGAACGATGAGTGCGGTCGGTGAGGTCACCTCCACAGGCCAGCCTCAGGAGCAGTGGGGAACTGGGGGAGCCGTTTCAGGACAGTGGGGACCCCCTGCACCCCGGGCGTCCGCGTGAGGGCGCGACCAGGGCCCCGGCGCCTCCTGACCCCCTCTGCCCCCCAGGTCCACCTCCACGTCCTCGCCCGTCCGCCCGGCCGCCACATTCCCGCCCGCCGCCCACTGCCCGCTGGGCAGCGCCCTGGACGGCGTCTACCCCGCCCTGCTGGACCCCGTGCTGCTGCCCAAGGAGGCCCCGCGGGTCAGCCGGCCCGACAGGCCCCGCGCGGACGCCGCGGCCCACGCCTTCCTCGCCAAGCCCCAGGCCCGCGCCGGGCTGGAGCCCGCGGCCTCCCCGGGGAAGGGCGCCGAGCCCCGCGCCCCGGCCGCCGCCGGCCACGCAGCCCTGGCCCGCGCCCCCGCCAAGAGCCTCGCCGCGCACCGCGCCAGCCCGGACCCGCCGGCCGCCGACCCTGCGCGGGATAAGCCTCACAGTAAACCCTTTTCCGTCCAGGACCTGGAGCTCCGGACTCTGGGTAAGACCGCCCTGACAGCGGCCACCTTCATAGACGCCATAATCGTGCGTCAAATTGCCCACGATAAAGGAGGTGCGCTGGCCACCGGCTCCCCCCGCCACGGTAAGACCCCGCCCGCCGCCCCGCCCGCCTCGTGGCCGGCTCTCCAGGCCTGCGCTTCCCCCGCCCGCCGCCCCGCCCGCCCGCCCGCCGCCCCCGCACTCCGGCTGGGGCGCCCCCTCCTCTGCACGTCATCTGACCGTGGTTTTTCGTTTTTGGAGGGGTTTTCGCTGCTTCCCCTCCACACACGGGTCTGGGGCTCTGACTTCCCACCAGCCTCCTTCCCCGTGCGGGGGCGTGGCCGGGGGGCCGGGGGCGGGGGCGGAGCCAGGGGGCGGGGACTGGGGGGCGGGGGGCGAGGGGGGGGCCGGGGGCGGGGGGGCGGGGACCGGGGGACCAGGTCGGGGGCGGAGCCGGGGGGGCCGGGGGTGGGTGGGGGGCGGAGCCAGGGGGCGGGGACTGGGGGGCGGGGGCCGGGGGGCGGGGGCCGGGGCAGGCGCGGGGCAACCTGCTGCCTGGGGTGCGCGGAGCGCTCGGTTTGGGGGGACATCCGCCAAGGATGACGGGAAGGGACATGGGAAGCTGGGGACCCGACCCCTACCCCTGCCTCCCGCCAAGGCTGTCCGGGAGCCGTGGCCCCAGGCCCCCCGCTGCCCCCCACATCTGGAGACGGGGTCCTCCCTCCTCAGCCCCAGCTCGGGGCTCCTCTTCACCGGACGAGGGGCTGCAGGGGCCCCTCAGACTGATTGTCACTCCCTGCCCGCCCCCCCCACACACAGACCTCCCCCAGCCAGTCACAGCTGATCCATCCTCGTTCCCAGACACACACACACACACACACACACACACACACCCCGTCTTCCTCTCCCCGGCCCGTCCCCCCAATCGCTCACCCTGCCTGCCGGGTGCCCAGGCTCTCACTCTCCTCCATCTCCCCTCTCTGCTGTCCCATCGCCCTCCTTCCTCAGTGCACCCCACCCTGCCAGCCGGGAGCCCCAGTCCGGTCACCCCCTCTCCATCCGGTCTGGACAGTGCGGATGGATGGATGGGAGCAGCCTGCGGGGGCAGGCCGGGAGGCGGGAGCAGGCCGGGGGGCAGGGGCAGGCCGGGGGGCGGGGGCCGGGGAGTGCAGGCAGGGGGGGGCAGGCCGGGGGGCCGGGGGGCGGGGCCGGGCCGGGGGGGGGGGGCCGGGAGGCGGGGGGGCAGGCCGGGAGGCCGGGGACAGGCGGGCGGAGGCGGGGGCAGGCCGTGTCCAGCGCCCGCCGGCCTGACCCCGGCTTGCCCGCTGCAGGTTACCACGGCGGCAGCTACAGCCCTGACGGAGTGGAGCCCGTCAGCCCCGTGGGCTCCCCGAGCCTGAGCCACGACAAGGGGCTCCCCAAGCACCTGGAGGAGCTGGACAAGAGCCACCTGGAGGGGGACCTGCGGCTCAAGCAGCCGGGTGAGGCCCCCAGCACCCAGCCCCCACGCCCAGCGAGCACAGGCCCCCACGCCCAGTGAGCACAGGCCCCCACGCCCGGCGAGCACAGGCCCCCCACGCCCGGCGAGCACAGGCCCCCCAGACTCCCCCCACGCCCGGCGAGCACAGGCCCCCACGCCCGGCGAGCACAGGCCCCCCCCCCCCACGCCCAGCGAGCACAGGCCCCCCAGATCCCCCCCCACGCCCGGCGAGCACAGGCCCCCCACGCCGGGCGAGCACAGGCCCCCCAGACTCCCCCCACGCCCGGCGAGCACAGGCCCCCACGCCCGGCGAGCACAGGCCCCCACGCCCGGCGAGCACAGGCCCCCCAGACCCCCCCCACGCCCGGCGAGCACAGGCCCCCCAGACCCCCCCCCCACACCCGGCGAGCACAGACCCCCCAGACCCCCCCCCACGCCCGGCGAGCACAGACCCCCCCATGCCTGGCAAGCACAGGCCCCCCCCCCCACGCCCAGCGAGCACAGACCCCCCCATGCCCGGCAAGCACAGGCCCCCCCCCCCACGCCCGGCGAGCACAGACCCCCCAGATCCCCCCCCACGCCCGGCGAGCACAGGCCGGCCCCGGAGGTGGGGGCCGGCCCCCCTGACCCGCCCGCTCCCCCACAGGCTCGGGGAAGCTGGGCGGCGAGGCCACACACCTCCCGCACCTGCGGCCGCTGCCCGAGGGCCAGCCCGCCGCCAGCCCGCTGCTCCAGGCCGCGCCGGGGGTCAAAGGTCACCAGCGGGTGGTCACCCTGGCCCAGCACATCAGCGTAGGTCGCCTCTGCCTCTGGGGTGGGCCCAGGGCGGCGCCGGGGGCGGGAGGGGGGCTGGTGGGGAGCAGGGACCCCCGAGCCTCAAAGTCAGATGCTGCAGCTGCCCCTCGTCCAGCTGATGGGCCTCAGCCTGAGCCAGGGTGCCCCCCCCCCCCGGCAAGCTGCGGGCAGAGGAGGGCGGGGGGGGGGGGGCAGGACCGAGCCGGGCTCTGCCCTTGGAGCTTGGCCTAGATCCCGCCCCGGAAGGTTCTGGCTTGCGGACACCACCTCCGCTTGACCCCTGACCCCTGACCCCCCGCCCCCCCCCCACCCGGGCTGCAGGAGGTCATCACGCAGGACTACACGCGGCACCACCCGCAGCAGCTGGGCGCACCCCTCTACTCCTTCCCCGGCGCCACCTGCCCCGTCCTGGACCTCCGCCGCCCGCCCAGCGACCTCTTCCTGCCGCCCCCCGACCACGGCGCCGCCCGCGGCTCCCCGCACAGCGAGGGGGGCAAGAGGTGAGCGCCCCCGCCGGCCGGCCGTGGGGACTCCCCTCAGGCCCGGAGGCAGGATGGAGCCCCGCCAGCCACGCCTGTTTACACAGCCCCGGGCTTTCACTTTATTTTTTAATGTTTAATTGATTTCAGCCGAAGCCCGTGCGGCTCAGTGGATAGAGCGCCGGCCTGCGGACTGAAGGGTCCCGGGTTCGATTCCGGTCACGGGCGTGGACCTTGGTTGCGGGCACATCCCCAGTGGGGGGCGTGCAGGAGGCAGCTGATTGGTTTCTCTCTCATCGACGTTTCTAACTCTCTCCGTAAAAAATCAATAAAATAAGTTTATTTCAGAGAGAAAGGGATAGAGACAGCCACGATGAGAGAGAATCCCTGCGGCTGCCTCCTACACGCCCCCACTGGGGAGGGAGCCCGCACCCGGGAGTCAAACTGCTGCCCTCCTGGCTCATAGGTCAGCGCTCTCCACTGGCCTGCGGCCGGGCTGGGTTACGTTCGTAAAGAAAAAGGGAGGAACACGCAGCAGAGCCCTTAGGCCCGGCCCCGACCGTCTCAGTGTCCGCTCCCCCCGGGAGGGGGCGCCTGGTTCAGAGGAGCCGGCGCAGGGGGCGGGCGCGCCCTGAGCCTGACCTCGGGGACCCTCTCCGCGCAGGACGCCGGAGCCGAGCAAGACGGCCCTGGGCAGCGGCGAGGACGGCATTGAGCCCGTGTCCCCGCCCGAGGGCCTGGCCGAGCCCGGGCACCCCCGGAGCGCCCTGTACCCCCCGCTGTACCGCGATGGGGAGCCCGTGGAGTCCAGGTGCCCTAGCGCCAGCCCGCCCACCCCTTCCATCCCCTCCCCACCCTCTCCCCACCCCACCCCTTCCCTCCCCTCCCCACCCTCTTCCCAGCCGGAGAGAGGGGGGCTGGGGGTGGGTCACCCGGGCAGCGGGGAGAGCTGGGGTGCAGTCTGCGGGGCTGACCGGTCCGGCCTCCGGCAGGATGGGCTCCAAGTCCCCGGGGAGCACGGGGCAGCCGCCCGCCTTCTTCAGCAAGCTGACCGAGAGCACGTCCGCCATGGTCAAGTCCAAGAAGCAGGAGATCAGCAAGAAGCTCGGCGCCCACAGCCGGAATGAGCCGGAATGCAGTGAGCCTGGGGCCGGGACAGTGAGGGGGGGGGGGACTGACCGCCCGCCGGCTGGCCTCCCAGTGCCCGCCCAGTGAGCCCGGGCCCCGGGGCGGGGGGGAGCGGGGGGGGGGCACTGACCGCCCTCTGCTGTGGGCACGGGGGGGGGGGGCACCCGGAGCCTTTTTAGTTTTTCTTATGTTTTATTGGTTTTCTGAGGGAGGGAGGGACGGAGGGACGGAGGGAGAAACATCACCGATAGGCTGCCTCCCGCCCGGGCCTGTGCTCTGACTGGGAACCGACGGGCGGCCTCCTGGTTCCCGTGTGGACGTCGGCCCCTGAGCCAGGCCGGCCGGAGGCGGCTCCTCCCGGGAGCGGACTGGACACCTGCAGGCAGTCCTCCAGCAGCCTCGGCCGAGCCGGGGGGGGGGGTGCAGGTCTGCGGTCAGCAGCCCGGCCAGCTGGGAAACACGGCCTCAGGACCCCCCGGCAGGGCCGGCCGGCACTGGCACGGCCCCTCGGTGGCGGCGGGTGCGGGCGGGGGCCGCCGGCTGTGGGTCTCACCGTCTCGTCACCCCTCCAGATATCGGCCAGCCCGGCACCGAGATCTTCAACATGCCCGCCATCACCGGCACAGGTAACCGGCCGCGGGAGGCAGGGCCCTGGCCTTGGGGGCCCTGCGTCGCCCCCAAAAGAGCCCTCTCAGCTCCAGTGTCGGCGAGGCCGGGAGCCGGGCAGGCTCGGTCCCGGGGCCCCGGTGCTGTGGCGGGTCGGCGAGCGGCCGGCTGGGTGCTGCCCGGCGGGAATGGCCTGGGGGTCTGGGCTCACGGTGGCGCACAGCCTCCCTCGGCCCACGGGGCCTCTGTAGTCCGCGCGTCCACTTTACGGGAAAACGCGAGCTGCAGCCGAGCGTCACCTGGCCGGCCTGACGTCCCGGCACGGTTCACTGGTTTCCGGAGAGGAAGGGAGGGGGTGGGAGCCGCTCAGCTGCCTCCTGCTCCTCCCACCCGGGACCGAGCCCACAGCTGGGCTCGTGCCCCGACCGGGGACCGAACCCCGGCCTCCTGGTTCCTGGTCGCTGCTCCACGCTGGCCTACCCGGCCGTCTTTCTGCTAAAACTTAAGCCTGCAGTGGTACTTCGGGTCCGGGGCAGGGGCCTGGGGCTGGACCCCTCCTCCAGCGGGCCAGGCTGCGCGCCTTCGGGGAGGGCTGGGCGGGGCGGTGGTGGCGGTGGTGTGCCTGCAGGCCTTGGCTCTGGCCCGCGTGGGCACTGGGCGGGGTGTGTGTGTGTGTGCTGCTGGCCCGGGGCCTGCGTCTGGCTGGTGAGCAGGGGCGGCTGGGCCGTGCGACGGGCCGGCTGGTGGCTCCCCTCGTGGGTCCCGCGGGGCCCGCCGGCTCTCCCCGGGGCTTCCGGGGCCACGGGAGGAGACGGTACGCCCACGGGGGCGGGCGGGGTAGACACGCGGCCAGCAGAGGGGAGCTCCCGGCTCTGTCACCGGACACGGGCCAGCCCTGGCCGCGACCGCAGGGATGAGGCCCAGGGACACCGGGCCGCTGAGACCACGGCCAGCGGCCGCTCGGCTGCCTGCTCCCGTGATTCTTGCCGGCTCCCGGCGTTGGCTTTCCCCTCGGCACTCGCCCTGCGGGGGGCGGGGTTCAGCTTTTTCTTGGGGCCCCAGTTCGGGGTGTTTTTTCTTTCTTTTTATTTTATCTTATTTTTTATTTTATTTATTTTTATATTTTTGCCCCCCTCCCTCGGGCTGTTTTTTGCGCTGGTGGCAAGGGGCCAAGACAGCCGGGAGCTTAGAGGGGGCGCCCCCTGGTGGCGAACGGAAGACATGTAGTTGCTCATCAGTTGCCACGGAGACGGGATGGGGAGGCTGCCACAGGGAGGCCACGGGGCCACGTGCCGTCCTCGCCTTTGCTCGGCGCCGGGGGTTAAAATCGGCGGAGACGCCGCCCAGTGGCGTGGGCTTTGCCGGCAAAGGCTGGTTTAGGGAAAGCCGAGCAGACACGGGTGCCCAGAGCGGCCCGAGGCGGACGCCGGGGTCAGGACGCCGGCCCGCGGGAGGGGGCGCCGCGGCCGGGGCTCCTGGGCGGCCCCGTGGGGGTGTCCGTGCCAGCTTTCCCACGGGGCGGCCCTGCCGTGGTCTCCAGCTCTGCCCTGCCCCCGCACGCACCGTAACTGCATGGCTGACCTCACCGCCCGTCCCTGCTCTCTCTCCTCGCGCTCCTGGGGGCGGGCCCAGGCCTCGGGCAGGGGCGGGGGCACCTGGTCACCTTCCCCCGGGTCTCCCGGCCCTGCCCCCGCCCCCGTGCCCGGTCCCTCACCCAGCTTCACTTCCCAGTGGCCCTTTCCCAAACGGGGCGGCCCTCTGCTCCCCGCTCCGAAGGCCTCTGGGCGTTTAAATCGGAAGCCGCCCCAGCTGGGGGGAGGGGGAGGGGGCAGGGTAGAAAGCAGGCCGGGGCCCCCTCCCCCCGGGGGTGCCCCTGCGCTCCCGGGACCCCCACCCAGGGGCAGGGGGGGCGGGGGGCCGGGGACGAAGAATCGTGTTGCTTTGCCGAAATGTGCTCACGTGTACTCTCTCCCCCCCCCCGCGCCCCGGCCCGTGTGTGTGTGTCTCTCCCCCAGGCCTCATGACCTGCCGAAGCCAGGCGCTGCCCGAGCAGGCCAGCACCAACCTGGGGCTGGAGGCCATAATTAGAAAGGCGCTCATGGGTAAATATGACCAGTGGGAGGAGCCCCCGCTCGGCGCCAATGCTTTTAACGCTCTGAACGCCAGTGCCGGCCTGCCCGCTGCTATGCCCATAACCGCTGCCGACGGACGGAGCGAACACACACTCACCTCGCCAGGTCTGCAGCTCTCCGCTGGCCCCGCCCCCCCCCCCCCCCCCCGTACCCCGTGTCCTTAACCCTCTGCCTCGGTTCCGCTCACCACTGCCTCGGCTTCAGAGCTGCTATTTCCGTGCGTGTCTGACGTGGTTCTGGACGTGGCTGGCCCCGGGCTGGGCGGGCGGGCGGGCACGTGGCCCCGTGGCCCCCTTCGCCCCCAGGCCCAAGAGCTGCCGCTTTTCTAAACACTCACATCGCCACCCGCACCCGCCCTGCCCCCCCACAGGACGGCCCGTGTCCTGGTCTGTCCATGTGTCTGTTGCGGGAGATCAGGCTAGAGCGAGGGCCCCCTCTGTAGGTCGGGGGGGGGGGGGATGTCCCACTCTGAGGTCACCGTGCACGTCCGCGCCGGCCTCGGGCTGATGGGCGTCCAGGGGCCGGTCCCCCTCGGCCCGGCCGCCATGCTGGTCAGAACACGGGCCTTGGAGCGCTCGGCCTGTCTGGCCTGACCCTGTGGCCCCCTCTGGGCTCCACAGAGGCCCGGGCCCCGGGCCCAGCTGCTCCCCACAGGCCTGCTGACCGTCCGCGGTCCGGGTCCAGCCCAGGCTGCCGGGCGGAGAGCTAGGCTGCAGGGCGCAGACCCTCACCCCGGGCCCCAGCTCCTCCCGGGGACCCTCACCCCTCGCCCCGTGCTCCGTCCCCATGGCGATGCTGCCCGTTGTCTGACGCGGCCCCTCCCTGTGTCCCTGCAGGTAGCGGCGGGAAGGCCAAGGTCTCGGGCAGACCCAGCAGCCGGAAAGCCAAGTCCCCGGCCCCGGGCCTGGCCCCCGGGGACCGGCCCCCCTCGGTGTCCTCCGTGCACTCGGAGGGGGACTGCAGCCGCCGGACGCCGCTGACCAGCCGCGTCTGGGAGGACCGGCCCTCATCCGCAGGTGGGCATGGGGGTGAGGGTGGCCGGCTGCCCGAGCGCCTACTGCGCGTGAGCACATAGTAGGGCCCGTTCTCGGGACCCGAGAAAGGCCCCGGGGGAGGGCTGATGGGGAACCCGGCCTCTGGCCCTGGCTCACCAGCACCCCCCGGGTGTCCCCGCCTCCCTGCAGGCTCCACTCCGTTCCCCTACAACCCGCTGATCATGAGGCTGCAGGCGGGCGTCATGGCCTCCCCGCCGCCGCCCGGCCTGCCCGCGGGCGGGCCCCTGGCCGGCCCCCACCACGCCTGGGACGAGGAGCCCAAGCCGCTGCTCTGCTCGCAGTACGAGACGCTCTCCGACAGCGAGTGACCGACCGCGGGGCTGGGCCGGCGCCGGGCCCGGGGGCCGGAGCCGCCCGGGGAGGGGCGGGCGGCGGCCGCCTCCCCGACAAGGAAGGAGCCCCGCCCGCCCGCCCGCCCGCCCATCGTCCGCCCGTCCATCCCGAGCTGGCGTCCTTGCCCGTCTGAAGCCTTAACGTGGGGCTCCGCCGCCGCCGGCCGTGCAGTGACTTTCTCAGGGGATGTTTACCTGGTGCTCGGGAGGGGGCCGGCGGCCGCAGAGGCAGGACGGCCAGGGACCCGAGCCGGACGACCACACACCTCCCACGCCACCGCCCCCCAACGCATTGGAACCAAAGTGTAAACTGAGCTAGCACCCCCGCCGCCCTCCGTCCGCACCCGCTTCGCGCTCCGGACAGACGGACACGGCCTGCCCGGCCCACAGCGCGCCCCGCCCCGTCCCCGGCGCCAGGCCAGAGCCCTGCCGGAGCCGAGGGGCCGCCAGGCGGGCGGGGGGCCGGGAGGGCGCCGGCCGGCGGGAGGGGACAGGTGTTGGTTTACAGGGTATATTTTTGATACCTGCAAAGAATTCACTCAGAGGTTTTACGCAAGGAAGGATCACCCAGTATTACTGCTGCTGTGCTTTCCATCGCTTCCCCTCCGGGGGCGCCCTGCCCGCGGCCGAGGGGCGCCCGGCTCAGCCCCCGCCCGCCCGCCCGCCCCCGTCCTGGGCAGAACCCGCCGATGGGGTCGGCGGCTGCCCTCGCGCACGGCGGGTGCTGTCATTTACACACATTGTTCTCATTAAAAGCGAATTATACTCGAGAGGCTGCTGGCTGCTTCCCCTCGGCTGGGCGCCCGGGGGAGGGGAGGGGAGGGGGTGGGGCGGGGGTCCGGGGAGGGAACCCCGTGGGGTTGGGGCCAGGGAACGTCCCCCTGACTCAGCAGCGGGGCCCCTTTGCAGATGGGCTAGCCCGGGGTCGGCAAACTCATCGTCCACGGAGCCAAATACCAACAGGATGGACATTTCTTCGGAGAGCCACGTTTTTAAACGTGAACTTCTAACGCCACTTCAACACAGACTGGCCTGGGCCGTGGTGTTTTGTGGAAGAGCCACACTCCAGGGGCCAGAGAGCCGCGTGGGGCTCGGGAGCCGCAGTTTGCCGACCACGGGGTTAGGGTGTCCCCCCTGAGGGCACCGAGGCTTGCCCACGGGACTCACTCAGCTGCCCATCTGCACCTCGTGCTGCCTGGGTCACGGGCTCAGGAGCTCCTGCCCTCGGGGTGCACCTGCCTGCCCCCCGGCCTCCCGCCCACACCCGCCTGCTCCTGCTCATGGGTGTGAATTCAGCGGCTGCCTGGTGGGGGGCCTGGTTCTGAGGGGCCGTCGAGAGACCTCGCTGCCCACCTGTGCCCCCTCTTCCCCCACGCACGGCTGCCCAGGACGCTGGGGGCTCCTGGGAGGGGTGGGAGGGGGGTCCAGTGGCCCTGCTGCCTGTTCACCCAGAGGGAGTAAGGCACCCTGCCTGGTGCTGTCCCCCGTCCAGCCCAGCCCTCAGGCCCCTCCGTCCAGGGCTCAGTGCCCCTCCTGTTCCTCCCGGGAGCCTCCTGGGGGCACCGTCCCCGGGGGTTAGATCCGCGCCTGCAGCAGCGCCCAGGCTGCCTCCCCTGCGACCTCTCAGCCGCCCCCAGCCCCCCGGGGTGTCGCTGACCTGAGTCTGGCCCCTTCTCCACGAGGTCAGAGGGCCTCCCCTGGGGCAGAGCCGAGGCTGCGCTGCACGGGGGCGAGCACCCTGGTGGGTCCCCTGGGGCTCTGCTAGGGGCCGGGCCCGCCCCACCGATGGCCGCTCCGGAGATGGCCCCCAGGCGCGGCTGCTGGGCGGCCTGCTCCCAGAATCCGGGGCCCTCGGGGCTGGAGAGGGTGGACCCCACAGGCCGTCTGCCAGGCGGGCTTCTCCATCGCTGGAGTCAGGCTATGCCCGGGCCCCGTGGTCCGGGGACCCACCCTGTCCCAGTCCCTCTGCCTCGTGGCTCCACAGCCGAGCCCCTGGCCGCCGCCCACCCAGGGACGGACAGACAGACGGCCCCCGCGGCCTCCGCCCTCGCCAGACCTCGGGCTTCAGCCTCACATTCAGCACTTCCCACAGGATTGGGGGGCAGCGGAGCACGGGGGGTGAAGAGGAAGCCCCGTTGGCACCCTGTGAGCCTGGGCGCTGAGGCCCAAGGTGCAGAGGGCGTTGCAGACACACAGGCCCAGCTCCCGGCTGCAGTACCGCTGGCCACAGGCAGGTGGCGGTGTCGGGCCAGCAAAGGGCCTGTTCTGGGCCCGGTTTCCCTCCACTCTGCTCAGGTGCCTCCACCAGGAACCCAGGGGGATTGGGGGAGAAGGTGGCTCTGGCCACGCCTGCTGGTGCCCCCCAGGGTCCCCCGGCCCCCTCGGCTGCGGCCAGACCAGAGTGACATGTGATATGTTTGGAGGTGTTGGTCTCAGCCGGCATGGCTGTCTCTGCCAGCCCCCCCCCCCCGCCCCTCCATCTCCTGGCCGCAGAGTGGGCAGCGAGCAGATTCGACATGGGGGTGCTGCAGGGTGTGGGGAGCGCTCATGCCTCCTGGCGCCCTCACTGGCCCCCCCCCCCCCCGTCTTCCAGCCGCCACCAGCCCGTCCTCACCCCGCAGGCTCGTCAGTCCTGTCCTGTCCCGCCTGGTTCGCTTCCTCCTGCCTCCGCCTCCGCATCGGGTCCCCAGGTGCCCACCCGTCTCCCTGGCAAACTCCTGCACATGCGTCAGAACCCAGCTGGGGCGAGAGCCTCGGAGGACGCCTCCCTCCCACCTTCCTCCTTCGGACCCTGACCCTGCCTCCTGACCGACACCGATGGGCCGGTGAGGGAAGGACATCCTTGGCCGGTGTCCGCGTCTGAGGGCGCCGGAGGCTGGCTGAGAGGCAGGCTCCCGGGCCTCCCCAGGCCCGAGCCGGCCCCCGGGCCCAGCCGGGGCCTGCAGAGCGGCTTCCCTCGGCAGGCAGGTGCTGCCCGTGCGGGAGCGGGCGGGAGGGCACCCCCAGGTGGGTGCAATCCGGGTGTTATTGCATCATCAGGGCGTTCGCCCGTGGCAGCTGCGGGAGGGCTGGCTCCGGAGACAGCCCGGGGGCTGCTGAGGACCGGGGTTCGCTCAGGACCGCACGGGCTGTGCCGGGGCTGGGGCTGGGCCAGCGCTGCCTCCCCGCTGGGGTCTCCCGCGCCCTCACAGGGTCACGGTGAAGGCTGAGGTGGGACGCGGACAGCCCCCCCGCTCCGCTGCAGACGGCACCCACCTGCGTGTGTCGGTGTCATTCCTGGAGGCGGGGCCCGTTTGGGGGGAGCGTGGGGAGCCTGCTGGGTTTGCCCTGAGGCTGGCGGGGGTGACCCCGGACAGGCAGGAGGGGTGCGGGCCCCTGCGTGGGGGGAGGCGCGGGCCCGCCCCGAAGGTCCTGCTCACCACAGGCTCAAGGTCAAGGGGCTTGAACACTTACCCCTCCCCAACCCCTCCCACCCCACCCAGGGCCTGGGAGGCCGGCCGGGTGCCCCGCCACAGAGGCTGGGAGATAAAGTCACGTCCCTTTTCTCTAGCTACCGGGCCCCTCCCCGGGGGAGGGGGGGTCAGCCCTGTGACCTCTCTGCACCCCGAGGACGCCCCCTCCAGGGGATGGGGACACAGCTGGGGAGGCTGGGAGGAGAGGCCTCAGCGTGGGGAGCACCCAGGTGCCTGGGTCTCGGGGCCCGTCCATCATTGACCTTTACACGCAGCCAGCGGCCAGGGGTCAGGGGCCAGGGCGGGGGGCCCCACACCCCACGGCCTGCTGTGACCCACCTCCTCGGGAAGGTGTGTTCCTCCCACCACCTCTGCCTCAGACACCCACATCCATTGCGCTGTCTCCCCGGCCTCCTGGGAGTCCCCCCGGCCTGAGCCTGTGGGGCCTGGCCTCTGCATGTGAGGCGGCCTGTGTGTGGGGGGCAGGCGCACCCCCAAAGGCTGTCACACGGGCAGGGCCCCCAGCAGAGGAGAGGGACCCGCCCAGAAACCCCCCTCCGCCTCGCCACCTCCGGGGTCCCAGGGTGCACAAGAGGGAGCCTCTGTGTTTGCACATTTTATTAAGATTCCGACTCTGTTAAGTTACTTCTTTCCTGGGAGCGGCTCTTGGGGGGCGGGGCCGCAGGGGAGGGTGCGGGAGCCCCTACTCCCCGGTCCCCTCCGGCCCGGGGCTCCCACAGGCACCTCCTGCTCCTGGGGCGTCTGTGCGGGGCGGCCCGCCGTGCGCCCCCCGCCGGCGTCCGGCTGGAGCCTCCTCTCCCCGCGGTCCAGTCCCTGCAGAGCCGCCGCCGGTCAGGGCGGCCCAGCCCCGCAGCCTCGGAACCAGCAGCCGGGCCGGCGCAGGGGAGGCCGCGGGCCGTGCAGGACCCTCAGCGCCTCCATGGCCCCGGCGAGGCCGTGTCCGCGGTCCGATGGGAAGTCCCTGCGTGGCCGGAGATGGGGCGCCTGCAGGGCGGACTCCGCACCGGAGCTCCCCGCCTCCGCTCCGGCGCCCTCCCGGCCCCGGTGCGCGCCCTCCCCGCCCGGTGCGCGCCCTCCCGGCCCCGGTGCGCGCCCTCCCCGCCCGGTGCGCGCCTCCCGGCCGCC